GCTGGGAACTCCGGCCCAGACGCGGAGAAGCCACGCAACCCAGCTGCAACCACGAAAGCCCGAATATGAGCAACACGTCACGCGTCGATGTGTTCGCTTATCCTGGAGAAGGCGGCGCGGAATTTGCGGAGTTTTGGGAGCATGTTGTTCCCCAGGCGTGCACTGTCACACTTGAGCCTGGCGATCTTCTGTTCTTCCCACCGGGGTGGTGGCATGCGATGAGGAGCGAGGATACTAGTTTCTCTGTCTCCATGTGGTTCTAGTGTGTCCGAAGTAGCACTTGATACTGTAGTCTGCAGGAGTTGTGCTGGCGACTACTTATATCGCAGTGATCGAACCTGAAGCGCAGAAATAGAAGGATGACTAAGCGTGTCACAGGGGCATTATGCGCGCGTCTACCCACTCTCCACCCGACCTCCACGACCACCTCCTCGAACCTCCCATTCCACGCTCAGCAACATGTCTAGCAGGGCCGGAGGTCTCTACGGAGGGATCCAGTTCTCATCTGCCAAACCTTTTGCGAACCCCTCGGAAGACCCAGCTGAAGACCAGCCCCTACCGCAACCTCCATCGGTACAGCTCGTCTCGACCCCCACGCCCTCGATCGTCCCACAAAGCACCAGGGGAGCGGTCTCAGCGGCCCCCACGGCTCCAGCCCAGGCTCAAAATCCCGCTGCGAGCGGCAGCGGCCCCAGCGCAGACGCGCCCGCGAAAGCCACAGCCGGTATTCCTCCCTCTCCTGTAGCATTTGCGCGGTAGAGCTCGTTATTCACGAAACACCTCCATCTGCCCCCATCCTCACGCGCCGGTCAACACCCGCGTCGTCCCCGTCAACGCCACGCCCCCTCGCCGGTGCCAGGCTGGTCCGCCGCGCTCGTCTTCGCGCCTACGCGTCGACAGGCGGCCAAGGCCAAGCCCCAGGCGCCTCGTCTTCCGGTCGGGGCCGCGATGGCGGGCGGCGCCGCACCCACGCCCGCTGCGCTGTCGAGCACGGCCGTGGTGTTTGCGCCGCCGTCGCTCGTGGACCCGAAGGAGAAGGCCAAGGAGAACAGCGCCAGCGACGCGCAGCAGCAGCAGCAGCAAGGCAGCCAGGGATGGGGCCGCAAGGTGAAGCCCCCGTCGATGATCCTCGACGAAGACGTGAATGGCTTCAAGACCGGACTCAAGGGCGGCCGGAGGGACGGCCCCGGCGGCGGCGGAGGGGTGGCGGGTGGCGGGAAGAAAAAGGGCAAGAAGGTGCGTGCGTGGCGCGCTCGTGGACGACGGCGGGCTTGACCGTGGCGGGATACAGAACAAGAGCGCGCTCCAGCAGGCGGCGGTGTGGAACCCGGACGAGGCGTACGACCCGATGCGCCCGAACGACTACAACGAGTGCAAGACATGGCAGCGGCGGGAGCGGGAGGAGCGTAGGGAGCGGCTGCTGGAGGAGAAACGGCGGGGAGAGGACAGGAAGCGGTACCGGCGGAGCAGCAGTTACTCGGACAGCTATCACAGCGCATCGGAGGAGGAGAGGCCGCGAAAGACCGGTGCGTCGGCTTTCGTTATGAAGTGGCCCTGGACATCCTACTCACGCATCGACACAGGACGATATGAAGATCGGAGCAGGAACGAGCAGGAGGAGTACGGGCGCCCTGTTGGAATCGGTGCTGCCAGCATGTCTGTTGTTGCTGTCGACGCCACGATGACGGGAGACGAGGCGTACCAGCGCCGTCTCGCCATGTCGCAGGGCTTGCAGGCTCTCAGCCCTCCACGTCGACATTCACACCCTCGGCTTCCTCGTCTTCTCTCCCTCCGTCATTCTCCGAGTCGACACTTCCGCCGTCGTCATCCTCGGATTTCGAAGACCAGACTGGCGCTGCGCAGTCCACTCCAGCCTCAGTGATACTGCCGCACGCTGGCCGATCTGGCGAAGATGCCTACCTGGCGCGTCTCGCCATGATACCGCAAGGCAATCCTCCAGTTACTCGGGAGCCTAGCCCCCTTCCGTTCGAGGAGGCTCTCCCTCCGCGCGCCCAGGCCCCCATTCTCGTCCCGCCTCCCGCCGCGCCAGCTCCCGCTGTTCCTTCGCAACAGAAAATAGAGAGCAGCAAGCTCGCAGCAGCGGCCATCGCCGCGCGTCTGAGTGCGCTGGCTCCGAAAGGCACGGGTCCCCCGCTGCCCACCGGCCCGGAGGCTGCGTCGTCCGCGGAGCCCACGAAACGGTATGCCGGTTCACGCCTCGTAACCGCTCACGCCACTGACCTATCTGTTCTCGCAGGCCGGATCCTCACGGGTTCGCGCAAAGGCTCATGGCGAAGTGGGGGCACAAGGAGGGCCAGGGCCTCGGCGTCGACGGCTCCGGGATCGTGCACGCGCTCACCGTCGAGCAGGTCAGCGGTGGCGCAAAGGGCAAGAGCAAGGGCAAGGGCAAGGGAAGCAAGGGCGCGCACTTCGGCCCCGCGGCGGGAGGGGGCGCGGCAGGCGCCGCCGCGGCGAAGATGGGACGAATCGTGAACATGAACGAGGACGCGAAGGCGCGGGAGGACCGCGCGCGGTTCGGAGAGCCGAGCCGCGTGATGGTGCTCACGAACATGGTCGACCTCGAGGACGTGGACGACGAGGAGCTCCGCGGGGAGATCGGTGCGTTCGTCTCGTCCTTTTGCTCCCTGCTGGGCTCACCAAGCGTCGCCGCCCCTTATCCCGCGTCCCGCGTTCCCACCCGCGCGCTCCGCCCCTGCGCCGGTTCGGGCGTATCTGTCTTCCAGGCGACGAGTGCGCGAAGAACGGAACCGTGGAGCGTGTGCTCGTGCATGCGGTGCAGCCCCGGCGGATCGGGAAGAGGACGCGGTGCGCGTGTTCGTCTGTTTCGGCGGGCCCGTCGGGGCGTGGAAGACGGTGCGGGAGATGGACGGCCGGTTCTTCGGGGGCGGGCGGTGCGCGCGCGCTATTTCCCGGAACACCGCTTCGCCGCCGCCGACTGGGACGCCCCGCTCGAGTGAGCCTCGCAGTGGCGCCGCCGGACTGTTGTGCGAGATGAGGGCTCCGGGCGGGATGGTTGGTGATCTATGTACTCATCTCTATCGCTAGAGAGAGCCGAGCGTAGCTGGGAGGACGAGGTCGTGCCACGCGCGCTTGCTGGTCGGTTTGTGGGGGATGATGAAAGATAGCTCGGAATCACATCGTTTATATACGTTTCTGCGCAGTGCAGACAACAAGGCATGGCTACAGCAGGGGAACAAGCCCGTCAAGGTACGTAGGCTCCAAGACGACGAGAGAACAAACAAATCCCGAGCCACTCAGATCGCGATCGTGAACCTGTTTCCAAGTACCGCATCCTCGCTGACACATCATAAGTCCTGGATCAGATCCTGTTTGTCCTCCGCGTAAGCTTGCAAGAGGCATCATCGCATGGCTCACAGAGCCGAGGGCTTGAGTACCGCTCGCGCACAGCGCAAAGCGCGCAGAGGGTTGTTCCTTTGTCGATCTATACGGCAAGGAGTCAGAATTGACCTGAGTGACCCTGTTTGGGCATCAATACCGCGCGGTCCGCGCTACCGTCATGGAATATTCGAGCGAAATATGTGCCTCCAGACCGATCGAGTCCCAACTCGAACAGCCACGAGGTCGGAGTCTGGGGCGAGCCGCGAACGGGGTATCTGGGCCGCGGGAAGGGAGGCTGCCGCCGTTCGCGGGAGTATAAAGCAGGGGCGCTCGAGGGTGCCAGTGGGTGCCAGTAGTAACGTTGTGTGCTCTGCGCCGCGGTGAGGGGCCTGCCGGCAACGTTGTTTGTCTGATCACGAAAGGAGGCCGGAGCGCCGGTACCAGGTGGAAGGCGCGGCCGCCGTCAGCCGCCATCACTGAACGCGGCGGGCGGAGGCACATATAAGCGAACGCTCTCTCTCTCTTCCTGCTGCACTCACCGCTCACGTTTGCCCGTGTGTACCTGGGGAGGGGGCGCTGAGATGGCACTCAATGGTGGGTCCTTGTTCCGCCGCGTTCTCGGCAACCGGTGGTGGTAGTCGCCGGCGCGGACCCACAGCCGCGAGTGGCCCAGAGCTGTTTGTTCAAGCACGAAGTCAATCTCGGCGCCATCCACTAACCACAGCTGACAGGTTGCGCCACCGACTCTGGTCGGGAAACCCAACTGCCCAGAAGACCGCAAACGTGGATCCAGCCGACGTACGGCGTCTTCGACATCTTTTCATCGACGCTCCGTTCTACGACTGCAAAATGATCCGTGGGAACGTGGAGGCCTCTTGATAAGAGTAAAACCACGCCGATGCGACGAAGCACCGCAGCGAGCGACGATCTACTGCGATTCCAAGGCGCAGTACTCCATGGCCTTCGTCGATCCCTGTGATCTGGTGATCAACCACAGAGCTGCGATATAGGGGGAGGACATGTGGCATGAACGTGTCCTACTCACCTGAACGATTCTGGATCTTACTTGATCCCTCGCTCAACGAGTCCGACGTGCAATGCGGAAGAAATGGGCTTTGTGAGTATCACGGACGACGGAAATCGTTTGAAGGAGCATAGACAGGAATGGTAGAGAGAACCAAGAAGGTACGTTGCAGCCTGGTGGGAGAGAGCCTGACTTGCTGAAACTAACGTTCGTCGGTAGATATGCTCCCATCGTGCCCTGGAAACCTCATGTCACAGACCCGGTGTGGTCTCTGTGGATGTGGAGATGCGTTGTTGTATCGCAAGAATGAGGACAGACGGACCAACGTTGCGCTCCGTCTTGTTCCCAAGTATCGGCCAGGGCTGTCAAGGCGAAGTCCCTCGCCAGTGCTCGTCATACCAGCAGCAGGACACCGGCAGCAGGCACGTAGTCGAGACGAAGGCAGGAGAAAGCAAGGCTGAGGATCACGCCAGGTGAGCGCAGTGGACGAGACGTTTAGGGGAGCAGCACGGGTCGCAGGGCCGCATCGCTGAGGTGCGTGGGTACACCGACTTCCGAGGACCTCCGTCCAGGGCCCGCTCACAGTGCCTCCGGAGCGCTCATGGATCCTGGCAGGGCCGGGTACCGTTCCTTACGTCCGAGGCCGTTCTTCAAAAATCCCTAAATCGTCTTTTTCGGAGGACGCCGGCGAACACGAGGCCACAGCGTTTCCCTGGTCTGATCCGCAGGTCTGGGCCGTCAACCTTCGATTCTATTTCACATCGACTACCGTAAAAGCGATCTACTCTGTCGACCCATGACGCCCGCTTTCACTTCTTTGCAGTGTTCGCGCGAACGACGACAGCCCTCTAGATGACGCCCGCACACCCGCGGGGGGACAGACTCTGCCACGACGGAGACACTCACGAGTACATCGCTACCGCATCGTAGGCGTCGCCGCCATCCTCGGAGCCCGCAGACGAAGAGACCTCCCACTTCAGGTCGCGTCAAACCGATGAGGTCAAATGGGGTGGGCGGGCCGTCCACCGGACGCGGTGGGCGGTGTGCGCTACTTCACTGACTCCTCTGCTTCTCGCCGGTGCGGACTGATCGTTACCGCGGCATCCCTCCTTGGACTGTTCCAGTGGCAGGTCAGCGGCAGATTCGTGTGTTCGACCGACGGCGCACCCTAATGACGCGGGATCTCACGCTTCATCACCGGACGCCGCCCCTCCATCCGTCGCATGCCGCGCTCGAATTTTGAGGCCTCGCTGGCGTATGTGGGTCTCAGCCGAAACCGTCGACGGCTGGTCACTGCCGCCGCGTAGCCCTGCCCGCCGCCCGATCCTGCAACGGATCCGGTAAAGCTCGACCTCGCCCTAGATGATCCCGATGCTGTCAGTGGGGGCCTCAGAGGGCCATAAAAATCCGGAATTCTCACCTCTCCCCCACCGCAAAGCTCTGACATCGTCCACCATCTCATCGTCCACTCCTCGTCCTCCTCACACCCCGGACAACCCATCAACGCGCTCGCCTGCCTCGCCAAACACCAGCATCTCGCGTCAGCATCTCCTCGCCGCACTCGCGTTCCCCGCGCCCTCCTCGCCGCACATCGCGCTCCACGCCGCCTCCCGTCCATCCTCCCGCACCACGCCAAACCAACACCAACGGCCACGATGGTGAGCACGACCCTCCCCTGCACAACAGCCAGCAGCCTCGGCAGCCTCGCCGCCGCCGCCGCCACACCGGCGACGAGGCGGCCGAGACTGGCAATTCGCCGCTCACGCGCGCGCGGGCGCCTCACTGACGCGCTTCTTCTCCCGCCACCCGCAGACCACGATAGGTCGGTACCACAGACTCACCTCACGCGCGAGCACCGTCGCTGACCCCGCGCCAGTGATCGGGGAACACCCTGAACTCCCGGACGAAGTGAAGAACTCCAGAGAGGTCGGTGGGTGTCCCAGTTGAGAGGCCCGGCGTCGCGTCCTCGCGCTCGCGCCCCCGCAGACGGCGTGCGGGCGCGAGGACGCGGCCGTGACCTCTGGACTGAAATGCCCGCGGCCTTCGTCCGGTGCTGACAGCTGTGGCATGTTGCGCAGAGGGACTGGAAGCCCCTGCCCGTCGAGACCACGCAGGCCAACGTCGCGCTGAGGGGCGAGCGCGTGGACTTCCCGCTGGAGAACGGGTGGGCTGGCGTCCCGCTCCTGTCGGCGTGGCAGATCGCCACGTACCCCCAAGACACAACTCTCTGGAACAAGGACGAGTACATCCCCTGCCCGGTCACGGTGTCCATCCAGGTGAGCGCTGCCGGCTCGGTGCGCTGTAGCCGACACGGACGTTCCACTCACCGTGCGCGGGCCCACAGTTCCCGGGGTGCCCGGCCCACCGCCCCACGACCTTCGCGCCGATGCCGCGCCAGCTGCTCGCGTACCGGCTCGCTGAGAGGATCATCGACGTCATCGTGAGTGTCTCGTATCACCTGCCACGGAGATTAACCGCTCACCGGTGATTTACTTTGATAGAACAAGGACGAGCCCGCTTACAAATGCGCTGTCACCGTCCGTCCGGAATACGTGCGGCTTAAAGCCATCCAGCGCTTGACCCAGGGCACCTGGGGGGTCGAGCTCGAGATCTTTGACAGGTCGTAGACGGCTCCCTCCTTCGCATGTCGACGACGGCCTCCTCTTGAGGCGGTACAGTGAAGATAGCCTATAGCCCATAGTTTCAGTCCCACATCGCGCAGTCCCAGTCTCATGGCATCATTGGCTCACCAGTATTGTAGTCCTGTATCGTTAGCGTCTTCAACATATTCATTCTCGTTCGGCATCAAATATTGTCGGCTTCGCGTGCAAAGGTTCGACGAGCAGCATTGCAGTGGGGCGGAGCTGCAGTCAGAAGGAGAGGAGGAGGAGGAAGGGGAGGGGGAGGTGGTACGAGGAGGAGGCCCTAGGATGACGGGGGTAGGGGGGCAGGGCAGGGCAGAGTGGGAAGCCGATGGGGATGCGGCCCTCGCGCGCGCATCTTCCCGTGGATCATATACCCAAGGCCCCGCGTCTGGTAGGGCGATTCGGCCCGCCCGAATCAAAGAACCTCCCGGCCTGCGTCCGCGTGAGAGGGCGACCTTGTCCTCGCGCGGGGCCGGTGTCTGGAGCCGCGCGCGAAGCTGATCGATGGCACCGAGGCCGGCCAGAGCGCGCGTGCGCATTGTCGACGCTCGCGAGCAATAGCACCCGCACAAGAACGAGCCCGTGTGATGGTGCCGAGGGCGCGGCGAGTGCGACCGATGCGTGAGTGCGCGAGGGGCCGCTTACGGGTGTGCATTGTTGAGGGAAGCCGAGCGCGAGAACTGAGCGGCAAGATCAGGTTCGCGGAGAGTCTTGCGCGCAGTGTGATTTATTAATACCCTGGTCTCGCTGCAGTGATTCGGCTTCAGTCTTGGACTCGAATCGGTAGGCTGGAGGCGTTGGAGCTATGAAGCTTTGAGGTGTCGCGTCTCTTAGTTTTCTGAGAGAAAGGGGAACGTAAATCAACCTAGGCATGGAGATACCCCCACATAGTCTCCCACACACAGAGATAAGACATCAGTGATGTCAAGTCTGCACATGTATTGGCATGAAATTGTTGGAGACCGAAAGGGTGTCGCATCACATCAAGGTGTTGGGAAGTGCGACATTGATAGTGAAAGGTGTATCCACACGACACGCGGAAGCCGTCCAAGCAGGAAACAAAGCAGACAAAAGACAGTGACGGTTACTCGCCTGGCCCATTGTACCACCGGACGCGTACATTTCTCCCCAACTTCTGAGACCAGAGTACTACCGGCGACTATCGTTGTGTGTAGATGTATACGGGAAAAATGTAAATCACATCTTCCTTGCGTTTAATTGTGTTTTCTCCGGCCGATAGCGTCGTTGAGGGGAGGTTCGTATCGCGGTATAGAAGTGACGGTGACGATGGCGGGAGAGAGGACTAGAGAATCAGGGTAGCGCAAGGAATACGGTGGTCACTGGTGAAGAGGTGAGCACAGCGCGGGGGCGCGGGAACGTCTGCGAGCTTGGCCCGGCCCGACGATTTCTGGCGTCTGCTGCCAAAGCTGACAGAATCATATAGTCCGCCTTCCCCAGTCGCCGCAGGCGCCACCGCACTCGTTCAACCGCCCTCCTAATGGCCGCCATGGCGGTCCGTTCCACTCCCGCTTTGTTCTCCAAGCTTGTCACAAAATCTTGTGTATGTTTGCTCACCTGCCCTCTCCAAGACCCTCCACTAACTATCAGTCTGCAGGAACTTAGTAGCACTCGCGGAAACACTGAGTCTCTCCCCCCACACATGTGCACGTCGCTGCCTTTTGGACACGCGTTGTAATCTAAGCGGCGTACGGATGCTATGGAGGCAAAATATTGCCCCAGAGCATCCTGAAATTCTATGTGGAACGAATAGATGCAGTACCTTGGGGGATAGCGCGGCGATTTAGAGCTCAGAGCGAGCAACAGGACAGTTCCAGCTCCCGTCGGGTGCACCACCTGACTGTCGTTGGAAGTGCGAATGATGCAGCGTCGCGCGTGCGGCCTTCGCAACCTTACTCCAATCAGTAAAATTTCTGCAGCTCCTGCTGGCCAGGAGGCGCAAGTCTGGCTCTCGCATCGCCCTTCCCTGCCCTGTCAATACTTGTACACCAGCGTGGCATGGCATCGGCTGCGTGCCAGACTATACGCTAGCGTGTGAGTATCGATTGCGTGCACGATGCTATCTCGCTCCTCCCTCTCCGAGGCTCTTCCCCTGCCCCTCCTCCCACTCGCATCGCATACTCATTTCCGTCCTCCACAGCATCAGACCCATCCCTCGGCTAAGCGTCGACATTGCCTCCATACGTATGCCGGATACCAGTAACCTGCCAGATATACGCGTGCCCAGATTCAACACTCAAAGCCTGGCCCATGGTCACAGTCCCCGCCGCCAGCTGCCCCGCCTCGACTCTGCCCAATCCGACGGCATTCCCTGTACTGTTGCCCCGCTCGCTCGTGTCGTCTCATCGTTCCCATCGATGCACTTTCCCGGCATCGACACACACCCGAACACCGTGTCCGGCGGGCTATGGTACAAAAACAGTGACGGAGGATGTGATTGCAATTGGAAAGAGCAGGTAAGTCTTAACTATGTTCGTCTACCCATCCCGGAGGACCAACGAGCGATTCTAGAGCTCGACCATCCACGAAGGCCACGATTGGCCGTGTCCGGCCTCTCGCCGTGCTCGAGCGCGCGCACCGCTACGACATCAAGGACTCGTTAATTTGCAGGACGGGCTCCCAGGATCCTTTGGACTTGCGTCGGTACTCGACCAATCGGAGGTGCTTGCGCTCGACCCGCCTTCCTTTGTATCTCGGCTTCTGCTCTTTCTGGTGAGTTTCCGCTGTCAGCGCCTTCATCGCGAGAGCGTCCTTGGAGCCGTGACCTTACTCACGATGGCACTTCCGATTTCTATAGCGATCTTCCTCGCGAGCGTCTTGCGGGTGATAGACTCACCCCCGGCGGTGGATCGCATGGCGGTGATCTGCCTCTCGTACTTGCCAGAACCCTGGAACTGGGGACGGCGGAGTGAGCGAGCGCGCTCCCTTCTCGAGGCGAGTCACGATGGGCGCCGGGGCCTACCTGACACCGAAAGTGACTCTTAGCAGCAACCCCCCAGTCAGGGTGATACGCCGGGCGATCCCCGTCTATGATCTGCATCCACTCGCTGTCGCGGTTGAACGCGGACTCGAGCGAGACTCCGGGACGCCCGTCGGCCAGCTCGAAGCGCACGACGTTGTCCTCGAACTCTTCCGTCCCCAGACTTGGCTGCATCCGGAACTCTTCCAGAGGGAAGTCCTTCCAGGCGGCGCCATCCTGTGCGGGGGGCTGTATACGTGTGAGTGAACCTGATAGTTGGAAGCAATGCGAGCGCCCGCTTACCGTCATTGCAGCGGAGGAGGCCCGCTTGGCGGCCCCCATGTCCGAGACAAAGCCGCTCGGGACGCCCAGGGTGTATACGGTCGCGTTCGGGGGCACTTGAACGTCGGGCATCTTGAGACGAAGGGCGTCCCAGTGCTGATCTCCGTGAGCTCGAAAAATCTCGACTAATATAGAGGGGTTCTAACGCTATGGTCAGAACTGGGGTGCGGCGTCGAAGAACAGGCCTCCCACCTGTTCGAGGTACGCGAAGCATTCGTTGTCGAAAGCGTCGGCCATGGCGAAGAACGGAGAAGTTCGGGGGTGGTATGTCCAGATGGCTAAGGGACGTCCTTTGCTGGAGGACGACTTTTGTACCCACCTCTGCACTGGGGTCGCCGCCCCCGCGCACCGTCGGCGCAGCATCGTTAGCAGGATATCCATGTATTTCTTCGCCTCTGTCGCCGCGGGATGCGGCGACACGGCGTTCGAATCGCCACCGCCCACAGCCTATGCGCCTCAACCTGTTGTTGGTATAGTTGTATAATGCCGGGGAGCCCGCTGCGGAGACCTCAGGAGACCGCATTGGGCACTGTTCGTATATCCATGCATCATACATAAAAGCCGAAAACCCACATGTGGATCTGTTACTTCGAGCCCTGTAATCAGAACACGGACTGCCACTCGGGGTACGACGAGAGACCCCGCACCAGCGGCGCGAGTGTTCCCGAAGTCCGGGCGGATATACGGACAGCGTATGATGAATTCCGCACCTCACAGACGTGGTCGGCGCGAGGTCAGGACAGCGGCGGCGAGGTAACGTTAGAGCGGTGTTCGCCGGATGGGTCAATGCGCCGCGCTATCCATTCGACGGGTCTGAGGCGGGAGACGCGTGCGCCCCGAAGACAGGAAAATTTTTTACAAAAGCGCAGCCCGCGCCGAGTATTCCAGATCCCGGATATCAATATCCGACCCTACATGGGCAGCGGGGCCTTCCCGAGACTTCGCAACAGCCTCCGGTTGAGGTTTGCCAAGTGAACGCACGAAAGTCGCGAACACACTCGTGCTTCCTTGTGATATGTGCGGCGCGACTATCCCTGTACGTGAAGCACTGTGATGACCGAGTTGGACCCCCGTGTGAGGTCGCTGGTGTTCTCGCTGTGGGCGACTGACACGGCGGACGAGGACAACTGCTTTCGTCACGCCCCCGCCGTCTGTTGTCACTCAGCCGCTCCCAGGCCTTTGATCCACTGCGTGCCCCCTCCCCGACGAACGCAACCTGGACTAGAGCCGGCAGCCGCGTCCCCCGCCACATCGCCTCCCGCGGCCCCTTAGCTATGCGGAAACCTTCATCGACCGCTGTCCCGCTGAGAGCTCCGCGCGCCCTCGCCGCACAGGCTCATAGGCTCCTACCGTGGACGGAGCCCCTTCAGTCCAGCTCATGCCACCCCACCCCGAAATACCGGGACCTTGCCCGTCAAGCCAACCCTATGCCCCAAGCCCGCTCCGTCACCCCTCTCCAGTGACTGGACGTCTATCACCCTCGATAAACCCGGTCGTCATTTCTCTTCGTCGACGTCCATTGCCCTCAACCCCGCTCCTACATCGCCGGACGTCAGGTTAGGAGGCCAGACCGAGAACAAACTCCCTCTTCGCCAGGAGAGCTGGCGGCGAGGACAGCTTTTGTGGGATTCTGGTGTGTACAATCGATGCAGTCTGACACAAACTGCACTCCCTCTCGTCTATGGCTGCAAGTGTCTGTCGACCTACCGCCCCTTCTGTCCCGAGCCCGCTAGATCTGTCCTACGACAGTGACTAGGGCGCTCGGAAGAGCGGACGGTAGATGACACTACGCTCAACGGCACTTCCACTTCACCCTCATAATGCCCACCGCAGTCCGGCAACGACATCATGAGTGTGCCGAAGGGGGGTTGATAGCATTTAGTGAAGAGGTACGCACCACGAGTCCTCCTCCATCGCCTACGTATGCGCCCAAAATGGACCTCCACATCGTGTCTAGGCTGCATATAGCGACTGAGGTGCTGCCCACTGCCGTTGGAAGAAGTCGTCAAGAGGCTTCGGTGTGTACACTTGTTGATTGCCGTCGAGGTCATTGTTCACGCGCTGCGCAACTCAAATTGCGAACTGGCTCCACGCCCCTGGCCGCGGGGTCGGATATCGAGCTGGACCGGACTTTCAAATATGTCGGGATACAAATCCATCGGATATCCAGCGCACACTGGTCGGAGGTCGCTTCATCCCAAGTCAATCTTCCAAAAGCGGGGGATCGAGGAGCAAGTTCGGCCAGTCGAGAGGTTGAATGAAAGACAAGTGGAAGATGTGCTGGTGGTGCCAAGCAAGAGAGCCAGAAACTCCGATCCAAGGGTCCGCTGCATCTGGAGACGGCCGCAACGGCCACGATTCATGGCGACGGCAGTCAGTCAGCCGCGGCCCGCCACCTCCCGCCACTGGCCAGACGACGTTCCCGCGCCCCTACGCTGTGCTCAGCTCTTCACCACCATCACGCTACCCTGGTCCTCTTGCCCTCTCTCCTGTCGCCCCTCATCGTCACCGTCACTTCTTTACGCCGATACGAACTTCGCCTCAACAGTGCTATCGGCCGGAGAAGAGACGATTAAACGCAAGGAGCATGCGATTCACTATTTTTGCCGCATCCATCTGCACACAACGACAGTCACCGGCAGTACTCTGGTCTCAGAAGTTGGGGAGAAAACAATGGGCTAGGAGAGTACCCGTCACTGTTGCATCCGTGTCTTTTTTGGACGGCTTCCGCGTGTCGTGTACTATCACGACCCCAGTGTTCGGACAGACCCTAGTGTTCGGACGAACGCGAATTGCGCTCCAGTACCTCAACCGATAACCATGAAATTTTAGATTAAGCTAGTATAACTTCTCACACACCTATGTTAGAAGTTTCGTGTCCCCCCGGCCAAAGCTGCGTCCGATCTCAAGGATACACTCATCTCACCTGGAGAAGTCTCGCCCTTGACGGGTCTCGGCTGAAACACCCATCCCGGCGCTCCACTTGGAATTTGGGAATGCAATTCTTTCCCACTTCCAAAGCGTTAGCTAAATTCTCCGAGAGGATGCGCCTTCGTGGGCTTCGATGGTACAGAATTGAGCTCTGGGGGCGTGACAGTAATCCAGCGCTTGTGTGTCACCTCTCAGCGCCCTACTCGATTTGGCTCGGCAATGGCTCTCTTATGACAGGTTCTGACGTCGGCTGCATCTTGGCGCCGTGACAGCGCCTGTGACGACGTGCGGAGAATTGTCCGAACACTAGGGTCAGTGCACTCCTTCAACGGTTATACACACATATATCCTCCGCTCGCCTCCAAAGTTTGCAGAATTATGGAGACAAACAATTCAATTGTGTCTATAAAATTTGAAGATTATCGGTGGAGGGGGGCGACGAGGACGCGTTGAACTACCCCGGTCGGCGCTTGCCCGTCCGAACACTGGGGTCGTGATAGTATATACACCTTTCACTATCAATGTCGCCCTTCCCATTTCCTTGATGCGATGCGACACCCTTTCGATTTCCAAAATTTACTATTCCCGTCGGGCATACGTCGGGTAATGTCTGATCCTAGAAGGGAGGGTGGGAGAGGACGAGCGCCCGGAGGGCCGCGCCGCCGAGCCGTTAAGCCAAGGCGATCGCGCGGTGTGCCCTCTTGTGCCCTCCGGACGTCGACCGGAGCGCGAGAGATCTGCAAAGGTGCCCAGTCATTCGCACTCCGCTTCAGGAAGCACCTGTTGCAGCGTAGCGCTCGTGCCTCCTGCCGGTGAGCCCTTGCCACGTGCGAAGCTTGCACACCGCCTACCATGGTCCATATATATATCCGGATGCTGCGCGCCGCCGGGTGTCCGCCGGCGCCTCCCCACTCCGCCACCTGTGCTCGCCGCCCCCAACAGCGAGCTCGCTGTTCCCGTGCCCTGCCTCCCCCTCCCCTCCGTTTCCCTCCGTTCTTTGTAGTACCTGCTTGTATTTAAAATGCGCACCTAATGATATACAATCCAATAGCTAAAGTTGGCTGGGTGTGCCTGCACTGACCCCTCACACCCCCCAAAATACGTGCAACATAGGAACATGCATAAGCGTTCAATTTATTGGCTAAATTCCTCATCAGAAAGCTGTGTGTGGTATCTGCTGTAATCTGAAATCGCAGGTCGATAGCTGGAGGGGTGTAGGTACGATGTCATGTGTCATTTCAGAATGGCATACTCCACAGTGATGTAGTATGCACATGTATCGTCTCATGTACACATAGAATCGTACATAGAGATCCTTCAGGGTGTATTAAAAAAGAAGCAAGCAAAAGGACGATGTTTCGGTGAAGATATGACATATACTCAGAAGGGGGAGTTGCCTTGAAATTGCGGCCCCGATATGTTTTTTGGTAAACCTCCAATCACTATGTATCTTCTCGCGTTACTTTTATATGTATCAACAGAGCTCAGATCGTATTTTTCGTGCTTATCGGTGGAGGATTGGACACAGGGTATGGTATGTCATTATTCTACGACATAGCGTATAGCGAGATGGCATGTGCTCCGATTGTTATTCTGAAAGGCGGAATATATCAGGGTACTCTCCTGCTTAACGATGCAGAAGGAATCTCGAGAAACGGTCGAGGGGTGGCTGAGATATGTCTGATGTGTCTGGAATGGCAAGTTATCCGGAGGACGCCCTTCGGCGAGCCTGACCGTGGCGGGATGCAGAACAACAGCGCGCTCCGGCAGGCGGCGGTGTGGAACCCGGACGAAGCGTATGACCCTATGCGCCCGAACGACTACAACGAGTGCAAGACGTGGCAGCGGCGGGAGCGGGAGGAGCGTAGGGAGCGGCTGCTGGAGGAGAAACGGCGGGGAGAGGACAGGAAGCGGTACCGGCGGAGCAGCAGTTACTCGGACAGCTATCACAGCGCATCGGAGGAGGAGAGGCCGCGAAAGACCGGTGCGTCGGCTTTCGTTATGAAGTTGCTGTGGAGATCCTACTCACGCATCGACACAGGACGATATGAAGATCGGAGCAGGAACGAGCAGGAGGAGTACGGGCGCTCTGTTGGAATCGGTGCTGCCAATGTCTGTTGTCGCTGTCGACGCCACGATGACGGGAGACGAGGCGTACCAGCGCCGTCTCGCCATGTCGCAGGGCTTGCAGGCTTCTCAGCCCTCCACGTCGACATTCACACCCTCGGCTTCCTCGTCCACACTTCCGCCGTCGTCATCCTCGGATTTCGAATACCACGGCGGCGCTCGGCAATCTACTCCAGCCCCAGCGCTACTGCCACACGCTAGCCAATCTTGCCAAGATCTCTACCTGGTGCGTCTTGCCATGATACCGCAAGAAAATCCTCCAGCTCCTCGGGATCCTAGTCCCCTTCCGTTCGAGGAAGCTCTCCCTCCGCGCGCCCAGGCCCCCATTCTCGTCCCGCCTCCCGCTGTTCCGTCGCAACAAGCTCGCGGCGGCGGCCATCGCCGCGCGTTTGAGTGCGCTGGCTCCGGAAGGCACGGGTCGCCCCGCTGCCCACCGGCCCGGAGGCTGCGTCGTCCGCGGAGCCCACGAAACGGTATGCCGGTTCATGCTTCGCAACCGCGCCGCCGGGTCGTGCTGGAGGTGGCGGGCAGAGGTGTAAGCAAACGCTCTCCGATCTTCAGATCTTGCTGCTGCGCTCACTACTCACGTTCGTCCATGTGTACCTGGCCATGGGACGGGACTCAATGGTGGATCCTTGTTCTCTCCGGTAGCCAGCGGCGGTAGCAGTGAGGCTTTTCGCGAGCGGCGCAGAGCTACTTGCTTCCACTAACCATAGTTGACAGATTAGGCCACGGTGCAAACCTGGATCCATCTTTACGGTGTCTTCGACGTCTTTTCATCGACGTTCCGCTCCATGGTTGCACCAGCCCCTTGACGAGCGTAACCACGCCGAGGCGGCGAAGCGCCGCAGCGAGCGACGATCTACCGCGATTCCCAGGCACAGTACTTCATGGCGTTTGTCGACCTCTGTGATCTGGCTATCAACCACAGAGCTACAATATAGGGGGAAGACAAGTGGCATGAATGTGTCCTCCCTACCTGATCGATTCTTGATCTTATTTGACCCCTCAACGCTCAACGAGTGCGATGTGCGATGCAGAAGAAAAGGGCTTCGTGAGTATCACGGACAACAGAAACGCTTTGAAGGGGTATGGACAGGAATGGTAGAGAGAACAAAGAAGGTACGTTGCAGCCTAGTGGGAGAGAGTAGCGGAACTGACTTGCTGAATCTAACGTTCGTCGGTAGATGCCATGGCTATATACTCCCATCGTGCCCTTGAAGCTTCGTGTCGCAGACCCGGCGCGGTCTCTGTGGATGTGGAGACGCATTGTTGTGTCGCACGACCGAGGATAGGCGGCCCGACGCTGCTCTCGGTCTTGTTCCCAAGTGTCCAGAGCCGGAGTCGAGGCGAAGTCCCTCTGGTTGATGCGCCAGTGCTCGTCACACCAGCAGCAGGTAGACAAAGGCAGATGGGAGCAAGGCAGAGGATCACGCCAGGTGAGCGCAGTGGACGAGAGTGGGGCGGACGGGCGGGCGGGAGCATCGGGCGCAGAGCCCCATCGCTGAAGCGCTCGGCGAGGTGTGACCGCCGCCCCGGCCCCGCTCATTGTATTCACCCGAGCGCTCATGAATGCTCCTTTTGGCCAAGGTGTTGTGGTGGCAGCGGACACGAGGGTACCACGTTTCCCTTACGTCTGTTTCATCTTGGCGCCTGTAACACGGGCCTTGGACTTCTGTCTACCCACCTCTGAATATTGAATCGCGTGCGCACGCCCCCGGGGCGACAGACCCCAACTGCGTGGGTGGCGAGACACCCACAAGGAGAACGCTGCCGCATCGTAGATGTCGCCGTTATCTTCGGAGCCCGCAAGGGAAGACACCTCTTGTGAAGCTTGATCGCCGACGTCCTCTGCTTCTCGCCAGCGCGGCCTAATCAGCGCGGCCGCAATTCCTTGGATCTATGAAGGAGACCTAGATGTAAGATGCTGCGCCTCAGAAGAGCATAAAAATCCAGCACCGCAGAGCTCTGACATCGTCCACCACCTCTTCGCCCACTCCTCGTCGTCCTCGCACCCCCGACAGGTCGTCGACACACTCGCCCGCCCCGCTCCAGCATCTCGCGCCAGCATCTCCTCGTCGCACTCGCGTTCCCCAACAGCCCGCCCTCCTCGCCGCACATCGCGCTCCACGCCCCCCTCCCACTCATCCACCCACGCTACGCCCAACGAACACCAACGTCCACGATGGTAAGCATGGCCCTCCCCTGCACAACAGCCAGCAGCCTCGGCAGTTGGCCCTTCAGGCCTCAGGGCGCACACGTGCGGGCGCCTCACTGACGCGCTTCTTCTCCTCGCCGCCCGCAGTCCACGATAGGTCGGTGCCACAGACTCACCACGCGCGAGCACCACCGCTGATCCTGCTCCAGTTATTGGGGACACTCCCGAAATCCCGGAAGAAGTGCAAAACTCCAGAGAGGTCGGTGGGTGTCCCAGTTGAGAGGCCCGGCGTCGCGTCCTCGCGCTCGCGCCCCCGCAGACGGCGCGCGGGCGCGATGACGCGGCTGTGGCTCCGGCCTCTGGATTAAATGTCCTCGGCCTTCGTGGTGATGACAGCCGTGGTATGTTCCGCAGATGGACTGGAAGCCTCTCCCCCTCGAGACCGCGGAGGCCAACGTCGTGCTGCAGGGCGAGCGCGTGGATTTCACGCTAGAGAACGGGTGGGCTGGCGTCCCGCTGCTGTCGGCGTGGCAGATCGCCGCGTACCCCCAAGACACAACTCTCCGGAACATGGACGCGTACATCCCCTGCCCGATCACTGTGTCGATCCAGGTGAGCGCTCCTGAGATGCGCTGCAGCCCACACGGACGTTCCACTCACCATGCGAGGGGCCACAGTTTCCGGGGTGCCGGGCCCACTGCCCAGCGACCTTCGCACAGATGTCACGCAAGGAGCTCGCGAAACGGCTCGCTGAAAAAATCATAAACGTCATCGTGAGTGTCTCGTATCACCTGCCGTGAAGATTAACCGCTCACCGGTGATTTACTTTGATAGAACAAGGACGAGCCCGCTTACAAACGCGCTGGCACCGTCCGTCCGGAATACGTGCGGCTCAAAGCCATCCAGCGCTTGACCCAGGGCACCTGGGGGGTCGAGCTCGAGATCTTTGACAGGTCGTAGATGGCTCCCTCCTTCGCATGCCGCTGGCAACGGCCTCCTCTCGAGGCGGCACAGCGAAGATAGCCTATAGCCTATAGTTTCAGTCCCACATCGCGCAGTTCCAGTCTCGTCGTATCATAGGCTCACCAGTATCGTAGTCCTGTATTAATAGCTGCTCATAACAATTTCGATGTCAGGTCGGCCTAAGCGCGGGTGCGTATTGTCGACGCTCGCGAGCGATGGGACCCGCGCGAGAACGAGCCCGCGGGATACGGCCGATGCATGAGTGCGCGAGGGGCCGCTTGCGGGTGTGCATTGTTGAGGGAAGCCGGAGGACTAAACGGCAAAAACAGAGCGATTTATCGACGAGTAAGTACTCTGGTTTCGCTGCAGTGATTCGGTTTCAGTCTTGTACTCGCAGCAGCAGACTGGAGGCGTTGGGCCTATGAAGCTTTGAGGCGTCGCCTCTCTTAGCTGGGTGAGAGAAAGGGGAGCGAAAATCGATCTAGGCATGGAGACAGCCCCACATAGTCTCCCACACACAGGGATGAGAAATCAGTGATGTCGAGAAGTCTGCACATATATTGGCATGAAGTTTTTGGAAACCGAAAGGGTGTCGCATCGCATCAAGGAAATGGGAAGGGCGACATTGATAGTGAAAGGTGTATATACACGACACGCGGAAGCCGTCCAAAAAAGACACGGGCGCAACAGTGACGGGTACTCGCCTAGCCCATTGTTTTCTCCCCAACTTCTGAGACCAGAGTACTGCCGGTGACTGTCGTTGTGTGCAGATGGATGCGGCAAAAATAGTGAATCGCATGCTCCTTGCGTTTAATCGTCTCTTCTCCAGCCGATAGCACCGTTGAGGCGAAGTTCGTATCGGCGTAAAGAAGTGACGGTGACGATGAGGGGCGACAGGAGAGAGGGCAAGAGGACCAGGGTAGCGTGATGGTGGTGAAGAGCTGAGCACAGCGTGGGGGCGCGGGAACGTCGTCTGGCCAGTGGCGGAGTGGCGGGCCGCGGCTGACGGGCTGCCGTTGCCGTGATCATGACCGCTGCGGCCGTCTCCAGATGCAGCGGACCCTTGGATCGGAGTTTCTGGCTCTCTTGCTTGGCGCCACCAGCACATCTTCCACTTGTCTTTCATTCAACCTCTCGACTGGCCGAACTTGCTCCTCGATCCCCCGCTTTTGGAAGATTGACTTGGGATGAAGCGACCTCCGACCAGTGTGCGCTGGATATCCGATGGATTTGCATCCCGACATATTTGAAAGTCCGGTCCAGCTCGATATCCGACCCCGCGGCCAGGGGCGTGGAGCCAGTTCGCAATTTGAGTTGCGCAGCGCGTGAACAATGACCTCGACGGCAATCAACAAGTGTACACACCGAAGCCTCTTGACGACTTCTTCCAACGGCAGTGGGCAGCACCTCAGTCGCTATATGCAGCCTAGACACGATGTGGAAGTTCATTTTGGGCGCATACGTAGGCGATGGAGGAGGACTCGCGGTGCGTACCTCTTCACTAAATGCTATCAATCCCCCTTCGGCACACTCATGATGTCGTTGCCGGACTGCGGTGGCATTATGAGGGTGAAGTGGAAGTGCCGTTGAGCGTAGTGCCATCTACCGTCCGCTCCTCCGAGCGCCCTAGCCACTGTCGTAGGACAGAGTGGGCTTGGGGCCGAAGGGGCGGTGGGTCGGTATACACCTATAGCCAGTCAGTCAGTGTCAGACCGCATCGATCGTCGGACTGACTATCCTTGCGTTTGGACTGACGTCCGAGATCTACACCCTGCGGTTAACGTCGATGGTCATTGGACGGTGAACGACGCTGTACGCACCGAATCCCACGAAACCTATCCTCGACATCAGCTCTCCTGGCGAAGAGGGAGTTCGTTCTCGGTCTTGCCTCTTGACCCGACGTTCGCCGACGTAGAAGCGGAGTTGAGGGCAATGGACGCTGATGAAGAGAGATGGCGACCTGGTTGAGGGTGATAGGTATCGACTCGCTGGAAAGGGGTGGCGAGCGGGCCCCTTGGGGCCATTATGAGGGTGAAGTGGAGGTGCCGTTGAGCGTAGTGTTATCTACCGTCCGCTCCTCCGAGCGCCCTAGTCGCTGTCGTAGGACAGATCTAGCGGTCTCGGGGGCCGAAGGGGCGGTGGGTCGATATATACTTGTAGCACAAACGAGAGGAGTGCAGTTGGTGTCGGACCGCATCGATCGTCGGATCGACGATCCTTGCGTTTGGACTGCCGTCCGGGATCCACACCTGCGGTCAGTCGGACATCGATGATACCCGGACGGTGAATCGACGTCGTACGCACCGGAACCCACGAAACCTGTCCTCGACGCCGGCTCTCCTGGCGAAGAAGGAGCTTTTTCTTGGTCTGGCCTCCTAACCTGACCTCCGACGATGTAGGAGCGGGGTGGAGGCGACGAACGCCGATGAGGAGAGATGACGGCTGGGTTCGAGGCGATAGGCGTCGAGTCGCTGAAGAGCGGTGGTGAACGAGCTTGGGCCTGTTGGCTTGGCGGGGAGGTCTCGGGTTCGGGGTGGGGCGGCATGGGCTGGATTGAAGGGGCTCCGTCCGCGGCAGGAGCCCATGAGTTCGTGGGGCGGCGGCGACTGGCGTGTTGGCTCGTAGTGGGACGGCGGTCGATGGGGGCTTCCGCAGGGCTGAGGGGCGGGGGTGGGGGCGATATGGGGGGGGGGGACGTGGCTGCGTTCGTATGGAGAAGGCACGAAGTAGAGGTCAAAGGCTGGGAGCGGCTGAGTGACCGATGAAATCCCGGTTGTCCGTGTCAGTCGCCCATGGCGAGAGCGCACGCGGGGTCCAACTCGGTCATCACCCACGCGTACAGGGATAGTTGCGCCCCACTTATCACAAGGAAGCAGGACTCTGGTCGCGACTTTCGTGCGTTCACTTGGTAAACCTCAACCGAGGCGCGTGCTGAGGTCGCGAAGTCTCGGAAGACCCCGCTGTCCTTGTAGATATCCGGAATCTGGAATACTCGGCGCGGGCTGCGCTTTGGTAAAATTTCTTCCTTGTAGGGTGCACTCGCCGCCTGCTCCACCAGTCGAACCAACAGCGGCGCATCGGCCATCCGTGAGCACCGCTTTGACGTTACCTCGCCGCTGCTGTCCGACGTCGCGCCGACCATGTCTGCGAGATACGGAGTTCATCCTCATATCCGCACGGCGTCGGGAACACTCGCGCCGCTGGTGCGGGGTCCCCGTCGTATCCCCAGTCTGTGTTCTGTTTACAGAGCTCGAAGACACAGGTCCAAGTGCGGGCTTCCGGATTTCATGTATAATACTACATGGATGTGCGAACAGTGCCCAATGCGGTCTCCTGAAGGTCTCCGCCGCGGGCTCCCCGGTGTTATACAACTATACTGACCACAGGTTGAGGCGCATAGGCTGTGGGCGGTGGCGACCCGAACGCCGTGTCGCCGCATTCCGCGGCGATGGAGGCGAAGACGTACGTGGATATCCTGCTAACGATGGGTTGTGCTTGCTGCGCCGACGGTGCGCGGGGGCGGCGACCCCAGCGCAGAGGAGATACAAAAAGTCCTTCATGTCCCTCAGATAGTCATCTGGACATACACCCCCCGAAATCTCCGTTCTTCGCCATGGCCGACGCTTTCGACGACGAATACTTCGCGTACCTCGAACAGGTGGAGGCCTGTTCTTCACCCGCACCCCAGTCCTGACCATAGTGTTAGAATATTGTCGAGATTTTCAAGCTCACGGAGATCAGCACTGGGACGCCCTTCGTCTCAGGATGCCCGACGTTCAAGCGCCCCCGAACGCAAATGTATACACGTTGGGCGTCCCGAGCGGCTTTGTCGACATGGGGCCGCCAAGCGGGCCTCCTCCGCTGCAATGACCGTGAGCGGGGGCTCGCATTGCTTCCAATTGTCAGGTTCGCTCACACATATACAGTGCCCCGCACAGGATGGCGCCGCCTGGAGGACTTCCCCTCGAAGAGTTCCGGATGCAGCCGAGTTCGAGGACGGAAGAGTTTGAGGACAACGTCGTGCACTTTGGGCTGACCGACGGTCGTCCCGGAGTCTCGCTCGAGTCCGCGTTCAGCGGCGACGGCGAGTGGATGCAGATCCAAGACGGGGATCACCCGGCGTATCACCCCGACTGGGGCGTTGCTGCTAAGGGCCACTTCCGATGCCAGGTATGCCGCGGCGCCCATCGTGACTCGCCTCGAGAAGGGAGCGCGCTCGCTCACTCTGCCCTCCCCAGTTCAAGGGTCCTCTGGCAAGTACGAGAGGCAGATCACCGCTATGAGATCCACCGCCGGGGGCGAGTCTATCACCCGCAAGACGCTCGCGAGGAAGATCGCTATAGAAATCGGAAGTGCCATCGTGAGTAGGTCACGGCTCCTGGAACACCCTCACGGGAAGGCACTGACAGTGGAAACTCACCAGAAAAAAGTGGAGCCGCAATACTACAACGGAAAGAAGATCAAGCTCGAGCACCTCCGATTGGTCGAGTACCGACGCAAGTCCAAGGGATCCTGGGAGCCCGTTTTGCAAATTAACGAGTCCATGATGGGGTAGCGGTGTGCTCGACCGCGGCGAGTGGCATGCGTAGATGGTCGAGTTCTAGAATCGCTCGTTGGTCGTCCGGGATGGGTAGACGAACATATTTAAGACTTACCTCCTCTTTTCCAATTGCAATCACATCCTCCGTCACCGTTTTTCTACCTCAGCCCGCCGATGTCGATGCCGGTAAAGTGTATCGATGGGGACGACGAGACGACACGAGCGAGCGGGGCGACAGTACAGGGAATGCCGTCGATTGGGCAGAGTCGAGGCTGGGCAGCTGGCGGTGGATGGGGGGCGGGGACTGTGACCATGGGCCAGGCTTTGAGTGTTGAATCTGGGCACGCGTATATCTGACAGGTTACTGGTATCCGACATACGTATGGAGGCAATGTCGACGCTTAGTCGATGCATGGGTCTGATGCTGTGGAGGACGGAAATGAGCATGCGATGCGAGTAGGAAGAGGGGCAGGGGAAGAGCTGGGAAGAGGCTCGGGAGGGAGGAGCGAGATAGCATCGTGCACGCAATCGATACTCACACGCTAGCGTATAGTCTGGCACGCAGCCGATGCCATGCCACGCTGGTGTACAAGTATTGACAGGGCAGGGAAGGGCGATGCGAGAGCCAGACTTGCGCCTCCTGGCCAGCAGGAGCCGCAGAAATTTTACTGATTGGAGTAAGGTTGCGAAGACCGCACGCGCGACGCTGCATCATTCGCACTTCCAACGACAGTCAGGTGGTGCACCCGACAGGAGCTGGACTGTCCTGTTGCTCACTCTGAGCTCTAAATCGCCGCGCTATCCCCCAAGGTACTGCATTTATTCGTTCCACATAGAATTTCAGGATGCTCTGGGGGCAATATTTTGCCTCCATAGTATCCGTACGCCGCTTAGATTACAACGCGTGTCCAAAAGGCAGCGACGTGTACATGTGTGGGGGGGGAGACTCAGTGTTTCCACGAGTGCCTACTAAGTTCCCGCAGACTGATAGTTAGTGGAGGGTCCTGGAGAGGGCACGTGAACAAACATACACAAGCAAAGTGGGAGTGGGATGGACCGCCATGGTGGCCATCGGCAGAACGAGTGCGGTGGCGTCTGCGGTGACTGGCGAAGGCGGACATATGATTCTGTCAGCTTTGCAGCAGACGCTAGAACTCGGCGGGCCGGGCCCGGGCGTCCAGTAATAGTGATCGGACCCGATCGACATGCGTCTCTGCTCGAGCGGTGAGAGCACGTATACTGTGATAGATGCAACCCCAGTACGTGCAGGGATACCTTGATTTTTCAGGCCAAGTAGGAGCCAGAGTGCAGTCGGAACATCCCGCGCATCACGGTAGATCATGCAGAAGCGCCCGCGACGGGTCGGATTGCACAGGATTGCACATGGGCTGCTGCCCCTAATACCAATAATCGCTAAGCCTAGTGGTACCCAAGGTCACACAACTCCACGCGCCTTCTGTGCTTGACCACGTAAGTATCGCAAAAACATGTAAGCTGGGCTGCGGCCCTGCGCTGAATCATGTAGGACTCATGTTACGTACACAAGGACTTTGGCGCATTCACGCATCTCTTCCTCGCTGAAATGGATCATGGTATGATGACGCCTCGGTTGAGTGCTCCGCGCGGCGCGTTCGGGATTGGGGCCGAGAGAGGATGTCGTCAGGCGTTCACGAATCTGGGCTCTGGAAGGTCAAAGTACAATACAACGATCATCTACCTGTCTAATCAACAATATCTAGCATTTAGGTGTGTGCGCATTACTCGACGAGGGGTGTCTTAGCCATCAGCCCAAGGATGTCCCAACCGATGTTGGCAGCAGCGATCGACGTGATCTCGTCTGCGGTAAGTAGGACAGATTAGCGCAAGAGAACCAGGGAAGTACATTATGTGGAGCACACCTTGGGAGTCATAGTCGGGCGCAACCTCCACGATGTCGGCACCGACGATTTTGAGGCCCTCGAGCGCGTGGAGAATCTTCTTGATTTCCTGTAAGTGGGGAGCGTGACCTCCTGCACGGCACGGCGTGACACGGGCAGTGGTGCGTACCCTCGTGGTGAAGCCACCGATCTCAGGGCTAGAACGCGACGTGACAGGTGAGGTTAGTCCGCACCCCGACTTTCCAGGAGACGTCCGCTCACGTTCCCGTCCTGCAAGAGCACACTTCAGTCAGTCTCCGCCCTGTGCCGACACAACAGACAAACGACTCACGCAGGTGCCATCGCAGGGTCCAGCACGTCGATGTCGAGAGAAACTGCAGAGCGACACACGTATGAGCACTACCTTCCGCAGCGTGCCCAGGCGACGAGACGCACTGTACACGGGGTTGTCCCCGACCGTGTCCTTGATCTTCTTCACGATGCCCTGCCAGCCGATGTCCTCCGCGTCCCACGCATGCGAGATCACCCAGCCGAACGCGTAGTCGTCCTCGTAGTCTCCCAGCTGTTGATCGCCCCGCGGATTCCGACATGCTAGGTTCCGCCCGCGCTGGTCAGCGGGGCGGAGAAGAAAAGAGGGAGACGCGCACGATGTTGGAGTTGTTCGGCGCGAGGAGGCCCTCGTTGAACGCGTACCAAAAGTAGCTCCCGTGGCTCACCGGGATCTCCTCGTCAGGAAGCCACGGGCCGCCCTTCGACGGTCGTGGCTTCCATGTATCTGCACGACACCGCCGTTTAGCGTCCCCAGCGCCGCGATTCAAAGCGGCACGCACCCAGATGGCTGTCGAAGTGGATGACGCTCACGGGCCGTAGACGGCGGCGACGCCACGGAGGAGCGGAAGGGTGATGGTGTGGTCGCCGCCGAGGGTGAGCACGCGCGGATGGAACTTGCCGTCCTTGGCGAGCGACTTGCCCTCGGGCGCGCGCAACGCGGTGCCCTGGACGAGCGCCGCGTTCGCGAGCTCGAGCTGGCGGAGCGCGACCTTGTTGTCCGTCAGGACCATCGCTGCGTTTTGCGCGCGTCGCAGGAACCCGGGTAGATAAGAAAGAAGAAAAGAGGCCGTGCGTCGTCAGCCCCGCATGACTCCGACGCAGAACGGGGAAAGCGAGAGGCGGCGAGGTACTCACGGACGTCACCGCAGTCGACGACGTCGATGTGGTCGGTGATCCGCACTTTGGCCGGCACGTTGAACCTGTCGATCCCGAGGCGGCGCGAGCCCTTGCGGATGCCGTTCGGCCCAAACCGCGCACTGTCGAAAGAACGCGAGACGCAGTCAGCGCACCGTTCGGCCCGTCCAATTCAGCCGGCGGCCCGCGCGCGGCCGAGCGTCCTGCGCGGTCCCAAACATGCTATCTCTCAGCACCCCTGCGGCCTGCGCACGCAGTCTGAGGCCTGGCCTGGAGACCCACACACCCGCCCCCCAACTTCCTCGCCCCGCCGATCTCAACCGCAGAAACTCGCGCGACGCGAAACAAAAAAAGCGCGACCCACCCCGGCCGGAAGCTCGTCGCGGTATCGAACGGCGCGCCGATGACCGCGACGTCGAACGGCTGCCCGGCGTCCACGCCGAAGCACCGCTGCGGCGGCGCGCGCGCGAACGTCGTCAGCCCGTTCCACGCCGCCCGCGTCCACGCCGTCTGCGGCCCGAGCCCGTCCCCGTACGCGGCGAACAGCTCCGTGAAGTTTACGTCCGTCCGGTGCGCGAGCCCGACCGGGTACTGCACCGACGCGCGCGCGTCGGCGTCCTGCGCGCTGGCGAAAGGCGCGGCGGACGCGTACGCGAGCGCGAGCGCCGCGGCGAGGCGGGGCGAGAAGACCATCGTGGGTGTGCTTGTGGAGGTAGGGCGGGAGAGGAGGAGAGAGAGGGAGGGAGGGGAGCGCGACGGCGAGAACGACGACGCGGAGGGCCTTCCGTTCTGTGCGTCCCGCACGACGGTCAGTTTTATAATCTCTCAGCTCGCTGCGCGTGTCGCGCGGTCGACTGATTGATAACAGTGTATGGCTCGTTATCCTGCTTCGGCGTGGCATCGCTGGTGGCACAGCCGGGAACGGAGTCCTAAAACCCCACTCCCAGGAACAGCGATAAGCACGCCTGGCGTCAAGCACGTGAGCGCGACAGAGCGATAAGTGAGGAAAGTTGTCGAGTGAAGGGGAGTACGGACCCGGTCCATCTATTGAGTCGACTAGCGCCCTGCCTCTCGGAGGGAGCGTCTTGAGGTGATTGGCTTGATAGGATCGACCATTAGCACCACCCAGAAGATAGTTGGTGATCTCGTACCTTGGACGGATGCACTAAACCTCTGTAATGTCGGTCGAGTACATGTGCGTCAGGCGCATACTAGCGCGGTCTGCAACCTCACTCAAACCATACACACACAAGGAGGAGTTTACAACAAGCTATCCATTTTGTCGAACGGGCTGCTACCGAAAGTAAAGTAAACGAGAAGCCGTGGGGGTACAGGATGCTCATCACCCGGCAGTCCAAGAAGCGCGGCTAGTAGACACGCTTGAACGGCGGCACCGACTTGCACTCGCTCTCGTCGAGCGTGGTGTGGATGACTTTGCGGTACTTGAGGTCGACCTCGGGTGAGTTGACATCATGTTGCCAGGTGAGGGAGTGCTTCATCCACTGCTCGTCATCACGCTGCGAGACATGTGAGCTACGTTCGGAGTAATCCGAGGGATGGAAACATACATCAGGGAAGTCCTCACGCGCGTGCGCGCCACGGGACTCCTGGCGGGCGGCGGCGGCGACAATCGTCTGGGTGGCACACTGTAGGAGGTTACGGAGCTCCAGAGTCTCGACGAGGTCACTGCGAGGACAATCTGAGCAACGAAGGGATTCGAGTACATATATTCACTTACGAGTTCCAGATCATGCTCCTGTCCTTGATGCCGACCTGGTCGAAGGTCTTGTAGATGTCGCGGATTTTCTGCACGCCCTCGTCGAGAGTTTCCTGGGTACTGTGAAATACGTTGGTTCCAATAGTCACTCAACGTGGACAACCAAAACGAACCGGAACACCGCCGCGTCAGACTGCATCGCCTTCTGCATGTCCAACCGGATCTTCGCAGTCGGGAGAGGACCATCAGCCTTGCGGACCTGGTCGAGGAACTCAACGCTCTGGAGGCCGGCGTTGGCGTCAATCTTCTTGTGGGGCTTGCCAGGAGTCAGGGTCTCCTTGATGTGGTGCGCGCAGGCACGGCCGAAAACGACGATATCGAGAAGCGAGTTGGCGCCGAGACGGTTCGCACCATGAACGGACACGCAGGCAGCTTCACCAGCAGCGTAGAGACCTGGGACCACCTGGTCGTTGCCCTGTGCATCCTGGGTGATGACCTCGCCCGTGTAACGAGTGGGATACCACCCACTAAGAGAGTGTCAGTAAGCAGACAGCTGACGGGGGTCAAAGCGTACGTACTGTTGTAGTGGACGGTGGGCAGAACGGGGATGGGCTCCTTGGTGACATCGACTCCCGAAAAGATGGCCGCGGTCTCAGAGATACCGGGGAGACGTTCGTGGAGGATGTCAGGGGGCAAGTGGGAGAGCTGGAGGTAGATGTGATCCTTCTCAGGACCAACACCACGACCCTCGCGGATCTCGATGGTCATGGAACGCGAGACACGTCACGAGACGCGAGATCCTTCGCGGTAGGCGCGTAGCGTCCATGAACCGTTCACCCTCTGAGTTGAGCAGGTATCCACCCTCACCACGCGAACCTGTGGTCACATTTATAAGTCAATGCACATCGGAAAGCAGTGATAGAAAGCTCACCCTCGGTTATGAGGCAGCCGGCACCGTAAATACCAGTAGGGTGGAACTGCACGAACTCGAGGTCCTGAAGGGCAGGCCAGCACGCGCAACCATGGCGTTACCGTCACCCGAACACGTGTGCGCGCTGGTGCAGCTGAAGTATGCGCGACCGTACCCACCGGTCGCGAGGACAGTTTTGTGCGCACGGAACCGGTGAAGCGTACCGTCCTCCATGTTCAGGGCGATGACACCGACGCACTCTCCACCTTCCATGATGAGATCAAGGGCAAAGTACTCAATGAAGAAGTTGGTGTTGTGACGGAGGGATTGGCCGTAGAGAGTGTGGAGGAGAGCGTGACCGGTTCGGTCCGCCGCCGCGGCACAACGGTATGCCTGGCCACCCTTGCCGTACTTGAGTGACTGACCACCGAATGCGCGCTGGTAAATTTTGCCCTCCTTCGTCCTTGAGAAGGGGACACCGAAGTGCTCAAGCTGGGAGGGGTTAGAGCGGCATTGAGGGTCGTCAAACTCCAGACACGCACCTCGATGACAGTGTTAGGAGCCTCGCGACACATGTAGTGAATGGCATCTTGGTCACCAAGCCAGTCGGATCCCTTGACCTGAGGGTGCATAAGGCACGGAGAAAGCACACTCATGGTGACCGAAACTCACCGTGTCGTACATGTGCCACCGCCAGTCGTCCTCAGTCATGTTCTACACCCTTTACGTCAGACCAACCGACAAAACTATTTGAAGAACTTGAAGCTCACACCGAGCGCGGCATTGATTCCACCCTAAGCAGCAACACGCATATGAGCTTCCGCTGGCTCCGCATACAACCGTATCAGACGCACCTGGGCAGCGACAGTGTGGCTACGAGTGGGGAAGAGCTTCGTGATGCACGCCGTGTTGAAGCCAGCCTCTGCGAGACCGAATGCTGCCCGCAGACCGGCTCCGCCAGCACCGCTGGACCTGCTTCAGCCGAGCCCACGCGATAGCAGAATGCGGGGAAATGCACTCACACAACGATGGCATCGTACTCGTGTTCGATGAGCGGGTACTTTCCAAATGACTGCAAAAGGACGCGAAACCAGTCAGCAAGCCCCGTATTGCACACAGGGGCGCCGCGAGGAGCGGGGTAACGGGCTCGCTCACCTGGACCTCCTGTGCCTTGACGGGGTTGGTGGCGACGACCCTGCGCGCGGGGGCAGAGGAGGAGAAGGAACGGTGGGCTGCGGGGGTGCGAAGGCCCCGGGCGAGTGTCTTTCTGAGCATCGCGGGGGTTGTCGCGGACGACGGGGAGGAGGAAGAGTGAAGCTGGCCTTGGGCCGCCTTGCCGTCACGCCCCTTCGGGTCCTTGCACCGAAATCCCGTCCGCCGCCGAAACCAATCAGCGCCCTGTGATTTCCCCCACCACTGGGCGCTTCCTCCCTCGGCCTTTTCACGAGCCCGCGGCCTCCGGCTCTGCTGCCGATGCGTAAGTATGGACCTCCAGGGTCCAGCATGATGTCTTGAGCGAGTCTTGAGCTCTCTTCATTTTACATATGAATAATTTACGTTTCATGGAACGGGTCTCGGCTCGCGCAGAACTGTTTGGTGATCATCATCGGGCTCAACGAGACATTCTGAATCAACATCGGGGCGCATGTGACTGTGAGTGTGGATGGTGAAGACGGACAAGTGGCAAGGAGATAGCACCGAACAGGTCGTGAATGATAAATATACAACCCAAACTACTCATACAAACCAGTCGCATCTATGTAGTCTACAACTACCGCAACGCGCCGAGAGGGTCGTACGGCGCCTGCTTCTGTTCGTGGGAGGGTCCGGCGTTTGCCGCCGGTGGGGCTTGAGGAACGATGGCGGGAGCGGAGGTGCGCGCGGAAGAACCAGCGTCGTCGAAGTGCGCGGGGGACGCGGGGCAAGGTTGCGATTGGCGAGTCCGAGCTCTCGAAATTGGACTTCGTGTAACTCCACGGCGCGTGGAAGCTCGACAAGTTGGGTTTCGGCGACGTCGCGCTTACGGGAGAGGTTGGTGGGAATGACATTGATGCCGGGAGAGATGACGGGGTTGTCGTGCGGCCAACGGTATGCGATGAGCCTGGCGGTAAAGCAGACAAGGGCGCCTTCTTCGTAGGGGGACTCGACCCCGACGCCTGGGGCATGAAGTAGTCGTTCGACCGGCGAGGCGCAGCAATGCCTTGCGGGCGAGCGTTGATAGGAATCGCTGCTGCAGGCATTGGGGGTGAGGTGTCGACGCCTTCCGACTGAGGTCTTCGGCCGCCTCGCGTGCCTTCTTCTCCTTTTCCCGCCTACGGTTCGCCTCTTCTTCGCCGACCAGCCGGTCGTCTTCCACGTCGGTCACGACGCCCTTGAGAACATCTCGTACGTAGGCCAAGCTTTCCAGAGCCTCGCGTTTGCGGTTCTGCATGGATCGCTTGTGTGCCTCATCCTTGGCTTCGCCTACGTCCAGGAGCAGGGTGTCCACAATCCATCCAACCGCGTCGCCAAGCTTCTGATGGGTCGCGCGGAGCTGTGCCGCCTCCTGCTCGATTTCTCTCCGGACCGGGGCTCCCAAGGAGGTCTCTCTATCGGCCGCTCGGGCGACATCGGATACAACGCATTCGCCGGCTGCGGTGTGAGGGCAACCGGTTCAGAGCCGTCGCGAGATCCGGCAGGTTCTTCTACATGGACGGTCAGCATATCAGATACAAGCACAGAGCAGTGAACGCACCCTGAGCTCTGAAACCGCGTTCATAACAGTCTTGTTATCCCCAGACTCTCTCCCCTCTCAGCAGTCCACGCGCAAATGACTCCGGCAGATTCTTCGGTGTTGACGTTTGACGCTCATGCATCGATTGCCTGGGGGCGGGCTTATGGCGTATTGATGCCGTTGATAGCCGTGAAGGAGCCACTTCTCTGTGTTTGCCGCGGACGTCGATGACAGGAGGTGAGACGGGGGGTGGAACCTCCACGGGAATTCCGAAGGTGTTGCGATTGCGTGTATGATGGCGACACCAGTCGTTGGGCTTGGCGACATTTGGAGTGTGAGGGCCTGCTGAGGAGTATTGTAGCGTGATGGTCCCCAAAGTCGCTGGATCGCCCCCGCAGCAACGATGGTTGAAGGATACCGTAAGAGCAACGTCAACTGTCCGCTGTAGTCCGCGGGGATGACTGAAATTCCATGAGCACAACTCGAGCAACAAATCAAGTATTGAGACGCACGCTTGTTCCGGATGCGAATCAGCATCGCCACACACACCCACATTGCCAGATCGAATGATGGATCAACAGCAAACAGACCGTCCCACATCACCATCGCGTCCTCCATTCCAAACTCTCGAGTGAACAGCAGTCGTAACCACCGGCTGAAAGAACATCACGATCAAGTCTGTTGAAAGCTTCAAAGCACTCACATTCCGTAGATCTGAGGCTCGATCCCAGCACTTTGCATGGCTTCCAAGCTCCGGATCGACGCTCTTGAGCATCACGGACTGTATGCGGTTGCAAGCCGCCACGATAGGCGCGACGTACTGCTTCATCCGATTTCCGCCAGGTTAAGTTGAACATGCGACGCCAAGGAGCGGGCACCATGCGTCTTGCCCTCTTGCCATTCGTACCACCTCCCTGTACCCTTCATCACACGTCAAACAGTAGCCATGCATCCGCGGCGACCCACGGACGAGCGCAGAACTCCTTGACTTCGGCTTCAGCGTCGGAGTCTTCAGCAAGGCAGTCGTAGTCGATTGCATAGTACAATGGTGCGAGGAGCTCGTGCATGCCTTGGCGATACCCAATGTGGGGGTGCATATCGGAGTATAGATAGAGGACGTTCGTCAGCTCGGCTTGAACTTCCGCGTCCCGGAAGTACGCGATGTCAGGGAACCTGAGGATACTAGATGAGCATCGAGCAAAGCGAAGTGAAATCCATGCATACGTTCGCTCCACATCCTGGAAATCGTCTTTCGCAGCTCCATAGCCGCGAACCATTCCCGCCACGGATTCTGTATCTCGTTCACCTCCTGCTCCACACTGAGACGCAGCATCAACGCACCTCATCATGCAAACTGAGCGGGTTGTTCGTCTCCAAGTTCTGCCCCGACCGCTCCGTCCGCGGAGGCGACACCCCCGACCCTGGCACGGTGAAGCCCTCCTCGTACCCCCATCCGGCGCGCGCATCTTCGTCATGAGTAGCCGTCGATAGTCTTCCCGCGCGGCGCGCAACGCCTTGAGAGGCGGCGCGGCCTCAACGTCCGCACCATCTTGCAGGGGCTCCGTTGGGACTAGAACAACTGGAAACGCACCACATGCTGTGAGCACACGGGGCGCAGCGGCGCATACGGACACAAGGACGGACCTTCCAAGCGAGACTTCGCCCCGCCACACCCGCACTCCCATCTCTCGGTTGAAGCAGGCGGCATCCCAGCGCGGCATCTTTGAGTTTCGATACCGTCGCGCGCGAGTTGAAGATGTGGTCGTATGCGTCTCTAGGTAGGGACAATGGTTACAGAGGTGAGTCTGTGGACCGAGCCTCAATCAGAGGACAGACTTGATCTCTTTGACGGAAGACCTGTGTCGCGGCTCTCCCATCGGAGGTTTGAAAACTGAAGCAGACACCAAGTAAAAGAGGGGCGAGTTCGTTAAAGGTGGAAGAGAGACGATGAAGGTCAAGTTCTATAGGTGTGGCTGGGACTAGAGCAACGGTCGACCAATAGTACAGCCCTTTGGTACAGCCGCTTCAACGACGTCATCCAAGCGCCCATCTACTCACCGCGAATGCTGCAGTCATCTTTACGAACAGATCGGACTCGGCTCGCGAATCGATACAAAAAAGTGGTTCAAGCGTCGACCATGTGCGTACATTATGTATCCTAGACACTATTATACGTCGGTGACCAGCTTTCCATCCACAAAGGTGATAGCTTCACCTACGAAAAACGGTCTCAGTAAGCAAAATTGAGTATATCGAGCACAACATGCTCACCTGAGCGTTTCTTCGCTTCGGGGAGATCATGAACGCAATTACTGCTCGATCAAATCGATCTCATCGACGGCGAATTCGTCAGGCAAGCCCAGTCTCTGGAAGAGTGAAACCGGTCAAAGTTGGCTCAGTTCTTAGGCAAGCATACCGTACCCTTTTCACGGTCATGTAATCTCCCAGCTGGCGTCTTCGGGGAAACTAACTAGTACCATATCGTCAGTCTAGTGAAGACCATGACAGAGGCTCCGCACTTACTCATCGGTGTCTTGATGAACCCGGGGGCGTAGGCGATGACGGTGATGTTGTGAGGAGCAAGTTCCTTCGCTTTATGTAATATCATCAGAAAGGTCTCGTCCTTCCCGACGATGGTTTACGCACAAGCAGACTGTGTGATGGCCCTGACTGCAAACTTGGACGCGCAGTACATGGAAAGGTTGGCGTAACCTTCACCGCAGAGCACGGATCAGTGTGATACGTCGCCCGACGCCTGAAAGCACCAGTAACTACCAGACTTGCCAGCAAGCGACGAGGCAGCTGTGCCAGGTCAAGGATTCGCGGGTCAATCTCTGAAAACACCCAAAAGCAGACGTGCAGACGTACGGATGATAACACCCCTTTGCCCTGCTTTATCATTTGCTTCGCGAGTGCTTCACCTGCAAGAAGACTCCCTTCACGTTCACGCGTGGAGCTGGTCCCATTTCTCGACGTCGAGGTCGATGATCGGGCCGACGTTGAACAGGCCAGCATTCGCAACCATCTACCGCGCCGCAGCATCGTCGGCACCGACAGCAGAACCCGCACGCGGCCGAAGTACGCACCACGTCGAGCCCCCAAGCGCCTCCGCCGTCCCGCTCACTATCGCGACAACGTCGGCCTCCTTCGTGACGTCGCCCGTGAAGAAAGCCGCGCGGCGTCCTTTGCGCGGATCGCGTTCGCGACAGCTTCGAGCTGGCCTTCCTTCTGCGCGATGTCCGCGACGGCGACGTCGAGTCCCTCCTCCGCAAGCTTGAGGGCGATGGCTTCGCCGAGGCCTTGGGCACCACCAGTCACCAGAGCAACGCGAGGCATGGCAGATGGCTTTGAGAGAAGATGGAAGTCAAGCGTGAGTCGACGGTGCAGTGGTGAGAGACGTGCCTGCGCCCCCGCTCTTTATGCGGATATGCAGGTGCTAGAGTGCACCCTGCAAACTCGTCCGGTCTCCGAGCCAGGTGACTGTGAGGGCATCAAAAACGTACATAACTTACGCCCGACGGCGATACGACTTGTCGGCGGGTGCACGTTGATTGGTGCCTCTGTCTAGGAGTGTTAGTAAGGTTCCATTCACGTCGGCTAAGGTGCATGTTCGGGTCCGTTGATTTAGAGCCTCCAGATGCAGGTCTGGCGGTGGCATGTGCTCTTTTTCATTGCACTTCGGAAAAGCAGTGGTCAGTTCTCGCAACATATCGATCGGGCCTGGAAATGCCACTTGAGAGCGAAGAAAGTACCCACCGGCCTCATCCTTCACCGGAGTTGCTGAATCTACACCAACTCCGTTCAGCGCCACTCCAATATCACAACATGAGACTCGCTGAATTGCTTTCTCCATATAGACCTTGGGACTTGTCTCGAAGGTGTCTAGCGGCCTGCTCTCTGAATGATAACCTTGCCATATTCGTGTTTATCAGGGTCGAAAGCTTAGGACCACACAAGACAATTCCTGGAGCCGGGAGCACTCAGACGTTCCAGGGAAGAAGCCATGATGGACCCAACAACCGTGAGAGCGGATATGCATTATGAAGACACAACTGTAAAGATATCGTGACAGTGAGCAAGAAAGCGAGGTGGGGCAGTAAGTGAGGATACTATAGTGAGAAGTCTGGCGTTATGGTGCGTGTCTACCCGTCGATGTCAGTGTACGCCCGAGAATCTCCCTTCTGGGACTTCTTCCATGTGGCGAAGTCGTCAAGCATCGTCGGCCATGCCTACAAGAACAAGGAATGAGTATATGAAGATGACTTAGTTACATAACAAGCACTCACGCCTTCATCGTCGTAATTGGACAGGTCTTGTTTGATGGTGGTGGCGAAGTCCAGTACCTAAAAAAGAAGACAAAGTCGATGAGCAGGTGTAGGAATCAACGAGCGTCCCCGTAAGAACACGTTGATGCAGAAGGCATCTCGGCGGCAGCGCTTGGACATGTGAGCAACCGTTGACAGGAGTCTTAGAACTTACCATAAGCCACACGTCTTTGTTCACACCCTTGTACGAGCCCTTCTCCTGCGCAGCGGAATCGATCAGATAGGATCAGTATGCATTGTTCAAGGCACTCACGCTGATGAACGCCAGTAGATCCGTCATGATAGGATACCTGGGGGCTACAAGAACAGACCAAAAGGCGCTCGCAGTCTGCAATGGGTAGGTGAGATCGAAGTGAACATGAACAAGAACGTTGTTGACGGACATCCATGTCGATGTTGCGACTCATCCTGCGGTATTAGCAGTTAGAGGCGCGTCAAATCCATGGGTAGAGATACGCACTCAGGTTTCGCTAGGTTGAAACAGAAAGTGTACAGCGCCTTAAACGCCGCACTCCTGCCGGAGGCATGCCGCACATACATGGATTTCCAGCCGTAGTTCTTCACTGAATCACATAATGGACCGCTGGCCTTGTCGGTGAAAAGCAGGTCTTCAAACTGGTGCAATACAAGTGACAATGAAGGGACGTCCGAGGCTCTGTACGTAAAAGGTCAGCACTGTACCCGCCGCCTCCCCAATGCAGCGACAAGGCCTCCACAGCTACGTGGTCGCAGTCGCCGGACAGGAGCAAAAAACAACGCACTGTAGTTCCCCAGTCCCCTTCATCCACTCGCTCTCCTTGAACTTGGCCATCTCAGTCGCATGCATCAGCCATGCCAAAACGAGCGGCAGCGCGCCCTCCATGGACACCTCCATGTCGGTGCAGAGCTTCTCAAAGCCTTCCGGTCCTATGGTTCCCGGCGCATCGGCGTCCTCGTACACCTTGAAGAGCGCGGCCGCCCGCTTATCCGAATATGGCTGTGGGGTCGCGGCGGGTTTCCGGGCACGGGGCTCAGACTTGGTCTTCGCAGAGGTCGCGGTGTGGTCGCTGCCATTGTCGAGGGTCAATTTCGGGTTTCGTATGCAGCAGAGAGAAGATAATATGCGCATGAAGAGACAGCGAGCGGAGGGGGTGCGAGGAGCGTACCTGGGCGATGCGTTCGTGGGCTGGGGGTGGCTTATGTCAGCCGAGAGTAGCTGAATATGGCATCTCACTTGCCTCATTGGGACTTGAGAAGCACGAGGGTTAGGGTACGAGGCACGGTGGGCGTGAAGGGGAAGATGGAGAAGAGGGGACACTCACCCATCATCGGCTGCTACAGAGCGGCCGTTCTTCCTGGCCGTCTTCGAGGTGGTGGCTTTGGGTGCCGTCTTCCTCGTCTTCTTGGGGGCAGGCTCGGCCTAGCGCGCACTGAGCACGGTGGGGCAGCAGGGAGAAAAGATATAGGACGCACATCAGGGTCTCCCCCTCCCTTCTTCGCTCCCCCCTTCCTCGCAGCGACAGGCTCAGCCGGCTTGCTAGACGCAGCTTCTGCGGTCTTGCTTCGGGTAGAGCGCGTGGCACGGACGGGCGCGTCTGTGACCTCTTCAGCACGTTTCCTCTGAGAAAAGTGGTGTCAAGACGGAAAAAAACGCGTGCCAAACGATATGAAGACACACCTTGGGCGGCATGGTCGACTGTGGGGTGGAGAGTGGTGGATGGCGAGAGGCAGGAGGTGGTCAGGCAATTAGACGCGTCGCGCCGCTCCGACTCCAGACGCGAAAGGGCTTACGGCATTCGCCGGGATCTGCGATCTGACAAGCGAGAAACAGCCGCCGGGAGCTTAGCGAGCCCTCGACTCTCTCTCTCCCTCAGTCGGTTCATAATGGCCACCGAAGTCTTCAACCCGAACCCGACCATATTTGCGACCGCAAAGTCAAAGAAAGCATTTGCGAAACCACATTCGTTATGGCTTGACGACGACGAGTCTCAGGAGGATGATGACTTCGATCAATCAGATGAAGTAGAGGCTATTGACCAAGATGAGATCTTCGGTGCGCCCTTCAAGGCCTACCTTCTTTCCATCGCCTGCTTAGTGTGGATGCAATATGCCACAGAACTAATTCGGTCAATTTCCGACCCTGAACATCGCAGCATGTCTCTTGAGCAGCTCGCCGTAGTCTCGGCACCTCAAATCACATTCGATCCCAAATACCCAGACCGGCTCACTGTCGAGTTCACGCCCACGGTACCACACTGCGGCATGAGCACCTTTATCGGTACGCATGCATCATGCTCTCGCACATGCAATGCCGTGGTCTCAACCACGCGGCTCACAGGGCTGTCCATCCGTGTACGTCTCCTGCGAAGTCTCCCTCAGCGTTTCAAAGTCGACATCCGCGTGAAGCCAGGGTCGCATCAGAGTGAGCACGCCCGTACGTCTCCCTACACCTTGGTCCCCTCAGTCCACTCACCTCCGGCTGACCGCCCGTCCCGCAGTAAACAAGCAACTGAACGACAAGGAACGTGTCGCCGCAGCGCTCGAAAACCCGGCTCTGCTTGAGGTCCTCGAGCAGTGCCTCTCCACAGTCGGCCGTGCTTCCAGCGAAGATTGAGTGGATGCCGAGGTGGCGCGTCTCCCATGTATCCTTGCTCTCCTCTTATTATGTAGCATCTCGTCCACTGATGTGGTATTGCGGCTGCTTGATCTGCACCCGCTGTGGGCGCTGACAGCTGACTGCCTGCTCACGCAATTCATCCTCGACATCCCCGTGCGACTGTCCCGCTCTGATGTGTTGCCCATCTCGCAGGTGCCGACAGCAGACATCTCCCGTCTGCACGCAGCAATATCCACCCGGGCGTAGTAATGCCCACATGAGGTGTGATCGCTCTCTCTCTCTCGGGGGCATTCGACGCGTACGGCCCACAGCCTCTGTCGCCATGGACAATCCTCTCCGTCAACATATTGTCGTGATCACATCCGCGCCGCGAAATTCGGCCAATGGCGGTCCTTATGCCCACAACACCTCCGCGATCTTTTTTTTTTCAAACGCCGGCCCACGACGTTTTGGACCATTAGACCGCGTCCCATCATCCCGCGCGATGCGCTCCGACGCTGGGCTTCGGGCCAGCTCAAATTCTAGTCTGCAACGCCTTCCTGCGTTGCCGTCTTTGGATCACTGAGGTATGATCTCTCTTCGGGGAGGCGGCTGCTATGGTTCCTGACGGCCATAAGGTTCAGACGCCCCATTTGACAAGCACGCCGGCGTCCCACAGCGCAGTATTTGTCGTGTTGGTCTTCAACTGCCGTCCCGTTCTCCCAACGGAGAAATCAGCAAGGTGCGAGTCCGAAATCGACGCCAAAGCCGTGTGGGGATACGGGCGTGGCACGGCGACCGTCGCGGCCTTCCCGCTCGCACACCGGCTCGATATGCGCAGGGCTGATTACCGCCCCTGCTTGGCCGCTCCGCCAGTCCCTCATTACACACCCCCACACCCCCGGGTTCTTGTTCGCGCCCAGGTGCACATGCGGCGGCGCGACCGTGAAGCCCTCGCCTTTTCCCTGGGCCTCAGATTGAACCCGCCGCCGATCCCAACTGGGGAAGGCGCAGACGCCCACGGTCCCGCCGCTAGCTTTTTCAGCGGCTCGCCCACTCGCCCACTCGTTCCAACCAGCACCCCGCCACAGCCGAGGACATACTCGTCTCTCGCCGCAGGTGTATTACCAAGAACACGGAATCATCTCTGCCTAGACGGCAAGTTGGACTGCCAAGCCACCGCCCCAGGCTCCGAGTCACCTTCCGCACCGTCGACAACCTCCTTGTTCTGTCGGATCCCGCGTGGCCGCCGCCGCCGCCGCCTTTCTATCCACATCCATACACTCAACGCCTATTTCGAACGGCCGCTACCCGCCGTTCACCACCCACCGATCAAGATCCAAGAATGCACGCCGCTCCAGGACCCCAAGGTCTTACCACCCTCCCCGGGTTCTCAGCGGAAAGCCGACTCGCGTGGTCCCCGATCCGAGTGCCCCCCTCCCTCACACGCGATCCCCTGCAACGCTCTGGACCCTTTCTAGCGGGTCATCCCCGTTCGAACTCCATCAGTCACTCCGCCCGCACCGCCCGCGTTGCAATTCTCGAGATCCCAACGCGGGCTTACCTCCTCAACCCGTATTCAAATGACGCGCTGGTGTGCCGCCACGCGACGCGAGCGTTGCTCGGAGGCTGAAACGGAGACATCGACGACTCCGTGGCATCGCATGGCTCGAAGGAGCGTAGGCGATCGCGATCGCAGACGGCTCAGGCAGAGGGGCACTCCCGAAGGCCTGACGACGCGGTCGAGGGGGACGTAACGCGTAATTCCCGCTCGAACCACCCCCAGGAGCGGTGGGTGGACAAACCGGGACGGGCCGAGCTGAATGCGAGAACAGCCTTGCGATTCTGCCGCCGTGCACTCGAAACGTGTTCCTGACCGCATTCCCAACCAAGGAGCAGGAAATTGCACTCGACGCACGGCGGATCCCTCCAATGCAGAGTCGGCATGTGCGATCGGTCCGGGCGGCCGGTCACCTTCTACAGCCTTCTACGAGCTCCTCCCGCTCATTATCCTCGTGGCCGCCACCCGGAAAACCGGCCCAGGGACGGCGGCGACACAATCGAACGGCGTGCGCCGCGCGTGCCGCGGAGGGTGCGATCTGTTCATGAAACCTCGCGTGGCACAAGACACGAGCCACCCGATCAGGACGCGGTCCGCGCCGCCTCGAGCGGGCGGGTTGCCTCGCGTTCTCCAGCGACTCACGGACCTCCTGGTGGCTGCCCACGGGAAAGGTGGGCACTGGGGGTGTTTCCACGAGGCGGAGCGCCAGCCGCCTGCGCACGGTAACCCGTGGCCACCAGACGCCGGGCGGTTCGAAGGACAACGAAGCGAAGACCGGGCCACGGTGACGGCGCGCGGCGCGGTCCTCGCGTGTGGTGACGGTGCGGGTGTTGCCGTCGGTCGCGCTCGCAGGGCTCGAGCTCCGGGTCACTGAAACCGTTGAGCCTCCCGATTCGTCTCGACTCCGAGTCTCAGACAGAGCGCCTCGTATCCTCGACGCCGCCGGGGAAAAAGGAAACCGCCACTGGGCGTCGCGGTCCCTGGTTCTTCGGGTGCCTGTTGCTGCATAACGGTAACAAAACGTGCACCAGGCGTGCCACAAGACCGCCGGGAGTCGTCGAGCCTCAGTGCGGCGGTGGAGCTGATCGGCGTGGGAGCTGGCTTTGTGGAACGGTGGGCGGTGACGCACTTGGAATGCATGCAGCAGAACATAGACAGACCCGTATGTAGCGGGCTGCAGGCGGCGCCGGCGCAGACAATGTCGCGGGCCCCGGACGTGGGTATCCTTTTGTGCACGCGAGCGGGGAGGCGCCCGCGAGGCGAGCTCTGACACGCCGGGGCCACGCGCCGCGGGCGGCAGAAGGACGCAGGTTATTGTTCTGTGCCGGGTCTGGCTCCCTCGAATCCGCGGAGAGCAGGCGTGGCAGAAGGGGCGTGCGGGCGGCCCGGGGGACTCGTATCCGGAGTACAGGCCTATCGTGAGGGGCGCGCGGCGGGGAGGTGGGAGGCGGATGTGCGGCGGGAGCGCCGCAGGCCGCCAGCGCAGGGGGTTGCGGGGCGAATGGCGACGTCTCAGAGGGGGCGGAGGGGGCGCGGGGCGCGGGGCGGGATCAGGGCCGCGCGCGGGGGACAGCCCTTTGTTTCCCAAACCAACAGGCGCCCGTCCGGAGTGCAGTACAACAGCGGCCAAATCGGGCACAAGGTGGGCACGCGGCCGGCTGGCTCTCCCTCCCTTCTTACTTATACACCCCCACCACCGCTAGCCGGCCATACCGCCCCTGCCCCACCCTGCTCCGGCACTCCTCCCATCTACGTCCTGTGTTCCGCCCCATCGCGATCATGGCCTCCGTCTGCTCCCACGTGCGCCAAAATCACCATCTGCCCGCCACTTGATATTGACAACCATCTTCAGGAATCTTATCCCACGAGCGTAGATAGCCTGCTCCTCGAGCATCCTGCCGCCTCCCACCGCATAAAATACCGCGGTGCCGGACCGCGCCATCCATTCGACTTCACGCTCGAGACCGTGAAGCAGCCAATCGACACCTCGCTCATCATGCCTCACTTCCGCGCACACGCCCAGCCGCTCGACCACCGGCTCAGCATGTACGTCGGCACAGAATCTGCAGCGCCCATCAAGGTCAAAGTCGTATGTCTCCCTTCCTACTCACCTCCGAGCGAGCGAGGTCCACTAACCTCGGTCGCGCCCAGTGCCGACGGTTTATGCCGACGCGGACAATGAAGTTCAAGCTCGAGGTGCACTCCACCTCGGGCTCGGACGTCACCATCTGGTTGCCCTCGGACTTCCGCGGCCACATCCACCGCTCCACGTCCTGCAAGAAAATCATCTTCTCCGCCGGCTTCACGAACCGCATCATGGCCAACGTCTGCGTCACCCAGTCTCGCCGGCCGTCCGTCGTCTCCGTCGCCGACTCCGCCCCCTACCGCTTCTCCGAGATCTTCGTCTCCTCGGACGCCGAGAAGCCCGTCCCCCCAAGCGCCTCCCCGTGCCCCCCGCGCAGCACGCGTGCCACCGCACGGAGAAGCTCTCGTACTCGCCCTCGCCCTCGTCCTCGCGCCACTCCGGCTTCGGCGGCGACTACGGCGGGTTCGCGAGCGCGCTCGCGCGCGCCGCGGTCGAGGAGGACGAGGTCGTGGTCGAGACCGCGGGCACGGTCACGTTCCGGATGTGGGACATCCACGCCGGCGCGCCGGAGGCCCGCGCGAAGGAGGCGTGCAAACGCGTGTTCGGCCTCGGCTGGTGCTCGAAGCCCTCGCCAGAGGTCGCGCTCGACCAGTGGGACTTCCTCCTCGAGGACTGAGCCCAGAGTCCCGGCCCTCTTCCGACGCTCTTTCCTCCGGTGCTGCGTCCCCGTCGCCCAGACCCCCGTCACGCGCGATCCGCGAGGTGCGCTCCGGGCGACGCGCTCCCCGTTTCGTTCTTGTACTTTTCCCCCCGGGTCTTTTTCGCGCAGCCCTCCCCGGTTTCGGTTTCACACTGCACGCTGCATCATTCCCCCGCACGCCCCATTACGCACATGTCCCGCCACTTCGATATCCACGTCCCCCCCACACGCACTGTAGCAACATAGCACTTAGATTATCCCGCCCCGGCCCCACTGTAGCACCAGCTCTCCCCCACCTTTCACTCTACCGTCGCCATGCCAATACCCGCTCGTACTACCTGTCCGCCCGCCGCCGCGTCGGCCGTGCGCACCCCTTCGTTGCACCGATTACCACCTATTACCACCGCCCTTAAGTATATCTTTATAGTGACCCGCCGCGGTCGTCGTCGACACTGCGGCGGCGAGGCTCTCGCTACACGCCCACGACGCTCCCATGCGCACATATGCACCCATGCTCTGTAGATACCGGTCCGGCCACCGATACCCAGAACGGTCCCGAGTTTGCCGTTGAACGTTGCAATGATCCAGGCGTTCCGCCGCCGCTCCCTCTTCCGCTCGCGCACGCGGGCTGCCTTAATCGTAATACAACATGATGCAGCGTGCTCGTATTCCGAATGCAAGCGGCCACTCTGCAGGCACGACGTCTCGCCCGAACTTTGTGCGCGGGAACGTGTTTCGGGGTAGACAAAGGGACCACACCGTCTGAGATCGGTTCGTCGGATTGGAGATGTCAAAGCGACTTCGAGTTGGCAGCGGTCATTGCGTGGGGTTAGTTTTGTGCGCGCGCTTGTGACGGCCGTCCGACCACTTCTGATGGAACTCTTGTCAGCTAGAGCGGTTGGGCGATAAGTACTGAAGTTTCGATTCTTCTCTGGCCGATTCAACACCAAGCTTCAAGAGAGAAGAGCGGGGGATTAATGGAAGCATGCATGGGTGATGTTCAATTTGATCATAAGGGCGTTAGCGGCTAGCCAGGCAGTGGTGACGACGACCGCAACAATCTAAGGCAGATCCGGCCCAGAACGATGGAAGACTCTCCATTAGAGCTAGTGAACAACATCTAGAAGCTAGACTAGACCGACGAGAATGTATACAGGAGAGGTATGATAAAGTACGGCGCGCACGCAGCGCAACAACGGAAGGGACTGAGGAAGAGGGTAAGGGTGAGGGGTACGACAAGCCGACCGCCGGTGATCGTGCAGAAGCCCGGTCCGTCCGTCCAGAGTCCGATAAGCGCACGCCCTTCACACGCTTGCGACGATCCTGGGGAACGAGAGCATGGTCAGCGTCCGGCAGAACCGACAGAGTGGTGAGAGCAACATAGAAGTGACAGAGGGGTGAACGGGACGAGCGGAGGCACTCACTCTTCCGCCTTGTTGAGCGCCTGGATCATCGACACCACCTCCTTGCGGCGGTTGACGACGAATTCCGACTCCTTGAGGAGGTCCTCGAGCACGTCGGGCTTGTAAAGCTCCTGCAAGAGTTGTTGCTGCAGCGTCTCCTTCGAGTAGTTCACGAGCGTGAGCGAGATCGCCTTCGGGATCATGTCGATCATCTCCCGCTTGACGATGTTGAAGTACGAATGGATCAGCAGCTCTGAGGCACGGTCAGCGGAGCGGCGTGCGCCGAGCGAGTAAGGGCTGCGCACTGATCACCTCCGTCTCCATCGTCTCGCGCTCGCTAAGCGCAGCCTGCGGCTTGATCACGGTCGGGGGCTGTACGTGCGGTCAGCGTCAGGATGTGGGAGCGGCTGCACTGACAGCGCCGCGTAAGACGTTCAGCAGAAACTCACCGCCTCCATGACCGCGACACCTTTCTTCTTCTGCTGGTTTTTCGCGAAGAACGAACCAAAGAATCCCGGCTCCTCCCTCATGTCCACGTCGAGGTCACGGTTGTTGTTGATCTGCGCCGGGGAGACCTTGTTCTTGTCCACGCGCTCCTGCGGCTTGTTGGCGTTCATCCGCTCAGTGACGATCGCCATCGCCTTGTGGCCGTTGAGGAAGTCGGGGTGGGTGGTGTTGACGTAGCATGCTTGCATGCTGTACACACCTCAGCTCGGTCTGCGCTACCGACGAGGGCAAGGGCACACTTACCTGACCATATCGGTGACAAGCTTCGTCGTGGGTGTCATTGCAGTCTTGAAGAAGTTCACGACGACGGAGTTGAAGCGGTCACGCAGCGCCGGGAATCGCCTGAATGCTTGCTGTTGACGAGTCAGCGCTAATCCCACTCCACTACGACAGGCCACCCACAATCTTGGCGAGAAGCTGACCGAGAATGCGGATGAGCTCATCGTAGACAAGTTGGCAGCACTTCAGAGAGGGTTCCTCCAGTCTCCTAATCTGCTGCTTGACGATCTGCTCGAACGCCTGGGTGCCCACGAACAGCGACGGTGTCGAACCAGAGGAGTTGTAGAGGAGGAGCCGGACGTCACCATCTTTGACCTGATCGAAGGGGTCGATGGTCTTGATGCCATTGCTGAACAGCTCGTGGAACACAAAACTGATACGTGCACCACCAGAGAGCTCGTTCAGAGACAGGTCGTTCGTGTTACCGTCGATTGTCGTCCGGAACTCGGAGCAGAACTCCGTGATCACGGAAAGTACAATGCTCGACGAGCTGGAGTCACCAAGAGCACCACCCAGCGTTTGAAGCTCCTGAGTGTACTTCTGGAGCTGTTGGGAGATACGGGCTTTGATGTCGGGAAGTGTCGCACGGATGTGCGCCATAAGAATCTGGGCGGACGAAAGGTCGGGGATGTGTCGATACGCGTACAACAACGTCAACACGTACTACATTCAGCTTCCGCGCAAGGAAGGGGGTTCCACAGTATTGCGCCTTGTTGGAGTACGACTGGTGGCCCTCGAAGAACTTGCGTTCCGCATCGAGAGCAGAGGAGATAGGCTTGTTGGTGTCGATATCGCGTTGACCACGGTTGACCACAGGCACGTAACCGAGGCGCAGTGGGATAACGCGACCAGCAAGGATGTCCACAACATCGGTACCGGTGTCCCTGAGAGCCGCCTTAGCACGAGCGCAAGTCATGATGGACAATGAGAGGAACGCACATGAGATCGACCTTTGTTAAGACACCAATTGTCCTCTGACCCTCCGGATCGACCTCGCGCGCCATCTTCAAACCATCCGAGTTCGCCAAATCGCTATTCGCAGGAGTGACAGCGAGGATGATACATGCTGGACGGGAGATGTACTTGAACAGCATGTCCCTGATTTGTTTCTCAATATCGCGCGGCTGGTCTCCGACGGGGACCTTGGTAAGACCGGGAAGATCGACGAGGGTAAGGGTGAGGACATTGGGGGAGAAGATGCGGAGGTTGATGGGGAGAGGAGAGATGCCGGCGTTCTTGCCAGTCTTCGCCTCGGTGTCGCGGACGATCTCGTCACGGATCTTCGTGAAGTCGAAGAACTTCTGGCCAGGGAGATGGAGGAACTCGCCCCACTCGTCGGGGTTGCTTTGTGGGTCACTCTTTAGGTCCTCAGCGCTGGTCTTCGCTGTGGAGGGGGTCAACTCTATGATTTCTTGGTAGGAAAGATCCTTTCACACCTGAACCGTTGGCTCCAGCGGTAGGTTTGCGGTTCATGAGTTGGAGAACCTGGGAGGGAGAGTGAGTGTGGAGAGTGCGCGATACAACCACTACATACCAGTGGTCTACGGGTCACAATACCGGAACCTCGAGGCAAGAAATCCCTTCCGACGATGTTCTACGCGCACAAATAGGTGAGCGCAAAGGCTAACCAGAGCGACCGTCAAGGACGTACCTCGAGCACACTACTTTTCCCGCTACTCTGACTGCCGAGCACACAAATCTGAGGGAGGTCTATTTGGGCGGCGGAGGAGCCGACAGCGGAGAAGACATCTTGGAGCTTGTTGACAACATTTACAATCTCGTTTCCGAGACCAGAGGTCGCCATGGTGGACAGAGGGTAGAGGGGAGGGAGGAGGGGACGTGGATGGAGAAAGACAAGAAAGAGCAGATGATACTCGCGGGCCACACCCTCTCGCCTAAAGACGCGCGTTGTAAATTGGGCGCCTATACGACTGCGTGTACTGCGGGCCTGCGGCGCTGCACTCTCTGCTCCGCCCTGTAGCCTTGAGTTGTACACCTTCCCTCCTGCTCCCAGTCACTTACTCCCTGCTGTAATTGCGGTACGCGGCCTGAAATGATCTCGTCGTGTCTTACCGCAGCAAGTGTCCGACCCCATTCTGCCCTAGAATGCATCATCACTACGCGTAGACTTCGAAGGCGCGAATGTGATATTCGAACCCGACTTGCTCGTCAGAGATCGGCATCAAGACAACATGGTGGACTCGTATTTGAGTGCAAACAGTTCTGTCGTGAATCATCCAGCGGTGGGCTTACGGCATCCGCTGTAAAGTACCGAACTCTAGGCCAACTCGAAGCTTCCAGATGTCCACCGCTCCCCCACGAACGTACAGGCAAAGGTCCTCCGCCATTACCGCCATCCTTACTCTGCCAGCCCCTTCCCCCTACACTCTTCACTCCACAAGCATATGAACCCCGATGTCTGACCCGGCCACAGACGGTGACTCCAAACTCACGCCTTTGGAGCGAGCCCTGAGAGACAGCTTGTCACCACCCAAATGCCGCGACGTGGTTCTGTACGCGTTCAGCCGACGCACCGTATACGCCGATGGCACGATCAAAGTCGATCATCCACTCCCCATCGCGGCCATAGGCAGTGTCCTGAAGGAAACAGAGCATTTCTCGAAGCGTGCGTCCGTATGCCCTTGACTTGATACCCACCATTGATCGGTCCGCAGTCCTTACCTCTGGATTCACCGAGACCAATACCGACTCGCCGACGACCGCAATACGCCAATTCGCCTTCGACAGCGAGTACGACTACGAGACTGACAGTGATCTTGACGAGTTCGATGTCCCCGGTTTCCCACCCGAATCAGAAGCGAGCTCGTCGTTGAAAGGCAAGGGCAAGGCGTCGGATGACGGAAGGGTCTCAGCGGACCTCTCCTCGAATCGACACCAGATCCTCATTCCCAACATCGCCCATCGCACGTAAGCTGCCCGTAGTTGTAACTGGTCCCTTGACGATACTGATATCTTCCAGTCTCAAAGCATGCATCTTCTACCTGTACACCGGCAAGATCAAGTTTCTTCCCTTGATCTCGGAAGGCGGGGGGGAGAGGGCGTTCGCGATGATGACATCATTAGACGGTCCTCCGGCATGCTCTCCCAAGTCAATGTATCGCTTGGCAGACACGGTATGCAGCCGTAACCCAGTCACTCCGTGTTCGCCTTCCTGACTGGTTGTTCCCGTAGTTTGGCATCAATGACCTGCGAGACAGCGCTTACAGAGAAATCATCTCGAGACTCAATATTGAGAATATTGTAACAGAAGCCTTCTCGAGCTTCTTTGCCAGGTAGTGTTGCACTTTCTTGACAATGTGGTCGTTGCCTCATACTGATATACGTCATGCACTCTAGATACGACCGACTTCGTGAACATGCTGTGTCGTACCTTTCTAGGCATTATTCGAAGCCCTCGGTTCAAGGAGCGCTGCCAGCCGTCATCGAGAAGACCGTTTTAGGAGAGCTTCCACATGCTAGCGGAGTATTGCTATCTCTCCTTGGACTGCGCGTTGCTGTTGGCGCAGCCCCGTCAATCGAAACATCGCCTTCCCCCACTATACTACTCTCTCCTATCATCCCCCAACCTACCATTGCGCACTATCCACCATTACCACCAAACCAATCCCAGAACACTAGCTTACCATTGATACCCCTAATCCAACATCAAGTAGTCGACTCACCTATCTTATCCTGGTCGTCTCCACTTTCTGCCCATCCTGTTCCTTCTGATTGCACCTATGATACCTCGGCAGACGAGCTCGTTGTGGACAGCCAAGTGAAGTCGACGAATAGTGTAGAGTACAAACGGAGGATTGTAGGAAAAGCAAGAATTATAGCTTCAAACAAGCTCAATGATAAAAGCAAACAAGTGCCAGGGAAGGGGATGAAGGGGGAGGGGATGAAGGGGGAGGGGAAGAAGGGGAAGAAGGGGAAGAAGTAGAACTTGATGTGTGCTCACAACTGTCTTAGACAAGTCAGCTCAGTCTGTGTTTCACTTATGCGAACAAAGGGCTTTCCATGTGACTCTTATAATGCAGCTTGCCTTACCTCTACCCGTCCCCGCTCCGATTCTTGCGATAGCTTTCAATTCAATCTTCGTCGCCAGTGAGCAAACAACATACTGTGTCACTGCGTGGTCAAGACCATTCTGTGACATCAATTCTTGTTCCGAGTCGCGGCTCGACAGCTTGGGTGCATACTCGAAGTTCCCCTACGCCAGGTTCCTCATCAGCGTGAATATCGCTCCGGCCTCGGAACAAGCTTTGGGAGACTCCATGCTGCCGTCCGATATTCGCGACGTACAGCTGGCCAGTGCCCGCGTTCAGCTGGTGAACGGTGCATCCGATTGTGATCGAAAAGCCACCCATCGTCGGCATCCGGAATGTTCCGAAGGAGGAGGAGTACTGCGCTACTCGTGCGCATTCCCGCCCGTTCACCATGTGACAGTCTTGGACTCTGGATTTGAAGAGGCTACATCTGGTGTACTAGGCTGTATACAAGAGCACGCACTTGGGGGCGAGTATGACTACGAGGAAGATGGTTATCTGGATGAGGAGGAGATGTCTGCAGTGAACGTTGCGTCAGAAGGCGAGGTGGGATTGTCTCCCGGTGGACTGGTGGAGTTCACGGTCACCGGTGCGCGGCATCAAGCGCTCAAGCGCTCAAGCGTTTGTAGTAGTCTCCGGACTAGCTAGACAGACTTTCCATCCCAACATGGGACACCACACATGGAAATCGTCTACATTCCTGTCCACCGTATCCTCTCGATCCCGCTCAAGATATCCTACAGGCTCGGGGCCCTCGTGTTCTATCTTTACACTGAGACCTTGTTTAAGTTGTGAGAGGCCCGTTCAAGTAGTACTGAGTTCTGGCGTGCTAACTTGTCAGGCGATCAAGAGGGCCGCAAGTGCAAGAACATAATCATTGCCTGGCAGAGCCCGAAGACTTCGGACGCCCATGATCACGATGGCACGATCCACCTTCCCCTCGCACCTACAAGCACCGACGCTTCTATCACGATCCACGCGCCAGGTCACGTATGGTGGAGGGAAGGAAAACCAGCAGCTCCGTCTGATGGTCTAATCTAGGGGTTGGTATCACCGTGATCATTGCCAATCGTACGTCAGTGAAGTTGCCTCCCGGACCCGTGCCATAATTGGGTTCTGTCAAAGGCTGTACGATATCAAATGATGGCGCTTTCTGCTTCACAACGTCAACCAAAGTCGCTCAATCGCTCTTCTGACCTGTTCCTCGTCCTCCATCTACTCGTTACTTCATCTTTCGCCTGTTTTCCTTGGACCAGGCACGGTGGTAAGAGCTCATGCGTCGTGCATGAAGCCGTTTTCACTAACTGTAGCTTCGATGACTAGTCTCGAAGGAATCGGCCACGATGTGGCTTCTCAGCACCGACCGAGCCGAACTCCAATTCTTCTCTTCCCCCACTGCAGTCAGTGGCGGTTATGCCATCCTCTCCCATGTGTGGGAGGGCGACAAGGAGCAAACATTCCAAGACCTCCGAACCCTCGACCTGGCATGCAAGGCGCTGAGAGTGAACCCGCGGGACCGCGTGTCCGAAAAGATCCGACAGACATGCTTGCTCGCGGAGCAGTACGACTACGACTGGGTCTGGATCGACACCTGCTGCATCGACAAGACGAGCAGCACCGAGCTCTCCGAGGCGATCAACTCCATGTTCCGCTGGTACGCGTCCGCGGAGGTCTGCTTCGCCTACCTCGCCGACGTCCCCAGCGACTGCGTCCTCGACGCGCCCGACTCCGCCTTCCGGCGCTCGCGCTGGCACACCCGCGGTTGGACCCTGCAGGAGCTCATCGCGCCCCTCTTCGTCACCTTCGTCTCCCAGGACTGGCAGATCATCGGGACCAAACTCGAGCTCGCTACGCTGCTCAACAACATCACCGGCATCTGGACAAACGTGCTTACCAACCAGGCATCGTACTCCACGAGCGGCGTCGCCGCGCGCATGGCGTGGGCCTCCAAGCGGATGACGACGCGGGTCGAAGACGAGGCGTACTGCCTGATGGGCATCTTCAACGTCAACATGCCAACCATCTACGGCGAGGGCCGACAGGCGTTCCAGCGCCTCCAGCAGGAGATCATGAAGCAGTCGTTCGACTCGAGCCTCTTTTCGTGGGGGCGCTGGGCCGCGCACTGGGTTAAGTGGGAGCCAATGGAGAAGCAGCACATGTACAACTCCTTCCTCGCCCCATCCCTCACCAGCTTCTTCCTCCTTGCCCCATCGCCATCAGTTTTTAGTGGCTCCAGTACGCTCCGATACTCCCCCAATGCCACGTATCCTTTGCAGCCTTATCTGCCGTGGCAGTGGAAACCTGAGCACGTACGTCGCTCAGTAATTTCTGTCTGTGATCTTTCACTCATCGTCTGACGAAAAGAACGAACCGGAAGACGGCGAGAAGCGGACACTAGGGCCCTTTGGTGCCCTCGAACTTCCCCAGTTCCAGAACACCAACTATGGGATGAAGTGCCGCTTCCCCACGTTCGAAGTCAAAGGCATCACTGTCGCCATGATCATGGCCGACGATAAGCGCGATCACTACGGCATCCTCCTGCATCCCACTACCGAGCACCTCAGAGACTCGTCGCGCGTACGTTACAACGTCGGGTACGGCTTCAAGACGGACACTGGCATCTCCTACGTGCGCCTCGTCAAGATGGGCAACGACTGGTACAACCTCTCCTTCCTCGGTGAGCCCGTCAAGCCCGAATGGCGCGACCTCTACATCATCGACTCCTTCCCCGAGTTCCGCAAGGTGGAGCGCCTCACCATCTGCTACGCGCTCCACACCATCCTCCCCGCCCCGCCCATCCGAATCCCGCACTGGCTCATCAACCGCCTCGTCGCGCTCGGCTTCGAGCCCGTCCGCGCGCCGATCATCCGGAGCACCCCCAAGGACGGCCCGCGCGTCCCGCTCGTCGCGCAGCTCACCTTCGTCGACGTCGCCAACAAGGAGGCGGTCCGCCTCCGCTTCGGCACGTGCTTCCCCCCAGGCTCGTCGTCGGAGGGGGACGCCGGCGCCGCGGCGCACTGGGCGACCGCGTACCCGCAGCACGCCGCGAACTGGAACGACCCGATGGGCGCGGTCGAGCACGACTGCGCGACGGACCACGTCCGGGACTGGCCCGGGTGGGCGCGCGAGTTCGTGGACGGGCCGGCGCGCGCGCGCGTCGTGCGCCTCGCGTTCACGCGCGGCAAGTTCGCGCCGGACGCGACGCTCGTGCTCCACATGGAGCTCGCGGGGAGCGTGTGGGCGGGCATGATGGCGCGGAAGAACGTCCACTTCCGGCCCCGGGCGGAGAAGGATGTGCAGGCGATCTTGGCGGAACAGGCCGCGGAACGCGCGGTGGCGGACAGGCGACGGGAAGAGAAGAAGGATGGCGACGCTGGGCGGGCGGATGGTGCAGAGGGAGATGGGTTGGTTGAGGCGATTGGTGGTCTCGCGGTGTAGTAGGGCCCCCGGTGCGATTATGCGAAGTCTGTACTTGCCACTCTGCTGAAGCGCTAAATATTCCCGCGGCGCAAGCGCCCTGGAACGCGCGCGTCCATCCCCCCGCCGATGTGAATTCCGTCCGCGACCTTCCAAAACTCGCAAGCGCGGCCACGGCAAACTTCCGACCCATGGCATTAGATTGTACCACCGCAGCAACATATCCCATTTTCTTCTGCCGCAGCACCGAGATAATGTGAACTCCTGGTGCGTTATCACTCATCAGTCCCATTCTACGATGCGAAGCGCTGAGATCTGTATTCCACGCCCTGGTTCTCCAGACTTCTCTTCAGTTTCTGATCATCACTATATAGGACCTGCTCCTGCCCTCGTACTTCCCAGTCACCCCACCCCCTCCAGGCCTTCTCCGCAACCATGACTACGAGCCTCACGCCGCTGGAACGTGCCCTTATGGCCTCTTTGTCGCCTCCAAAGTTCCGCGACGTGCACCTGTATGCATTCAGCAGGCGCACAGTCTACTCTGACGGCTCGATACGAGTCGACCATCCGCTTCCGATTGCCGTCATCGGATCGGTCTTGAAGAACACAGAGCACTTCGAAAAGTGTACCTGCGTTTTCCCCCTTTTCACGTACTAGATGAGCTGATTTGAACTGAAAGTGCTAGGGTCCGGCTTCGCCGAGAGTGACAAGTCACACAACGCCACTGTCCGCCAATACGCCTACGAAAGCGAGTATGACTACGAAACAGACAGCGACCTGGACGAGTTCGAGGGTTTTGATCCACCGCCGGAGCCTCTCTCCGGTCCGTCGATCAAGGGAAAGGAGAAGTCCAACGCCGAAGGGAGCGAAGTCGTTCATGGAGAGCCCTCAGTTGAACTCGAACACCGTATACTCCTCCCAAACATGGCGTACCGCACGTGGGTCCATTTCACAAAGAAGATGGCACCAGACTCCATGTCTAATACATCTCGCAGGCTCAAAGCTTGTATCTTCTATCTGTACACCGGCAAGGTGAACTTTTTACCCCTCAAGTCACAAGGCCAGCAGGACAGGGAGTTCTCTATGCTCACCGCGGCGGACTGCTCTCCACCAAAATGCTCACCGAAGTCAATGTACCGCCTAGCAGAAGCGGTATGTCATGGTTCATGCATTTATAGTATCATCATGTTGATTTCTCAATCCCTGGTTTTGTAGTATGGCATCTCGGACCTACAAGGCCATGCCTACCAAGAGATCATATCGCGTCTCAAACCTGAGAATATCGTCGAAGAAGCTTTCACGAGTTTTTTCGCCAGGTAAGACGCAGCGATAACGTGCGTAGAGGTACTGAGGCTGACCTGAACACACCAGATACGACCGTCTGCGTGAAGATGCCGTGTCGGTTCTTTCGACCCACTACTCGAAGCCAATGGTACAAAAGATGCTGCCAGCCGTCATTCAGAGGGTCGTGCTTGGGGAGCTTCCCCACGCCGGGGAAACTTTGGTGTCTCTTCTTGGACTCCGGGTTTCCGTCAACTCATCTGTCAGGCCGTCGGCAGTACCTCCTAAGGCGTCGATCAGCACAAAACTGGCTCATCCAGCTGCATCTCCTGTTCAAGTGACCTCCCCACGAGCCGCAAGGAACGTACCCAAGGACACTGCACCCTCGAGTGGACGAGTTCTTGGTGCGACACCCAAGGCATCTACTCCATCTGGCAAGCACCGCAGTATACCGACCGCCGCCCCGTACCAGGAGAGCAGTACCCGGTCCCAGACCGTCTCCATTGATACCAGTGTTTACCAGTCGACGACCGCATATGGGTCGTTTTACGAAGACTCCGACGAACCAAAATCGGCAGATCCGTATGAGTGAGCATGTAGGACGCCATCGTGTACACACGTACTCCAATTCATAGAACCACATGTCAGTCCGAGCGGCGTCCCTAGTCTCACATCCCCTGCTTCGCCCGCCTCCACACCCGCGCCGGCACGCCAAACACCCCGCCGCGCCGGCACACCTCCTCGAGCGCCGCCGCGCCGACGTCCGTGGCCACCGCGCTGCCGACGATCTCCACCGCGACCCCGCGCGGCCGCGCGGCGTCGAACGTGACGCCGATGTCGACGATCCCCGTGATCGGCGCGCGCTCGGGGCAGCGCAGCGAGATGCGCGCGGCGCGCCGCGGCGCCGGCGCCCCGAACGCGTCCATCCCGCCGTCGCCGTCGCCGAAGAGGGACGGCTCGGGCTGCGGCGCGGGCTTGAGCACCGTCGGGAGCGAGACCGCGACGGGGATGTGGCGCGGGGTGATCGTGCCTGCGGGGCGCGAGGGTCAGCGAGCGGGGGTCCGCAGTGGACGGGGGAGGGGACGGACCTCGGAGCACGGCCTGGAGCTCGTCCTCGGTGGCTGGCGCGGCGTCCGTCTCGACGTCTGCGCTAGGGGGCGCTGGGCCGGGTGCGTGGGGGGCGATGCCTTCGGGCGCCCAGGTGCAGCTCGCGAGGGTTTCGTTGAGCCAGCACTGTTCGCGCACGATCTGGGCTCGTCGTCAGTGTTGAACAGAGGAGACGTGCGGGCGAGGGCGACGCACCTCGAGCACCGCCCACACTTCCTTGAGCGTTCGCACCGGCACGGACTCGAGAATGAATCCAGGTTCGTCGGGACTCGTCAGACGCAGGTGCAGCGGTGGATGCGCCGCCGTTGGAGAAGTCTGCCGGTCACAGAGTCAGCACTACATCGACTGCGTCAAAACCAAACCCACATATAGCGCAGTGTAGCGTTCAGGCGGGATCGGAGTTTGTGGGTTGAGCTGCCTCCAAATGAGTCACCGACCAAGCCTCTCGACGGAGCCCGCTCACCAGCAGATCGACCCAGCTCCCCGCGCTCATCCCCATCATGTTGTTCACCTCCACGTGCTCCATCCCCCGAACGGGTTCACCACCAGCTCGATCTCCCGCATCCGCCCCTGACTCACGACCAGCCCCGCCGCCTTGCCGCCGTCAGTGAAGTCGAGGATCCACGTGAGCGGCTGGCCCTGCAGCGCCGCGACCTCGCGCGCGGCGGGGAACACGTACTCGACGCGCTCCGCGTCCCCGACGAGCGCGTGCAGCGGGCGCGCGTCGATCGCGGAGAGCGAGAGCCCCTCGGCGTGGTATGCGGGCGGGGGGGTCGGGGAGAGCACGAGGGTCGCCACGGTGATTCCGGGCTGGCGCGGGGGCGTCGCGAGCACGGCGCGCAGGTGGTGGAAGGGGACGTCGAGTGCGGGTTGGTGCGCCGCGAGGGGCTCGGAGTGTGGGGGGAGCGGGGTGGAGGACTTGAGGAGTTTGAGGTAGGCGAGCGGGGAGACGTATGTGAGGAAGGAGATGGAGGGGGTTGTGAGGTACGGTAGCGGGAGCGCGTGGCCGCGGAGGAGGAAGACGTCTAGTGGCGCGACAACGGCGCCTTTTTCACCTCTGCGAAGAGGTGAGCGCGCGGGACGAGGTAGAGCGGAACGAGCTTACTTCATGATGACGTTGGCTTCTTTGCCGGCGAGCGTTTCGATCTCGAGCGACATCTTGTCGATGAAGCTGAACCACCGCCCACCGCCCTCGTTTTCGCTCAGGGCGAGGTGGTCTAGCGTCATGAGATACGACAGGTACTTAGATATCTGGCTTCCTATCCGGGCCGCCTCGACCGCGTCGCGTTGGTCCTCCTCTTTCTGCACCTCGGCCAGAAAGGCCCGGATGGTGCTTGCGAGGAAGCCTTCCATCGATTTTGAGCGCCCAGAAGACGAGTCCGAGGTGCTGTTAGGGATGGCGTACGCCGTCTTGAGCGCCATGACGTCGATGGCGGGCCTTGTGGGATCCCGACGGTCGATGGAGAAGTCGATGTCGATGACCAGCACCTTTCCCCCGAGAACGACCGCTATTCGACCATCTGTCTCTTGCTCGTTGAAGGCCTCCATGCCAGCAGAGGTTCCCCAGTGCAAGAGACGTTTGAGAAACCAGTCGACGACTTCTATGCGCTCCAGCGGGATGTCTTCTCCAAATGTAATGCCTATTCGTTTCCGCAGCGAGCTGACGACGTGGCGGACGTTCTGATCTGCCTATAAGGGAGCGTATGTTTAGGAATACGGGCCGCGGAAGAGTCTGCAAGAGCATACTTGCTGCACAGTGTGCGATATTGATGACTGCTGACGGTAGAGAGACAATAGTTTGGGGTTCGAGAGAGGGAGAGAGTGGTGTGCATTTAGCGACATGGTCGCCTTGTCGGTGGTTTCGATGATGCGCCTCAGTGTTGCCGTCAGCTCTTCCGGAGAAGACGAGAACGGATGGGTGGAGTTTGAAGAGAGAACCTCCGGGGCGGTGAACTGCTGAAATGCAGAGAGGACGGTTGGAGGCACGACAGTGGCCTTTCCGTCTGCCGCGGACGGTCCGCCGACCTGCGATGCCATTTCTGTGGCGGTACTTTTGTCAGTTTCCCCGCACAAAAAGGGTTTGGGTGCGTACCTTGGTGGTGGTGGTGGAGGTTGAACAAGACTCCGTGGGCGCTATAATGCCCGCTTGAAATGCGGAGATTAGATTAGATCTGCGGCAATGCCACTCAGTCACAGTGCGCACGTCGTGTCTTGCCCCTTGCCACCACCTCTCGACACTCGATTCATTCCTCTGCACGCGGCCCCTCTGTGCTCGCTGTCCGGACTTGGCTTCGTGGAGAAGACTGCTGGGCTGTCTACCTCGTGACCAGTCATGAGTCGTCGACTTCTTGCTCATCAGAAGTTGGATAAGTTCGTCGTGTACGCCCGGCCTGTCGAGGGCGGCGAGAAGAGAACGCGCTCGCAGCTTGTTCCACGCGAGCTCCGTGCCCCTGCGGGCCTGCTGCTGCCAGATTCGGAGCCATGTGCCTATTCGCCCCCGCTGTCTGCTCTGCTGCCGTCAGCCTTCTTGTGACCGCATGCTGTCATTTGACCGTACGGCGCACATCGGGTCCACATGCCGTCCTCTGTCCTTGCTTCCTCCACCTCTCCGACGCCCCGAGTCTCCGGCCAAAGTGCCTGACGTTCTCGTATATATCCCCATCCCATGCTGCTGCTCCGACGCAGGCTCCTCCTCGCTGCCCCGCTGCTCTTCATGCTTCTCGCAAGCCTCTCGCTCTTCGCTCTCTTCGCCCGCCGCGCCGCGGCAGCTGCGTCCCCGTTCGTCGCGCCCCCAGCCGAGCTCTTCTCGCCCCTTATCGCCAAGAAGGTGCTCGCGACCGCGGAAGCGTTCCCGAGCCCCGCAATGTACCCGCAGTACACGGACCGCGCCGAGGGCAAGTGGATTTGGTTCGGTCCTGACTTGTGGACCACCGGCTTCTTCCCCGCGACGCTTTACGCCATGCACGCCCGCACGAAGCTCTGCCATCACTCGAGCGTCGGCGACGGGGACCAGTGGCTCGCGCTCGGACGCTCGTGGGCCACACCGGAGATCCCGCTCATACACAACAACATGTACATCGAGCACGACGTCGGCTTTGTGAGCCAGCCGTTTCGGGACGAGCTTAAGGTGTACGCATGCCATCCGTGAGCACGTATCACTGTTTTGAACCCTCTGAGCGCAGAAACCGGGACAACCAAACTGCAATTTCGGCGGTGAACGGGTTCTCAGACGACCTGGCGGCACGGTTCAGCGAAATCGTCGGGTGTACGCGTAGCTGGGACACGGCCGACCCTACGGACTTCCAGGTGCGTTCCGTGCAATCGCATTGTGCGTTGCTGCAACCGAACATCCAACTATTTTCAGGTCATCATTGACAACATGATGAACCTAGAGGTGCGTCTAGCGTAGTCTTTACGACAGATCTGTCTGATGGGCCGTCAGATTTTTTTCGCGAACGAAGCCTTGACCGGGAACCACACTCTACGCGACATGGCCATTTCTCATGCCGACAAGACCATGGCTAACCACGTCCGTCCGGATGGTTCGAGCACCTCTTCGGCTGTGCACGTCCCTTCCTAACATTTTTGGCATATAGGCGGCTCCTTTCATGTGGTTGAATACAACTCGACGACTGGAGTCGTGATAAAACGGAGGACTGCCCAAGGCTACGCGGACAACAGGCAAGCCAACACCGCCCCAGTCATGTGTGCTTCATCCTCACTGGGTCTCTTAGCACATGGAGTCGCGGTCAAGCATGGGGGATCTACGGCTTCGCGAACAGTACGTCTTCGAGTTTATGCGTGTTCCCACTCCCGGGCTCACGGCTCTGTTAGTGTACAAGCGCACACAAAAGTATGACTACATCCAAACCGCACGTCGCATGGCCGACTACTTCCTCGACAACCTCCCCGACGACGGCGTGGTCCCCTGGTGCGTGTCCCTGCCCGTCTTACCCGAAATGCTATGACGTCATCGCCCCTGCAGGGACTTCAACGCGCCCCTCGACCCCCCACGTCCCGCGGACTCGTCTGCGGCGATGATCGCCGCGAACGGCCTCCTCCTCCTCGCAGAACAGGAGACCTCCATCTTCAACCCCGTTGGCGCTACGCGCTACACCAACGCTGCCATCAGGGTGAGCGTCCGGGGTTGTTCGGACCGGCGTGGCATGATGCGAAGGATTAATGGCTCTTCTCGAATAGCTCATCCGCGACAACACCAGGCTGGCGTGGGCGCCGACGTGGCAGAGCTTATTGTCGAACGGCACTGTCAACAACCCGCAGCACAATAACCTGACCGGGATCATATACGGTATGCCGTCTTTAGTCGTTCCCTGAGTTGCTGACAAATTGTCTGGTTGGGCGAAGGCGACTACTACTTCATCACTGCTGGGAACACGCTCGTCGAGAGAGGGCTCGCGAGCTGCTGAACGTGGTGCATGGACACGGACTGGACATCATGATATCATGAACTGTCGACGAACGTCCGCGGGAGATTCTAACATAATAGCTGCTTTCGTCGATAAGCAGATTGCGGCTCGAAACCTAAATATGTCTGCTGGGCATGCATCAGTAGACGTGCATTGTCTTGACCGTGTGCCGAACGCGCGAGAACACACGCTATCGGCGTGAACAACCCCTGCAACGCAGAGACGGCTTAGATCTGATACCCTCTTGCGTGGTCGCGTGTGGTCAGTGCCACCGCCGGCCGCCTCTGAAATCGCCAGAATCACCTCCAAACTCCTCCGACTACCTTGCTCCCGAATCAAGCTGTACCTTCCATTCAAGCGACCGAGTCCCTACGCACTGCACCACTAAGCGCCATTTCTAGTCCAAGCCTGCATCTACCAGTGTTTACCAGGAGAAGGACAAACCTCAGCCTTCGTTTCACGAAGCTCTGGAAGACCAAAATCGGTAGATGTGACCGACCGAGCATGTAGGACGCCATCGTGTACACACGTACTCCAATTCATAGAACCACATGTCAGTCCGAGCGGCGTCCCTAGTCTCACATCCCCTGCTTCGCCTGCCTCCACACCCGCCCAGGCACGCCAAACACCCCACCGCGCCGGCACACCTCCTCGAGCGTCGCCGTGCCAACGTCCGTGGCCACCGCGCTGCCGAAGATCTCCACCGCGACCCCCGGCGGGCACGCGGCATCGAACGTGACGCCGATGTCGATGGTCCCCGTGATCGGCGCACGCTCGGGGCAGCGCAGCGAGATGCGCACGGCGCGGCGCGGCGCTGGCGCCCCGAACGCGAGACCGCGACGGGGATGCGGCGCGGGGTGATTGTACCTACGGTGCGCGAGGGGAGGGGACGGACAACAGTTTAGGGTTTGAGAGAGGGAGAGAGCGGTGTGCATCCAGCGACACGATCGCCTTGTCGGTGTTTTCGATCATGCGCCTCAGTGTCGCCGTCAGCTCGTGTGGAGAAGAGGAGAACGGATGGATGGAGTTCGAAGAAAGCACCACCGAGGCGGTGAACTGCCGTGAAATGCAGAGAGGACGGTCGGAGGCACGGCCTTGCCGTCTAGAGCCGCGGACAGTCCGCCGACCTGCGACGCCACGTCTAGGATAATTTTTTGATCGTTTTCACCGCATCAAAGGGTTTGGGTGTGGGCGCTCGACTACTCGCTTGAGAGTTGGCGATTACATCAGTAATTTCCAAAATGTCTCAAACTCTCGGATCTCTGACACATCTCACGCAAGACATTTCAGATCGATGAGAGGTGAGGAGACATCTCAGACGTATCTCAGAGAATCCAGCAGTGATCGATATTTGAGTGCACACTAAATCTCTATTGAACGGTATTGCATTGTCACAAGTACATACGACAAATTGTGGCTTTGGACAATGAGACAGTGCGGGAGCCCCTCCCGTCTGCCGCCCACACGACCTCGTCCACAACACCCCAGAGTGTCTCGATCCCCGCGTCGACTGCGGCGTCGACGAGCGCCTCCCCTCTCTGCCCGTCCTCGTTCTCGCGGTCCGCGCACGCCGCCTCCTGCAGTTCCTCCGGCCGGAGTTGCGTGGGGAGCGTGGTGGGCGCGAGAAGCATCGTGCGCAGCGGCCGGCCGAGGCACCCGCACCCCGTCGCGAGCGCGGTGAGCTTCGCGAATGTGGCGGCGACGAGGGTGCGTCGCCTGTCGCCCATCGGGCCCCAGTGCACGATGAGCCCCAGGAACCAGATCCAGGAGCTGAGCGTGGCGAGCCGCGGGCACGGGAGGGCGCCGCTGCCGCCACCGCCGGGGACGAAAAGGGCAGGGGTGAGCGCGTCGAGCTCGTCCATCTTGGCCATGCCGTGGTGCGCGCGGAAGAGGAAGACGAGGGTGGCCAGCGCGGGGGTGTGCGTGAGGAAGGAGGGTGGCAAGAGGACGGGGCTGTGTTCGACGTCGAGATCGAGGACCCAGATCGAGGAGAATGGGATGTGTGTGGGGAGGGACGTGCGGCGCAGAGGCGGACTTGCACCTGAGCGTAGTCACCGAGCTATTGGAGTGTCAGGGCGAGCGCAATTGCCAAGGTGGTATCCATGCCAGCGAAGATAGATGTTCTAGGACACGGGGGGTCAGCGATAACCAACATTGTGGATGTGAAGGATGGGGAATTGGATGGTACAACAGTGAAGGAGAAGCGGGAGTGGTATAGGGTCGGGAAGAGGAGGAAAGAAAAAACATTGAGATAGAACGACTGCACTCACGTATGTTGTGTCCGTAGTGCGGTAGCGCTTGACTCCGACCGTCAAAGTGGCGGTCATCGGAGAGTGCGGGGGCATAGGAGTCGCGGTCGAACGCGTCCTGGGCAGAGGTGGACCATTGCGGAGGGGGTCGTTCTTGACCTCGAGTCAACGGCGGTACTCCTCCACGCAGCAGCGCACTGGGAGGGGCTCCTTCTCCTGCTCGAGCTCGTGGATGTGGACCGGCGGCCGCGGGCGGGGGGATTGCGACAATCTGTTCAGGGTGACGCCTGCGAGGTGAGCGAGGTGGCGACGCACCGGGTGAGAGTAGGCGACGTGGGTGAGGTGGCAAGGCGGGCCGAGCAAGGTGGGCGACTCTGTATGGAATAGACCAGCATAAAGGCACGGTAATCACAGAGTAGAGGCGGCAGCATGAAGGATAGAAGGTGCGGGAGCCTCCCGTGGAGGGAGAGGACGAGGAGCGACACGTGTGCTGGCAGCGCATGGCGTGGGAATCTCAGTCTCTGCTCAGCCGGACCGGGACTCTGCCAGCGCAGCCTCGACTCGTTCGCCACTCCCACCCTGGCCTCGCCCTTGCCTTGGTCACGCTCCATGCAAAGGGTCAGAGCATGTTCGGCGGCCCGCTCGTCGTGTTGAAAGGTGCGTTTTAGTCCTGATTTTCTTGGTCGTTTGGGACGCTGACGAGGACGCGTTGGAGGTCCCTCACATCAACTCCCTGCCGCTCTTCGTCAGCCTGCCCGACACCCGTCCTGATCCACACGCTGTATCTGTCAACCATCGGTGAGTCCGTCCCACTTCACCGTCCCTCCACACCCCGATCTCCGTGATCCATGTCCTACCAGTCCGCCCAACTTTGGAGTTCTCGGGGCCGTTGACAGCCAGTGTCCGACACTCCGAAGACGGCGTTGCGAGCGCCAGCGCCAGCGTGCTCATGGGTGTGGGCGGACGACCCCAGGGTATGAGACGACAAGTGGCCGAAACGCTGCAGGTCACAAAGCTCGTGGATGGGCTGTTCCCCGGCCAGACCTGGGATGGCCTTCGACAAGCACGTCCCAAGGTACGCTTATCTGATCTATCGGTATTGAACTCGGCTCATGGTACACCCTGCGCACGAGATCGATGCAGCTGAGCTTCTCCAAACCGCCTTTCCACACCCGTTTGGCCTACACCTTCGCCGCCGCCTCAACATCCTCGACCGCGTCCTCCACTCCGCCTCTCCTTCGCGGACACCCAGCACCCGGCCCGACTCGCTGTGGTACCCCTCGAGCCACTGTCGCTCGTGCCGGCTCCACCCTGGCCATCACACTTCCTGGCCCGCCTGGTGTTCGCCGCCGCTGCCGGCCCCGCAGGACACGCGCCAGTCGCCGACGACATCAGTCGTGCTACACGATGCCGCCGTCATTCATGTATGGGGACACGCGCGAGGGCTAACCACCGCAGCGATATCCTCGGTTCTGGCCCAAACGGATATGGTGCGCACACGTGTTCGTGCGTCTCGAACCACACTCAACAGGGCCCACAGCAGTTCTAGAATATACTCGCGCTTCACGGGCAGCAGCCCGAGCACGCTGTGCCACAGCAGCAGGCCGCATGCGCAGTCACGCTGCGTGTCACCAAGCTGCACGAGATGACGATGCATTTAGTGTACATGTACGATGTGTGTTAATTACAGAAATACAGCTGTTTTCATCCCTCGCTCTTCCATGTGTGAATCCCGAATGATATTTGAGGTAAAAACGTCCATATCTTGAACTTCTGGTTTTTCTGACCCATCTGAGATCTCTCACACGACGTCTCACTAAAAAGCGAAGTGAGAGAAATTCTGAATCTCTCAAAACGTCTCACAACGTCTCACAACGTCTCAAACCTCTCCACAGACGTTTTGAGACATTTCGGAATTTACTGATGTATGTAGATTAGATCTGAGGCAAAAATACGTACTCGGGTGCACGTTGTCTCTTGCCACTCGCCACCTGCCATCACTGCTCGATTCATCCCTCTCCACGCGGTCTCTCTGTGCTCGCTCTCCGGGCTTGGCCTTGTTGAGAAAAATACTGGGCTTGGTGCCTCGTGACCGGTTATGAGTCGTCTATCAGAGTTGTGCACGCCCGGCCTGTCGAGGGTGGCGAGAAGAGAAGGCTCTCGCAGCTCGTTCCACACAAGCTCCGTGCCTACTGCCAGACTCTGAGCCTTGTAAACCATCGCCTGCTCTGCCACCGTCGACCTTCTGGTGATTGTATGCTGTCATTTGACCGTATGGCGCGCATCGGGCCCGGGGTCGCATACCGTCCTCCGTCGTTGCTTCCTCCGCCTCTCCGAGGCCCTGAGTCTCCGGCCAATATTGTGCCTGATGCCTTCAAGTATATATCCCCATCCCATGCGGCAGCTCCGACGCAGACTCCTCGCTGTGCCCCTCCTCTCCATGCTTCTCGCAAGCCTCTCGCTCTTCGCTCTCTTCGCCCGCCGCGCCGCGGCAGCTGTGTCCCCATTCGTCGAGCCCCCAGCCGAGCTCTTCTCGCCCCTTATCGCCAAGAAGGTGCTCGCGACCGCGGAAGCGTTCCCGAGCCCCGCAATGTACCCTCAGTACACGGACCGCGTCGAGGGCAAGTGGAATTGGGTTATTCTCGACAAGTGGACCACCGGCTTCTTCCCCGCGACGCTTTACGCCATGCACGCCCGCACGAAGCTCTGCCATCACTCTAGCGTCGGCGACGGGGATCAATGGCTCGCGCTGGACGCTCGTGGCCACACCGGAGATCTCGCTCATCCACAACAACACGAACATAGAGCACGACGTCGGCTTTGTGAGCCAGCCGTTCCAGGACGAGCTTAGGTGTACGTCGTCTGCGAGCGCATCTCTCTGTATATCACCCCTCTGAGCGCAGAAACCCGGACAACCAAACTGCAATTTCGGCGGTGAACGGGTTCTCAGACGACCTGGCGGCCGGTTCAGCGAAATCGTCGGGTGTACGCGTAGCTGGGACACGGACGATCCTACAGACTTCCAGGTGCGTTCTGTGCAATCGCACTGTGCGTTGCTGTAACCGATCATTCAAATATTTTAGGTCATCATTGACAACATGATGAACCTAGAGGTGCGTCTAGCCGCCTAGCGTCATCTTTACGACAGATCTGTCTGATGGGCCGTCAGCTCTTTTTCGCGAGCGAAGCCTTAACCGGGAACCACACTCTACGCGACATGGCCATTTCTCATGCCGACAAGACCATGGCGAACCACATTCGTCCGGATGGTTCGAGCACCTCCTCGGTTGTGCACGTCCCTATCTAATAATCTTGGTGCATATAGGCAGCTCCTTTCACGTGGTTGATTACAACTCGACGACTGGAGTCGTGATAAAGCAGAGGACTTATCAAGGCTATGCGGACAACAGGTAAACCGGCACGTCCCCGTTCATGTGTGCTTCACCCTCACTCGGTCTCTCAGCACATGGAGTCGCGGCCAGGAATGGGGGATCTACGGCTTCGCGACCAGTACGTCTTCTCGCCCCGATCTTATTCCCGCCCACCCCCAGGCTCACCGCCCTGCTAGTGTACAAGCACACGCAAAAATATGACTACATCCAAACCGCACGTCGCATGTCCGACTACTTCCTCGACAACCTTCCCGACGACGGTGTTGTCCCCTGGTGCGTGCCCCGGCCCGTCTCGCACGACACGCCATGACGTCATCGCCCCTGCAGGGACTTCAACGCGCCCCTCGACCCCCCACGTCCCGCGGACTCGTCTGCGGCGATGATCGCCGCGAACGGCCTCCTCCTCCTCGCGAACAGGAGACCTCCATCTTCAACCCCGTTGGCGCTACGCGCTACACCAACGCTGCCATCAAGGTGAGCGTCCGGGGTTGTTCGGACCGGCGTGGCATGATGCGAAGTATTAACGGCTCTTCTCGAATAGCTCATCCGCGACAACACCAGGCTGGCGTGGGCGCCGACGTGGCAGAGCTTGCTGTCGAACGGAACGGTTAACACCCCGAAGCAGAATACCCTGACGGGCATGGTATACGGTATGCAGTCTTCGGTCGTCCTTCCTGCTGAGTTGCTGACAAATTGTCTGGCTGGGCGAAGGCGACTACTATTCATCACGGCTGGGAATACGCTCGTCGAGAAAGGCCTCGCGAGCTGCTGAACGCGGTGCATAGACACTGAATGGACATCATGATATCGCGAACTGTCGACGAACATTCGCAAACGAATGTATCATGGTAGCCGCTTTCGTCAATGAGCACATTGCGGCTCGCAACCTTCGCGGATTGATCTTGCGTGCCTGTAACCGAGATGACAGGAGCAAGCCGTCTTTGACTAAAAAGCCTCGGCTTACCCCAAAAGACGTCTGTCGCTCGTACCTCTCTCTCACGCACAGAGCCGCTGATCTTCGATTTTCCCATACGCCACTGTTTAAGATGTGGAGGGTGACGTGGCCACCGTACGCTCGTCACGGACGATGCTCACGTTCAAGGCAGGGAAGAAGCTTGTGGATCTCAACACGCTCCATATCTGCGCAGGGCTCACGGAGACCTGGAAGTAAACAAGCCGAAGGGGATTTCGTGCGGAACGTACTTCGAAGAAAACAGGCTGATGATGTCTGTTGGGCATGAGAGCGCGGAGATGAGAGATCAGCGCTTACGAATCAATGCGTGTCTGAAACTACCATGAAGTACAGTTGTGTGACATGGTGTTCAGCTGCATCCGCGCGCGGCATCGAGCTCCAAGTCGATACTGGATACTTGTACTTGATACATTTATGCAAAATCCCGACGATAAACCGTATTCCCACTCCCCGCGACTGCTTCTCGTAGTGACGGCGCCTACACGAGCGGAGCATAAAAAGTCAGATCCTTCTGCTCAACATTCGTTCACCAAAACCTCTGTCCCCAACAACTGCGTCAGCTTCCGCAAACACTCGCCCTCGACCCCGCGCACGTCCAGCAACTCTAACCGTCCCAAGACGGAACCGCGCTCCGCACGCCACACGAGGACGTCGAAGAGCGCTTGCTCCGTCTCCGCCGTGAACCCGGCGCGCACGATCTCCAGCTCCTCCAGCTTCGGCACGATCGGCGGACTCCGGTAGCCGCCGCGCCACTCGAGCGCGCCGACGATCCGCCCGTTCGCCCAGGAGTGGTTGACGACGCGGAGCACGCGGAGCGCGGGCAGGCCGGTGAGGAGCCGCAGCCAGGCGGCGAGCACGAGCTCCTCCGACTCGAGGGGCTCGACGAGCACGAGCGTGTGCACCGCGCTGATGTCGAGGGCGGGGGGAAGCCGATTTGCGACGGGTTGAGCATCACACTGCTGTTGATGCGGAGCACGGGTTCGTCGAGGCCGTTCGTCGAGTGCGAGCAGGTGAGGGTGGAAGTGCGACCGTCGGACGGGTGAGCTCGATGCGCTGCACGGCGCGGCTGAGCGCGGGGAGGCGAGAGAGGTCCGCCGGGAGCGCCCGGTGCACCGACGGCCCCGTGGTTAGGGTGTAGCTCGTCGCCGAGGGCAAGATGAGGTGCGTGAGGAGGTCTGGCCCGACGTTTGAACCAGAGTGGTGTATGGCAATAGACGTGAGCTTTGGAAGGGGAACGTCCCACGTCCGATCTTGAGACGATATCTCTGAGACCCAGTACTGAGAGGTTTCAACTCCTCTGATTCTCGCGTCGAGATTCAGGATTTCGAGCTCGGGGCAGAGCTTGAGAATCTCCAACAGCCTACGTTTTGAGGGCAAGGGCGCTCGTACCGAAAGCTCCGTCAGCTTCTGGTAGACGGCGGAGTCCCACGCGATGTCTCCGAAACTGCACTTGAGTCGGATGGAGCGTAAATTTGGAGTTGGAGAATGAATAACGGATGCGCGTTGTGACGGAGTAGTGGAAGTGTGCATCCGGAAGACCTCGAAAGCATAGTTCCGTGAGACCTGAAAAAAATGGTCCAAGTGTGTCGGCGTGGTGGTTGTGGCGGATAGGTCAATCGTCTCTAGATGGGGTGCGGAAGCATCTTTTATGAGGCAAAACAGGTTGACGATACTTTCAGTGGTCTGCGCGTCAACTACGATAGAACGAAGGCGGCTTGACGACCTAAGAAGCGTCCTCGCTAGTGGGGCGAAATTCCTCATTGGACGCCTCCGGAAATCAAAGTATATGTCGAGGAGCCTTGCTTTTGAGCGTTTGATGAAAGTGACGACCCTGTCGACCGACGGCAACCCACACACGTATACTTGCGTCCAAAGGCTGGAGTCGGCGATGGCGACAGCGCGCAAGTGTCTGCAAACGTGCGTGACGTGGACGAGGTCGGTGTTTCCTTGCCTGCTTGCCCCGGAAAGGAGTCGGAGAATAGCGCAGAGGATCTCGGGAGGAAGCCGGACGACTTGGGAGGCTGCGTTACGTGCTGCGAGTATTTGGTGTTCCATTTGACGGAGGAGGAGGACGTATTCATCGACAAAAGCACTTCGATGATCCTGGGGCATGTCGAAGAAATTGAGTGCTGGAAGTCGTTGATCCCGCAGCAATCTGAGGTCGTCGAGGATGCGGGCGGTGCCGCTGGAGACTATGTCGCCCATCGTCGACAGTTGCCTCTGCCTCAACTTTGTCAATGCATATGAGTCTAGAGCGACGAGCAGACTCACCTCCGATCGAGGTTCTCTTGGGCTATTTCGCACGTGCGATGTGGAGACTGGTGGGAGGGTTCGACTCATGCAGTGCGCCACCGCCAGTTTTCGGCTGTGGAGAGAGTCGGAGATGCAGTGCTGGTTCATGTTCGGTCCGGAGCGGTCCGGGACCAGTTTCTGAGGTTGGCAGTATATGTAGAGACGAACTAGGGTCGCACGAAGAAACACCCTTTGTGATAGAGAAAGCCATGATCCCGTTTTATGTCGACAATAAGAAACCAAAAGCAAAACACAGAGGACCCAAGACCCCGACGTCAAACACAAAGCCCAGCAACAACATGATAACCCAGCCCAAAGTCAGGACACACAAGAACACGGTCAGCTGCCCCCGCTCTCGCAGCCACCCTCTGAGACCTCCTCGGCGATCTTGCCCTTCGGGTTTTCGGCCGCGAGGCGGTCTCGCCGCCACTTCTCCATGATCAGGAAGGTGAAGACAACCATGTCGATGTCCAGCGTCGTCGGCCCTATCCAGAGGCACCACTTGTCCTCCTTCTTGAAAACGCCCTCTCGGACCCTGTCGAAGGTGTACCGCGCAACCTCGCACTTCGAGCTGCAGTGAATGAGCTTCGACGTTGTCAGCAGCGGGCAGGATTGGCGAGGCGCGAGGTAGGTACGCACAGCAAGCCCGCCGCCCTGATGCAACTTCCACCGATACTCTTGCCCGTCATTTCCCAGGAAATTACGCGCCCTGTAAAACCAAGATGTTAACTGAGAATTAGGAGGCACCAGAGCACGCGCATACACACGGCAAAGTAGATCGCCACATACATGTTCGACGAATTGGTCTGATAGAGGAACTCGCGGAGCCCTAATTCGAGCGGCCGACCATCGAACATGTTGCTCCGCACGACCGGGTGCCCGCCCAGTCGGCGCCAGACGACCTCGGCGACGTATCCCTCGCGCTCGCAGTCGGTGGGACGGCGGATGTGGAGGACGCGCGGCGCGAGGCAGTGCGCGCGCGATGTCGTCACCTTGTAGTGCACGTTGCCGTTTACAGACACGAGGGTCGTCCGCTCGGGGTTGTTTGGCATGAGGTACATGCGCATTGGGCGGAAGGAGAGGGCGGATCGAGAACGACGAGTTATGGAGGGGGAACGATCGCCGACGACGCATGTTCGACAGCCGCAGCTTAAGAGACTCGGTGGATTTGGAGGCTTACTATGAGGTATTCCAGTCTGCCTATGCCGAGAGCGGTCTGGAACTACGGCAGAGCGTGCGGCATTGGGAACCGGGCTGAGGAGGTCGATGTTTGGTAGAACTTAAGCAATAAGCATGTCCATGCGGGGTGGCAGGTGTCGGGACCTTTCGACGGGTCTGATGTGCGGCCGAGGTAGTGCGGTACTCAGAGAGAGCCAGGGTCGTCGTGGTAGGAAGGAGTTGAGCAACAGTCGCTAGCTGGACCTGTGGGTGGGAGTGGGTGGGGTGGCCCGGGATCGGCCCGGGTCGAGGAACGTGCATGAAACCGCTGGGCCTGAGGAGAGGGCGCCTCTCAGGCTCTGTTCCCTCCCTCTTATCCCGCCGCGGGTGCATGCAGACCTGCTCTTGATACCCTCTCCCCAGCGTCCTACTTATATTTGCTGTTCTCTCGGACATGAAGCTCACCATCACGAATGAAACCTCGGATTTCTTGTTCTTCTCCCTTCAAGACCCTCCAATCGCAGTGTCACCAGTACTTCCACAGCAATCGCTAGAGATCTCTGTTCGTCGCCGCGACACGTTGCGCATATTCGCGGCAAGCTGTGAGAAGACGGAGTCCTTCAGGAGACCTGCTTTGGCCGAGGTCCATCTCACTAGTGGTAATAAATGGAAAGCCATTCGCACAACCTCCGAGTGCCCATGGCGCATATACCGCAGTAAAGTGAGCTCACTGGCCTTAGTGTGTGCATTCACCTGACCCATCACCTCTCAGGTCTCCAAGGGCCATTACCGAGTCTTCATTTTCCCGTTGCGCAACCTAGCCGCTTTCCTCTCGCAGATGCCAGACTCATTGCCGCTGTCATCACTCCTACTTCCCGGTGCGTGTTTTCTCGTTGTATGTTCGCTCTGTATTTATCCCACAGCAGGTACCCACGATACGTGAGTACGAACGGTCCCATCCCCCTTCTTCAGGTGCCCACTACCATGGTGTCTCCAGGATGGCCTTCTACGGTTGGCCGATATCTCAATGCCAAGACCTCTCCAACCCGCTCATAGTACAACTCAACTCCGGCATCCGCGTCCTCGACGTCCGCCTCGCCGTCCTCAAGGGAGAGCTCATTGCCTTCCACGGCGTTTACCCCCAGCGTGCCCTCTTTCAACACATCCTCCGCACCTTGCGCGACTTCCTCTCGTCCCCGCTATCGCAGTCAGAGACGGTTGTCATGTCCATCAAGCAAGAAGACTTTGCGACCACGCCTCTGCCGACCTTTTCCAAGCTCGTGCATGACGAGATCATGAACGGACCCGGGGGCCGCGACTTGTGGTTCCTCGAGAACCGCATCCCACGCCTGGGCGAGGTCCGTGGCAAGATAGTCATGCTCAGTCGATTTGGAGGCGACGGCTCTGGGTGGGAGAGGGGGCTTGAGGGGCTTGGCATTCATCCTACGGCGTGGCCGGACAGCGCGAAGTCGGGCTTCTCGTGGACGCTCAAGGGCGCCCTCGTGCGCACTCATGATTGGTCAGTGTTCCCCTCCGCCGTGTTCTTTCCATACATCCCTTCTGGTCGGTCTTTGGGCTATGAGCTCTCACAGCCATCCCATGAACAAATTTTCATTCACATGGATGGCTTTGGAGCTTGTCCGGACGTTAGCAGTAGGCCACATTGCATGGTCGTGCAACTGTCAACTTCGGTATGGCCTGCTAGGTTCAGTTGCTTTGTGGTCTGCTTCGGAGGAGTGTGAACGCAGATCGAACACAAAGCAGCCTCTCGGTCCCGAATCACTCGTCACGCAGTGCCTATACTGACAACCTCGCACAGGTACTCCATCCCATCCTTCCTCTCCATCCCAGAGAAGACGAGGCTCGCGAGCGAGGTTCTTCTCCTGCCTGCGGGTGGCGCCCCGCCCTTCCCGGTGCTCAACATCACTTTTTTCTCTGCGGCGTCCTTCCCGCTCGCGTTCCCACCCATGATCGCACGAGGGTTTGGCTGGCCCGGCGTCGGATTCGGCGTCGAGGGCGTGAATGCTCGGCTTGGGCGGTGGCTGACCGAACGTCTGGCCGCGGGCACGCGCGTCCGTGGTTGGGCCTTCCTGGACTTTTATTCGGACCCAGATGACAGCCTCGTCCCGCTCCTCGTGCAGTGCAACTTTAAGGGGAGGAAACAGGGAGAAGAGGGTTGGGAGTGACTTCGAAATCACGCCTTTGTGCGATTTGGACGGACGGACTTGGTCGGCTCCGCGTGGAGATCATAGTCACACCCTTCGACCTCGATGCGCCACACCGACTTGCGGACATGTAGATGGAACATCACGACCCGCCCACGACATATATACCCATACACGCATACAATTAATACCTAGTTCATCGTAACACGCTCCACTACGCCGCCCCGAGGGGCTCTGCGTCCGTCTCGCCCTCTTTGCGGAGGTGCCAGTTGTAGAAGTGGGTCGCCTGGACGGTGTCCCACTGGTCTAGTGCCGCGACCGCAGCGGCGCCCCAGTCGAACGTGTCGTGCTCCGCGACGTCTTCCGGGCCCTCGACGTAGCGGATGAGTCGCTCGTTCGCGGGGAGGATGAAGCCGTTCTCGATGCCGTTGCGCACGAGTAGCTTCAGCGGGTCCCAGAAGTTACGTACGTTGAGGAGGATGACGGCTGTTGGAAGGGGCGGGTGTGAGCGTGTGCGCGGGGCGACGAATGGGGTGCGCGCGGTCATTCGAGTGACGAGAGGTGGGACGCACGTTTACGATGGATGCCGAGTTGCGACCAGCAGGCGACTTCGAGTACCTACACGCCAGATTGGAGGTGTCAACCCGAACACGTGCCCGAGAGATGCGTCGCGGAAAGTGGGCTCGCCTCTTCGAATGTGCCCAAGCCGCCAGGGAGCCCGAAGAACGCGCACGACCGCCTCGCCATCTCCGCCTTGCGCTCGTGCATCGAGTTCGTGACGACCTGAGCGCCACCCGCACGTCAACTCCCGCACGCACATGAGCGTGCACAGTACGATGGTACTCACCGTCTCGGCCTAGGTACGCGCGATCCAAGGGTTGACGAGATATGAGCTCTCAGCGGGCTTGTAGCAGCAAACACCGGACACGCACCTTTTCCCGTCCCGGTCCGCCTCTGAACGAGAGATGCGCGGCCTCGGTTCCCTTCACCTGATCCCGCTCCCCGCCGGCCGAAGCCATGGCGAACGGGATGACCCCAGTGACCTCTCCGCCGGCCTCGAGGGCCGCGAGCGAGACGACGCCCATGGTGCCCGCGGAGCCGCCGCCGTAAACGAGAGGTCGCTTCGCCTGCGCCAGGGCTTTGCCTAATGCTGCGGAATCGTCAGAACGCCCACATGGACACGGACATACTCTCTGCGATCGACGTACATGAGGCGGCGTGCGCGAAGGCGGCGTGTGCGCCCTTGGACGAGCCGCAGAACACTGTCGCCGCACGCGTCTCCGGTGCGTTCGTAGGGACGGTCATCTTGAGCGGACTAGAGGTGTTGAGTGGTGGAGCAGGAGCAAAGGAGGTGCGGGTGTCCCGAGCGGACGCGAGAGGGTTCTTAAGCCAACGCGAGATTGAGAAATTGGGGGTGGTGCGCGGTGTGCGCATGCTTGCGCCTGCCGGCGTGCCACTCGATCGATGGGTAGAGGGGAACGTGTTGCGGGGACATTGGAGGGGTGTGGAAAAGTGAGTCAAGTGAGTCAGGCGCGCCTCGCAACCGGGCGTACTTGGATTGCATCAAAGTCTGATCAGGTGTCGCGCACGTACTTACATAGTGACTGGGACAAGATGGAGACACGCGGAAATGACACAGGGCAATGTGTCTCCGTGAAGGGGCAAAAGAGGCGGGGGACGCGTAGAGATTAAGGAAAAAACAAACTATGAAGTACAGCACCCCCCTCGAGCTTTCATTCAACGTCCTACACCGCGCACTAACTTCTTCCAAAGGGCATCTACTGTCGACGGACGCTTGCGCAGACCAAAGGTCGGAAGCCGGAGAGTATGACTATGCACCGTAGTTGAGGCGGAAGATGTCGTTGTACCTAGACGACGCGTGACAGATGGTAAGTGGTAACTCGTGTACTTGGATCGCAGCAAAACATACACGTAATAGCTGCCACCATCGGGTATGAGCTGGAACACCTGGCTGAACTGCAGCGGGTTCGGGCTATCGTCGACCTGATGGACAGAAGTGAGACGCGGAGATCGCGAACACATTCTTGATACGCACCACCAGCAGGCCGGTCACGGAGACGATGACGCTCGCAACCGAGGGGGAGGATGGCTGCGCGTCGAGGGTCGTGACCTTGTGCAGCACCTTTTCGAACGGCAGGCCCTGTGGTCGCGGGCGTGTCAGGCCTCAAGGCAAGGGTTGCGAGACAGGCGAGATACTTACCGCGAGCTTCTCGCTGATTGATGTCGCACCCAAGAGTTGGCTACCCTCCCATGTGAGCATGGACATGTCGCGCTGGGGGAGGGCGGAGTGGGATGAGCATTGCGCATCAACATGAGGGTTGGGAGAGGGTGCACGTAAAGGGCGCCGAGGTTCGCGCGATTCGTGTCGAAGGTGTTGTAGTAGAAGTCGGTGAACTGCTTCGCGATGGTGTTGATGTCGGCCATGGCGCGATCGACCTATCGTACAGAGGAGAAGGTGGGTGTGGTGGAGGGCAGAGCAGACGAGGAGAGAAACCCTAGCCCAGCGTGAAGATGGAAAGAAAAGAGGCGATCGTTGATTAGATGGCCTGCATCTTATCGGGGGCTTACCGCCCACTTGCCGCGATCAATGCGGTACTATCTCCTATTATAGCGCGACTTACCGCCCCCTTGAACCGCTCCTGCCGGCGTGTGCAGACCAGGCTCCCCCCTCGCTTCCCTGCTACCATCATCCGGGCCCCGCGGCGGGCCTTCCACCTGCCGACGAGCTCGTCTCTCGCCCCCATGTCGTTCACCCCCGCCATGTCCATGGCGCCCATCCCGGAGGGCGTCCAGCGACCTCAGATGCGCCGCAAGTCCTCCGCCCAAAATCTCCTCACGAGCTTCAAGTCCTCTTCGTCGACTGTGAGCTCTGGCGGGGCGCCACCATCGTCGTTTCCCGGGAGCGCGGTCACGGTCGCCAGCAGCATGCCGTACTCAAACGGAGCGGTGCCCACGCCGACGACGGCCACGATGTCGCGCGAGTGGGACGTCCAGAGCCTGCAGAGCGAAGGGTCCGCGCAGGCGAATGCGCCCGGCACGTCGGTCGAGTTCCTGCGGGAGCTGGTGAAGAAGAGGATCATCACGTTGACGTACTTGCGGAACGTGCACGAAGGGTGCGTCCTCCTTCACTCTTTGTCCGCGGCGAGCCGCGCTGAGCGTCGTGCAGACGGAGCCATTGGTTTCACACCATCATGATCACCCGGACCGAGCTCGACAGAGCGTTTAGCAATGTGGCCATGAAACAGAGGTGAGTTACGTGATTTCGTGCGGCATGGCCTCCCCCAATGTGGCGCCACAGAACATATCGATTCGCAGTCCTTGGCATGGCGTTGGCGAACCAGTTTGACATGAAGGAGCCGCAAGACCTGCTTCGTGGGCTGTCAAGCGTGTTGTCAGAGTACGACATGCTGAAGGAGGACGGCGACAAGCCACGACTAGTATGTGCTTATCTCTAATCGAGCTTTAGACCTTGCTATATGCTCGACGTACAGCGATTATTCAAAGGCCGCGGGTCAAAACGTCCTGCCGGCGCAGACTATGCACTATCGTACCCCGACTCGACCGAAACATATATGACCCTCCCCCACATTGTAAGCCTCACGCATCTCCAGTGCTGAACCGCTGCTGAACCTGGAGGACAGCCTTTCCCATTAGACTACCATCAAACCCTCCTTTCGCTCCTCGACGTCTTGTCGGAACTGTACAACAAGATATCCAAAATTCTCGGCCCCTCACCCTTCTCGAATGCCGGTCACAGCATGATGGGCCCTCTGGGTCTGCTATCACCACATCCGGGTGTCTCGTACCTCTTCTCGGGCGCCGAGTCTGCGAACAACGACGGTGATAGCAGTCTCTGGGGCATCGCACACGCCACGATGCTCGGTTCTGGCAGTGGCCTGAACTCACTCTATGGCGGTGGACCAGGAAGCCCGCCCCCGAGCTGGACGTCTACCCTGGGAGACACCGTACGGCAAATCGACCATAGGCTCAAGGTTCGTTAGTTGCGCCACGACATATGTGACGGCTCTGACAGTTCGTCGACGGCTGCAGAAGCTGATCGCGATGTTGCTCAAGGAGCTGGACGACTGCGCGCGGGCGGGGATCAAGGACGAGTTGGCATCACTCGACCCGCTCCTACGACACGTCGCGGGCGCCGGAGATGAACACAGAGACACGTTCGAGTTCGATTGAGCGCCTTCGCGTCCCTCGCTCTTTGCTCGTCCGCGCGCACACTACACTTGGCATCGGCGCCGCTTTGCTTCCTCCTGGACACACTGCCTGTACGGATAACCTTATAGCTCTATATAATGCTGTATTCTGCTGTACTCCGTGTAATCGTACAGACCTCCGTCTCCACGTCCCAAAGGCGACGACAGAGAAGGCTGCGCAGGGGCGCTCGGAGCCGTGTCATCTGGAAGACTGGAAGACAAAGGGAGCGCAGAAACGGAAGCATAATGGGAGGGGCAGTGATGAGAGCTGTTGGGCCGCTTTCGGGGGGACGATAGAAGAGAGAGGCGCGGTTGATACGGAACTTGCCCAGAAGCCCATTGTGGTTGCCAGCGCCCATGCACAATCGGCTACGTCCTCACCACGCCCGACTCCACTCTCGTTGTGCCTTGTATAACAGCGACCCGGCGAACTAGACAGCAGAGAGCGGGATCGGTGTGTCGTCTGACTGGGGAGTGGGGGGAGGAGGGAGGAGGCGGGGGCGATGAGAGGACTGCGTGGAGACGGTGGCGGAAGCCGTCAGAAAGGAAGAGATGAGTCATGATAAGGATTGATCGAGAAAATATACGCGATCACGCGATTGGCGCGGAGTTTGAAAGCGAGGGGTATATAACGGCCTGGGGACGTGATGAGCTCGCCCCCTCCCCCGCTCTGCACTTTCCCACGGTTAATCCCTCCTGGTCTTCCGCTTACTGCCACCATGTCTATTCCGTTCTCCACTCGCCAGGTCACCTTCGGTCGCTCCGTCCCCGCCCAGCCCCAGCAGTACCAGCAGAGCCAGCCCCAGCCGTATGGCCAGTCGCAGCCTCAGTCGCAGCAGGCCAACGGCCTCGCTCTCCCCTACTCCAACAACCCATACCTTCCCGGCCCCGGTCCGAGTCTCGCGCTCCCGGGACCCGCCCCTCCCATCTACCCATCTCAACCCCAACCAACGCACGCTGCCCAGTCCCAGCAGTCGCAACCCTCCCAATCCCAACCTCCTACCATCGCCAGCACCTCACAGCCGATCGCGGGCCCCTCTTCCCCGTCGTCAGCCGTCCCCGCCACCCCCGCACCCCTCACTCTTGAGCAGCAACACATCACAGCTGTCGACGGTATCGTCCCCACTCTTCAGAACATCGTCGCGACCGTCAACCTCGATTGCCGGCTGGACTTGAAGACCATCGCGCTGCATGCGCGGAATGCCGAGTACAATCCAAAGGTTTGTGGCGTTGTTTTCTGATGTCGAGCCGTCGGACTTCCCTCCGTCGCGCTTCTTTACAGCGTTTTGCGGCGGTCATCATGCGTATCCGTGACCCAAAGACGACCGCCCTCATCTTCGCCTCGGGCAAGATGGTCGTCACCGGTGCGAAGTCAGAAGACGACTCGCGCCTGGCGTCGCGCAAATACGCGCGTATCGTGCAGAAGCTTGGCTTCGACGCCAAGTTTTCTGAGTTCAAGATCCAGAACATCGTCGGCTCGTGTGATGTGAAGTTCCCCATCCGCTTGGAGGGTCTCGCATACAGCCACGGTCAGTTCAGCTCGTATGAACCTGAGGTACGTCTCTTTGTTCGCTTCGCTCGTTCCCTACGTGCTGATGCCGCCGCGCCAGCTCTTCCCGGGTTTGATCTACCGCATGATCAAGCCGAAGGTTGTGCTTTTGATCTTCGTCTCTGGCAAGATCGTGTTGACTGGTGCTAAGGTAAATTTTTCCTCATCCCCCTTTCATTGAGAACGCCACTCTCTTCCTGTCGGAGACGTTGTGCCTCTTCTATCGATGAGCGCGTTCGCTAATATGCGATGCTGACCATCAGGTCCGAGAAGAAATCTACACCGCTTCAACACCATCTACACTGTGCTTGTCGAATTCCGGAAGCCGTGATCGTACCCCCGACGTTGTCGGCGCGCCCTCCCCCACCCACCGTGTTTCTGATTCCATAATGTCTGTCGCCCAAGGGTGCGACAATTTATGGGTTGGTGGTGAGGGCCAGGGGTGCGGTTTAGAAAACTATGGACACCTATGGCAGGCCGTCATGAGAAACCCCCACACTGTCACTTCGTGCACCTCTACGATACGATACTCATACTTACGTATAGCAAACACGTTACACCTATTGGCATCATGTAGCAATTTGTACCATTACATCAATACACTGCAATTCTGTTCTCTACCGTGCCATGTGCGAGCCCGAACCAAGAATACGCCAGATAACTACTCCCACCATGTCCACCGAATTGGCCTCGTCGACCTCGACCGTGCCCCCGCACCTGGAGCAGGCCGCCAACGGGTATGCCGTGCCCGAGGTCAACCCATCGCCGCGCCGGAGCACGCGGAGATCGTCACGCTCTGGGACGTCCAGGGCTCCGTCGCCGACGGCAAGCAGGCCGTGATCGATTGCGACAAGCCCATCGACCAGTGCGGGACGCGGCGCGTCGACGACACGCCCCTGAGGCCTGAGTCCTCATGCGCTTCGAGCGGCTTACCGGCCACAACCCGCCCATCCTCCCCCGCCGCGAGCTATTCTTCTCCCATCGCGACTTCGACAAGATCCTGGACCGGTACAAGCAGTGCAAGCCTCCCATCCTCTACACCGGGCGGGGCCCGAGCTCGAACAGGAGCGGGCGGGGGTGGACTGCGCGGAAATGGCGCGGCCGCGCGGGAACCGTGTATGCGCGTAGGCGGAGGGTAGACGCGGAGGTGACTGCTGTACGAGGTGTACAACATGCCGGTCGTCGTGGAGCTGATGGACGACGAGAAGGTTTTGTTCAAGCATGAGAGAGAGTCAGAGCATGCGTGCGAGTGCGCAAAGAGGAACGCGGCGGCGCGCACTCTAGTTGCCGTGGACAACGAGCAACTGCGCTCATTGGCGACGGTGACCAGGCAGACAAGAAAATGTATGTTAGTGAATACACGGACTATTGCGCGGTGCTCGCCTCAGCTATCGTTCACGACCATCTGCTTCACTTGAAGCCTGAGCTCCAGAAGCCACCCCTCTTGAATGCCACCGGCCCGCGTGAGCACGAGCCGGTCCAGAGCCCCCCAATAAAGCTTGCGCGTCGCGAGATGGCGCACCATCTCCCCCATCAGCCCCTGCGTCAACACGGGCTCGACGACCTCGAGCTCCTCCAACGCCGGGCCGGGGCCGGACCCCCTTCGTACCCGAACGCGCCGAACACCATCGAGAGCTCGCGGGCGTCGGGACGGACGAGGCGCAGCGTCCGCAGCGCGGGGAGCTCGAGCAGGAACGCCTCCCACGGCGCTTCCCGCCGCCCGTCCGGCGGGGGAACGACGCGGCCGCTGACGGAGAGCGTCTCGAGAGCGACGAGGTCGAGCGCCCTGGGGAGCGTCCTGAGCACGGGCCCGGTCGTCTCCCAGGCACGGAAGCGGACCGTCAGGACGGGGTCGTCGTCACTCCCGATGGCGGCGTGCGTGCAGGTGACCTTGATGACGGGCTTGTCAACGTCAACTTGAAAGGGTAGCTCGATGGAGGCGCGGACGATGGTGGCATGCCCCAGGCCCGGGAGGCGAGAGAGGTCGTCGGGAAAGAGAGGCGCATCACCGACTTCAGTTGATTCCAAAGAGTAGCGCGTGGTTGGGGGAAGGATGAGGTGCTCGAGAACTGTTGCGATCGAGGCGGGCGGTGGCATGTTAAGAGAGAGGGTGTCGAGGTTGGGAAGAGAGACGTCCCATACTCTGTGAGCTGCCGCGACAAAAGGCCCTGCGATGCCGGAAAGGCGTAGATCGAGCCGGCGTAGATCGGGACACGCCTTGAGGATCCGGAGGAGTTGCCGCTGACTTGGCGGTTCGACATCAGGTATTCTGAGCTCAAGCTCCGTCAAGTTGCGATAGGCGGGCGAGTTCCAGTGGAGGTGGAATCCATGGAGTCGAAGGGAACGTAGGAGGGGAGTGGGCGTCCACCTGGGGTCTCCGGAAATATTTTCCTCGAACATCCGTAACCCGTTGACTGCTATCGACGCGAAGGGATCTCCATGACGCTCCGGTATGTTTTCAGACCCAAGGATATGCAGGGTGCGAAGGTGCGAAGCAAAGCCCTCCGCCCATATCGACTGGAGAAATAGTGGAGCCATCAGCTCGTCGCGCCTATTGATAATAAGGGAGAGGATGAGATGAGATTTCTTTGATACCGGAAGAAGCCCTTCGAGAATGGGTGGGACGGATATGCGCCGTGGTCCTCTGGAGCAGTATACGTCGATTAACTTGTCGCCCGATCTTTCCATGAACGCTTGAGCTTTATCGTGCATCCTCCTTGATCCATTTACGTCGAAGAGCGTCCAGAGGCTAGAGTTACCGAGTGCGGCGGTTCGCCATCGGCGGCACACGTGTGACGCGTGTACGAGGTCCGTGTTGCATTCCAAGGCGCGATCGGAGATCAAGTAGGTGAATATGAGATAGAGGAGCTCCGTCGGAAGGGGATGGGAGAGTTGGTCGTCGTTGCGCCTCTCTCGCGCGTTGGCGACGGTGGAGCGAAGTAGCACTGCGGCGGACTCAAGTAGATGAGCTTGCTTGGTAAGGAATTCGCAAAGGGAGCGATAGGGCATAGACCGAGGGTCGAAGCGATTCTGAAGCCCATCTTCGAAACACGAGTAGATCTTGTCTTCATGGAACTTGAGGGTGATGGTGAGGAGAGGGCTAGATTGATTCCCATCTTCCATGGTATGACCTGCGATAGCTGCAGTCTGAGAGTGAGCTGAGTGCAGTGCGCGATTTCTGTTGTATTCAACCGGATGCTGGGACTACGTTGGGTCACGGTCCAGTACTTGTCGTCACGGTGACTTGAACGCGGCGACTGGAAGGGGAACACCGTTAAGCGCCTTCTCAGCAGTCATGTTAGCGCGGAGCTCTAGGTTCGACTCGTCGGCGAATGGAATTTCGCACTCCGGGCGTCCATTAAGGCTTCAAGTTCAAGGCAAATTGGCACGCTGCGAAGGGCTCGCCGAACCTAGCTATCAGCAAACGCACGTCGGCTTCGACTCTGACTCTACAATACCACCTGATAAAGACTCTCTATCGCACAGTGGTGACTTGAACCGCGACGCGCTCCAATGGTGAGCTCGAATTTGCTCTCAGTGGCGTCCACTGCAGACATTCCTCTTTTGAACGCATCCCGCAGTTTTCCATTCGGCCACCACTACCATTGAGAGATATGCACGCGTCTCACACGCCGGCCGGTATACGTGCAAATGGCTCGAGAAAATCGCGAGTGAGTCCGCTAACTGACAGCGTCCCTATCATAGATTGGAGTTCGAATGGGCGACACAGTTCACAGCGACGCGGTTGCCGTCCTCGAGGACATCATATTGACGGGGACTGGCAACGTCCTTCTCTGGGGTGACCCGTGACAGCCGCCCACGAGCCTCGGCCGACGAACACACGCCCGTCCCCCGCACCACGGTACATCGACTCTTGGCAGTATGCAACGCAGTGACCTCACTCTCTGTACGGCGTCCTCCCGGGATCCTCTCCGGTATCTTCCTGTCGCCCACAGGCACAAACCTTCATATAAACACAGACCTTTTTCACGTCACACACATCCGAAAACACTGGCGCGAACGCCCTCGCGAACACCACTTCATCTCTTTGGACGCAAGTATACTGTATATGTCTGGCGCTCGGCCCAGAACGTTCACATGCCAGGCCCTGATGTAAACATGCACTGCTTCGTTTTTCGGCGATACACAGACGGTCTGCCTACAAACTCTATACCCTTCATATACCTCATGAAAATCTACCCACCTTCGTCGACGAATACGTTCCCCTTTCTTCTGCGCTCGACCTAGGCGCGGTGAACACAGGCCTGGTGGCGGTGGGGCCCGTCGAGAACCACGACCACGACCAGCACGCCTGGTCCCTGCTCTTTGCTCTCCGGCGCGCGCGGCACCTCGTACACCACGAGTGAACCGCCATCGTAGTTTTCATGCGCGTGCTTACGCCGCGGGAAGGCAGCCTGGAACCGCCGGTCGTGTCGGAGTTGGAGGAACTGGAGATTGTAGACGCCGTCTTCACCCCGAGACAGAAGCATATGTATGGTGCATTCAAGACTGTACAGCGGGGCGTAATAAGCGCGGTTCCGTCTTGACGCGGATAGAGCTGCTGGGGGTATCCGGGTTCACGGGATTGGGTGCGGGAGTTGACGGTTACGACCGGGACGGAGGTGTCGGTGAACAAGTGTTGAACGTTGAGCGGCGGGGTCCCATCCTTTCGCGTGTAGCCTATGGGAACGGGCATTCGAGTTGTCCGATAACGGGTTACCAGACTTTCTTTGTACCATCGCTTCACAGGTGACCGGCTCGATCTTCACTCCGGCACCTCCCACTAGTCCGCGCCGACCTGCGAAGTAGGTCAGCGACGGGCCTCCGCACGATCTAGACGCTGTAGAAACGATGCTCACCCTCCCCCCGCGTGTTCCAACAGCCCCCTCCCCACAACGCGCGGCTAACGTGGCCCAACCACACCCGCCGCCGCCTCGCCCTCCACAGAACCAACGTCAACGACGACCGCGCGCAGGCCTCGTGCCCAAGCGAGCGCCTCGTCCACACGCGCCCACGCCTCCGTTATCTCCTTGCCGTCCTCAGCCCAGTACGTCCTCGCGCCGGCGAGCTGGACCGTCACCCTCTCCAGCGCGCCGAGCGCGCCTGGAGCACACGCGAGCGCAAGGGCCTCGGCCGCGCCGGCAAGCGCGAGGGGCAGATCGCGGGGGCGCAGTAGCCGCGGTCGAAGGCGAAGACGAGGTGGCGGAGCGCGGGGAACATCGCGGGGAACGCGAGCACGCGCCGGAGGGTCGTGCGGGGTTCTGCAAGCGCGGGCGTCAGCGCTTCAGCGATGCGTGGATAAACCGGTAGAGAGGCGGGTGGAGGCACCTGGAGTGGCGTGCATGGAGATGAGCGTCGAGCGGGGCATCATCTGGATGCGGAGAGTGTGATGGAAGAAAACAAGGATAGGATGTAGGTGACGCCGTCCACTCCGTGGATCTCCTGCCGGTCTAGGTATGTGTCGATGACGAGCTTATCCAACGTGGGCCGGGATTGCATCTCGTGTGGATCGAACTGCGGGAACCCGGTACTGGTCAGGCGTATGTCGATGAGTTGAAGGGAGCGTAATTGGTGGAGATACGGGACGATGTTGCCAATCTCCGTCGCCTTAAGAGGAGAGCTGTAGTCCCGATGAGAGTATTTCGTGATGGCGAGCTTGCGTCCGGAGATATGGAGTTCTTGGATGTGGTCGCCAAGTTGCGTTATGTGAAGAGCGACCTCGAACGATATGAAGTCCGAGCGTGTCCGAGCGTTTCCGAGCTTGGAGAGGTACATAGGTCTTGACAGAGACCTTCCGGAGGAGATGGTGCTGACTCTCTTGTCGCCACGCCTTGCACACGAACGCGCAGTTTGCGAGCAAGGCCGAATCCTCTCCGCAATGAACAATGACTGCGTATTGCAATTCGACGGGCAAGGCACAAGTCCTAAGAGAATACAACACCAATTAGGAACACAGCACGGACGGTGACACTATTACTCTCAGAGGTCCTGCCATGGACGATGACAGAGCTGGAAGTGCAATTAGACGCCCGTGCAAGGGCACGCGCAAGCTCCTCATCCCATCTCCACTCTTTCGGCAGTGCGCCCACGAAGCTGAGCGGACCTAGGCATCGGCAGCCGTGGTGAAGATGAGATAATACTTCGCTACATAAAAATACTATACCGGGCTAGTACAGATACCGAGTGATGACAGGGAGTAAGGTGATGGTGCAATGTGCAACAAAGCCTGGGACGTAACGCCAATGTAGACCTAGAAGCGTTCCATCGAAGACAGTCCGTTGGCCGGCTGCGCGCAGCGGCAGACAAACGCGCGGCCGACCGTCATATCAGCGCCAGCCAAGCGCATGGGCACAGCGAACCACGCGCTCAAACCACGGGCGAGACCCAGGTGAGCCGTATGCCTCGCAGCGCGTCGAAATCCAGTGGGGTAGTGTACTGTATACAGCTCATAGAGCGTCGGAAGGAATCGAGCCCATGTCGTCCTAATGCACGTGTCCAAGGATACGCCGATAGTCCGCGACCACGCTCTGGAACGTCTCCTGGAGCTTCTGCTGGCATTCTATTTTGTCCAGTTGCATGAGGACCTCCTGCAGGAACCGGGCACGGAACCAGTCAGCGTCTTTTCAACAAAGAATAAAGTCGCATTACGTACGTAGTTGAATCGATAAAGACGCTCCTTCACCTGCAGCCGGTAAGATCGCTGGGCGATCTCATCGGTGGGATCCAGGTGCTTCAAAATGAGCATTTCGACGAGCCGATGGAACTGTCGCTGTAAGCATCCACGCAAGACCGGGACCCAAGAGAAGGGAAGACATGCGTCAGCGGACGGACGAAGATGACCGACGAAAAAACGCGCACCCCAGCAATCTTCAGGTCGGTTCTCCACTTCTCGAGCCACGCACGGTCAGCAGGTGGACCCATCTTGCCGGCGCCGTTACGCATGCTGCGGGGTCGTCCGCGCGACTTCCGCGCCACCTTGCCACCGTTACTTGACACTGCCTCAGGGCCGAACCCTTCGCGCATGAACCTCTCGTTGGCGAGCAGCATTTTGAGGTCGTTGCGATCGCGCAGATCTTCGAACGCTTCAGCGGGGTCTTCGACAGTCAACTCGGCTATCCGCGGCTGGGCGAGAACGTGTTGATAAATAGCGGTATAGAGGGCCGATCCGTGGCCGTCTTGTTGGTAGGGAGGGAGGATAAGGAACTGCGAAATGCGTAGACGAACGCGCTCGGGGAAGCAGTAGAAGGGATAGAGGGTGGAGTAGCCGACGAAATGATATGTGAAGACTTCAGGGGATGAGCGCCGTCGCCGCTTCTCGTAGAGTACGGCGAACTCCCAAGTCTCTTCGTCTTCGCTGATGAAGGAGCCGGCCTCGATGTAAAGCAGCACGAAAATCCGCATCCTTCGATGGAATTCGCGGAACCCTGGCGTGCTCCAAGTGGACTGAAAGACGGCCCAAGTCAGTGAACACGCGACACAGGGACAGCAGCATTGACGGGTGGTGGGAACGTGGACCATCATCGGGGGTACACGTCAACATGACTAACAGAAGCCACAGGTCTGGGCCATCCTGGCTAGGCCCCGCCTACCAGGATCGCGCTGTGCTGGGCGGAAGTGACGCACAGATGCAACGTGGTAGCAGCGGCTGTACTGTCTCGATACAACAGTCCGGGCCGCGGTGTACCGCGCGCGAAGACGCGCGATGCATGGAGACTCCGGAACAATGGACTCACATGGTAAACCTCATAGTCTACTGTCTCCTGGTCTTCGGGACTGAGAACGCGAGCAACGGCGACATTTTTGCCTTTGGGGAGCGTGGAGGCCGTGCGGGAGTACGAGTAGATCTTCTCCCCAAGGGGCTTGAAATGAGTGGCGTCGTGCTCAACGCGCTCGAGGAACTTGTGCTCGTCTGTGTAGTATCCTTCCGGGATGAACTTAGCAATCGTTGCCTCTACCTCGTCTACGGCGGAGGAGGAAGGAAGTTTTTCGGTGTACTTGACGTCCAGATATTGCGCCAGAGATCCCGACGCGAACTTCAACTGGCAAACAATGAGAAGCGTGGAGAGAGGAGCGGATTGAGTGAGACGCGTACGTCGATGTTGAGGTCCTTGTACCCATACATCTTCTCTTCCTCGCCAACAATCTGGAGCAGATGCGTCGGAGACGGCGCTTGACGGGGGGATGACATTCACTTACTGGATATGTGAATGTGGGGTGGAAGCCCTCGTACGCTTCCCTTGACCACAGGGAAGCTTTATCGTCCGTGGCGCGCACTGAGGTGGTCGTTGGGACACGCGCACAAGCGAAAATAAGCGGAGAACGTACCGAGAGAGAGCGCAAGGGCTTCGTTGGCGTCGGCCGTCCAGGCGGAGGAGGACATGGTGGGGGAGGGAGAAGAGCAGATGGAGGGCGCGCAGGGCGAGTCGCGTCCATATCCCCGCCCGGTCTAGATCCCGACTGTCACGTCACACATGCGATCGGTCACGGATCTCCCCCGCGTCTTCTCGCGCGCGCGTGTCCCGACCACGGACGGCCCTGACGCACCCTGACGCCTACGCCCATGGCTTTCTTGCCTCTCGCTTTCTCCGCGAAACCTGCCCCGGCCATACCGCAAGGCTAACGTCCCTCAGACATCGGGAAGCGGCCTTCTCACGTCACTGAATCCGCAATGTCTCAAGAAGAAGAAGAGCAGCCCAGAGTGCGTTCAGCACGGTTGCTCCTTTGCACCCCCAGACGATCGTTGACATATCTCTAGGTGCTCGCGGCGTCTGTCGCAGATTTCAGATACTTCGCCGCCCTCCTCAAAGGCGTCAGTTTCACCAACGTAACGCGTTACCCCCGGCTTATCTCAAATGCGCTCGTTCTCATGCTTCTCCGCCGTAGCGCGCACGCGTTTCAATCGACCCCGCCGCGTTCATTGTCACCGTAGAAGAGGCGAGAAGCATCCAAGGTATGTGGTCGTTCAGATCTGCCTCATTCGATCTTGTACGTCGGGGGTCAGCGCGATGTCTTGTGCCCGCGACCCTGCTTCTGAGCATGGCTAGAACACACCTCCCGCTCTGCCCCCGCTCATCACCAAACGAGGGTGAACGGAGGTCAGAGACGGTATGCGTCACAGTTCCTCTGGGATGGTCCGGCCTCGCCACGTCACAGCAGCGCACTCCGCAGTCCCGTTGGGACTAGGCTGGACTAGTGTGCGCGTAGACACCCACCTGCAGCACGCATACAGCTGACATTCGTGCGCTCATAATGACCCGAAGACAGCTATATGCACGCTGTAAAGCGGCCCGCACCTGAGAAGCTGTCTCGCCCTCCTGGACCAGCGTGGTCTCCTGGGAATGTTTTTGGCGTCTGAATGGTATCTGGGGCGAGTGTTCGAGATAGAGCTCGGATGCTGTGGCAGCACCCCAAAACTCATCCGTCCTCGGCCAACTTTGGTGCGACGTGCCCACGACGTGGCTCCGGCGTGCTTGCTGGCATTCCGGCAGACAGGCTGCAGTCACGGTGTAGAAGCTCCACACAGTGTCCGATGTCCCCCTTCTTCATGCCGTGCTATTCCTGATCCCTTGAGCCCTGTACTTGCGGTGCGCGCCCGCGACCAGTCGCGAAACTTCGATTATCCCCTCATAGCATATCACCCGTGCCCTCAGTCTTGGCGTAGACAGTCGAAGGACGATCAGTCAATTGGCATATGCTGTCAAGTACGGTGCTGGTCGTGCCCTCTGGATGGTCTTTGTTGCTTTATATGGATCCTGTGGTGCACGCAATTCTGACGTCGCTTCCCCCCGGGGCATCCAGCTACCGCCTACATATTCAGAGACATCTTTGATGAATACGTTTACCGACCCGAGTCTAGACATGGTTCACAAGACCTGGACCGCTCTGGTGAAGACTACGTGACCACGGTGTTCGAGATCCCGCTCCACACCCTCATCGAATGTCTTAACATCTTCGGCTCTACCCCCCTGAACCCCGGCTCGGCAACGAAGAAGAAGCAGAAGCACGAGGACGGCGGCGACTCAGACGGTGGTGGCCCGCGCAACCGAGATAAGGGCCCCGGAGATCCCGGCGCAGGGATCGCGAGACTCGACCAGTGGTTTGCGCCAGGCAAGGGAACGGGGATGCGCCTCTCGTATGCAGGGGCCGGGCACCCCCTCACCCTGTTCATGTGCGTGCATCGCTATCGTTGACGGGATCTTCGCGCATTGAATGACGCTCGTCTCGGGTCTTCTCTAGCGTGGACGAGTCAGGTGGCCCGACGGCAACCTGCGAGATTACGACCTGGGAGCACGAGCCCACCGACTCCGAATTCTCCATCGACGGCGACGGCGCGTGCGTCTCCCTCTCTTGTGCCCGTGTTGCATAGCCCTCGCGCCCTGACGGAACTATCTCCGCAGCGTCCTGAAGATCATTCTAAAAGTGCGCGAAGGTTCCTCCTTGCCCAATGCGACCCCGAACGCTGATCGCTTCCGGCCGCGACTCCTCTGCGCACTTCCCCGTCCTGCCCGTTCGAGCAGTCGTCTTGGCTTCGGGACGCACTCGCCGAGCTCGACCAGAACACGACGACGCTCACTATCATTGGCAATCCGCCTCCGCCGGGGAACCGTATTGTGCGCAACGCCCCGCCGCGGCTCCGCCTCCGCGCGGTGGGGCAGTTCGGGACCACGGAAATGGACTATCCGAATGACCGGGAGGTGCTCGAGACTTGCGAGTGTCCCGAGGCTGTATCGTTCACGTGAGTACCGATCCGTTCTTTCCCGGCTGTGCAGGGAGTGCTTACGCAAGGAGAAGGTATCGCTACTCGCACGTCGCGAAAGCATTGCGGGCAATGCAGAGCTCCATGAAGACATCGTTGCGCATCGACCAGACGGGGATGTTGAGCTTGCAGTTCATGATGCCTACCCCACGACGTCGCAACAAGCAAGCACAAGCATTCATCGAGTTTTGGGTGGGTATATGCCCTCCCTTTGTAGACAGACCTTTGTTAACATCTCAACAGTGTCTTGCGATGGACGATCCATGAAACGGAAGCGGGGGTAGACGGCGCATGTCTTCGCAGCGAAAGTGTAATAGAGTAACATGTAACATAGTCTAAGCATTAGTCCAGCGAAGTTCACTAAATCAAACCGTCCAGGAAGTCTGCGCTTTTAGGCTTGGTGGTCGCCGTCTCAAGCGAAGGGAAGGACGGACGAGGCTTGAGCTCTGGCAGGTAGTCCGCGATGACGGAGTCGAAATCTGCCGGAGGCGAGGGGGCTGCGCGTTTTGAGGACTTCGATCCCTCCCGCCAAATATAATATAGTACTCACCAGCGGTTGCACGAGCCTTCACCGACGCCTCCAGCATGTTGCCCACGATAAGTCTACGCAAGGCCGCGCCGTCCAGTGGAGGAGGAGCAGCCTTCGGGCTTGACTTCGCGGCCGTCTTGACGTCCGGGACCGTGGTCTCGCGGAAGGTGCCTGTGGGAGTAGAGGCCAGCCCGAGATGTGCCAGCACGTCTCCTTTGGTGAGCATCCCGCGCACGCCCGTGCCCTTGATTTTGTCGAACTCGGCTTGCGCAATTCCGTGCTCTTGTATCAGGCGCAGCACGGACGGGAAGAGCGGGCGGTCGGTCTTCGGGACTTCGACGTGTGAGTGGGAGGGCGGAGTTGGAGCCTGCTTTGCTTGGGCACCCGAAGAAGCAGAGATGGAAGGTTGGGGGGCCGGAGTCGAAGCTTGTGGTGCAGGCTCGTCTGCGGGAATTTCAAGGCTCGAGAGGTCGTCGCCCTCTTCAGCGAGGATCGCAATGGTCTTGCCTACAAGGATGTTCTTGGTGCCGTCTGGTGCCTGTGCGGGGGCATAAACATAGCATACAACGAGTGAGAAGTAGCATACGCACCAAGATCTTCCCAAGAACACCATCGTCTTGCGCCTCCACATCAATGGTTGCCTTGTCTGTTTCCTGCACCAGAACTCTACAGTCAGGATGCTGCGCGAGCGGCGCCAGAGGGCATTCGAGCCACGCACGATCTCGAGTAGAACGTCACCGGAGGCGAAGGCCTCGCCCTCCTTTTTCTTCCACGACGCAATCCCTCCCTCGGTCATTGTTGGTGACATGGCTGGCATGGTGAGCTTGGTGGCTGCATTCCGCGCCGCGGTCATGTGCATCCCTGTATGTGTGTTAGAATCATTGCGCATATCGGCGTGTAGCACTTGCACTTCTTGCTTGAGGATGAGCGCAAGACCGCCCTGGCGGCGTTGTGGAGAGACTGCATGGTGTGACGGAGGACTGGGGAGGAGAGACTCAGAGGTCAAGTCGTACGTTCGTCACTGTCGAAATCTGGTCCATGAACGCGCTTTCCGGGGACTGCCGACACGCGTATTGCGCCGCGTCAGCCATCTCACGTACGTGTCTCGTCCCACCCTGCTGCTAAATCCTCGCCACGCTTGCATGTACCAGTCTGCTCCCTCGCGACAACCGCCGCAAGCATGCAAACGACCTGCTCGATCCTGGTGGAGGTGCCAAGTTCGGCGGCGGGCCCACAGCATCGGCCCTCATCGCCTGACGCCCAGGCTGCGTGTGGCCGACAGGCCCGGCTCGTGGCCTCGCAGACTCCGTGCTCCCCGCTTCTGTTTTGGGCCCCCGCTACCTCCTCCATGATGCCCCACTCGCCCGCGGTCCATCGCCGACTCTGAACGCACGCACAAGACGCGCATATAGCGACCCTCGGTGAGCCCCCTGCCACGCCAGACGTCTTGTTCCGGTCCTCAGCGTGCGTCTAGTAGGCTTCATGCCCTTTGAATCACTAGTGCCTTTGGAATCGACTAGAGACCTCTTAAACGACCGAATCCCGCCACCGCCGACACTCAACCACTGTCGAGCGAGAAGATGCACTCCCCTTTCGATGCTGCGCTCCAGCGTGCGAGGCTCATTGGGACGAAGTTCTTCTACCGCTTCGGCATGTGCGTGTGTTTCACCTCTCTTCCTCTCCCGTCACCCTCATTCGCTCTCTTCAGCCATTGCGCCACGCATCAAACCCGCCTCATTCTCGTGTCCTCCGTTGTCATCACCTCCCTCCTCTTTCCGGCCATTGCAAGCTACTACTCGTCACAGACGCAATACTTCGCGGGGTTCACCCTGCGAGTCCTGGACGCCTTCCTCACCCCGGACGATATCTCCACCTACTTCGCTCAACACGACCTCAGACATCTGTGGGAAGGAGATGCGTGGCTACGCGTGAGGGAGGATTCCGTTGCCCGGGCACGGTGCGGGTCGGAAGGGCTCTTACGGGAGGAGCGCGTCCTGGTTGGCAGTGTCTCTCCCGAAGACGGCCTCGGGGCCCTCGATATCAGTACGCTTCTCTCCTCATTCAACCTTGAGCGGCGTATCGCGGACTCTCTCGCCACGCGCAATGTCCCCTGCCTCAAGGTGCCAGGCGGCTCGTGCTTCTCGCTCGGCCCGTCCGTCTTCTGGGGACACGACTCGGTCGCACTTCGTTCGGATGAGAACATTCTCGAAACTATCAACAACTCGCCAAACATCTCCATCGCTGGGATCCCCGTCACTCCGGAAATGGTCCTCACTGGGCGAGAACGGGTGAACCCTACGTCAACTTACGCCGACTCCGCCACCTTTTTGGTCCTCACGTACTTTTTCCACGACAAGGACTGCTTCGGACACGACGGCCACTTCCAGTGGCTTCACGCGCTCGAAGATGCAGTGGAGAGCGAGAACGCAGGGGAACTGGTAGTGCTAGCACAGCGACCACAGCTAGTCGCCCTCGAGGTACGCCGCGCGCTTCGCGTTCCTGGGCCGTCATTTTGATTGCTGATGGATGTCATTGTCGCTGACCGCGCAGTTCCGGAACAACGCGTCCCTGAAAAGCAATCTCTCGATGCTCTCGGCATTCACCTATGTCACCTACACGGTGTTCGGCATCTACTGCTTCCTGCTATTCCGGCGCATGGACATGGTGCATTCGCGCATCGGTTTGGCGTTTACAGGACTCGTCGAGATTGTCGTTAGCACCATCACTAGCGTCAGTGTATGCGCTTTGGTCGGCTTCCGTGTCACTATGGTCCCACTCGAGCTATTCCCAATCATCCTCGTCTTCATTGGTGTCGAGAACATGTCTAGCATTGTGCGTATGCTCCCCGTAGTTCTCGATCGATCTCTGACGCAGGTTTGACAGGTTGACGCAGTGGTGAAGACCTCGATCTCCTTGCCCGTCAAGGAAAGAATCGCTCAGGGGCTCAGCTACGCGGGAACATCCAATACGCTCAAGGTCGTGTCATACAACGCGGTGTTGGGAGTGATCGCGGTTTTCTCCACGGGCGCGATCAGACAATTTTGCGCTTTCTCCATCGTTGTCCTGGTCGCCCACTGGTTCCTTGTCCACACGTTCTTCGTAACCGTAGTGTCCATCGACATCCAGCGTTTGGAGGCCAGTGAATGTGCTAATATCTCGATGACCCGCATTCTGACGTACATGATGCTCACAGCTCGATGAGTTACTACGCCAGAACGCCAATTTGACACCATCAGTTATCGCCGACCCACGAAAGTCCACCGCCTCGTTGAAGAAGACAAAGCTTGGCTCCACATGGGATAGGCTACAAGACGCTATGCATGGGCGGCCCGCGAAAAACATCAGCTTCTTCCTGGTCAGTGCATGTAACGACGTTTGACGTTCCCTTGCGCTAATTTCGCGCGGGTGGCACCACTTCAGCTTCTTGCGATAACCGCCGCATTGTATTACACGACCTATTCCCCGACGGGCGGCAACGCGCATGCAGTCAAAACGCCAGCTCGTAACCCCCTGGCTCAGCTCTCACAAGCACGTAACATCACCCCCGACAGCGTGTCCCCCGCTGAACGCCTGTGGAAAGTCATCAACCCCACCTCTGGCTCCCTGGTCCACATTCGCATAGAATCCCCGACTATCCTCCTTCTTGGCGGCACTAACACGGAGGCATTGGACGACATTTCCGCTGAGTCGGACAAGCCCTCTCGGCCTCGTCTTCCCCGCATCTGGAGCCGAACGATGCGTCAACTCGAATGGTTGTTGAAGATTTTCGTCGTGCCCATCACGGCCACCACGATGACCCTCTACGGTCTTCTTCTTTACCTCCTCAAGGACGCGGAGCTTCTCGAGGCGCAGCGACAAGCCCCCGAACCCGAGTCCCCCAGCGATGAGCTGTCAGCTGTGGAGGGGAGTATTTCGTTTTCGACACTACCTCGCGTGTTCGCCACCGATGTGGAGCTCATTGCAACAAGTGAAGATGGGAAAGTCATCGCTACAGTCGGGTTGCAGAACGAACTGGTCATCTGGCGAACGGAGACGCAATCCCATGTATCCGTTGACACTTCGAACTTCGTCCTCGGAGGCACCAGCATCCCCTCGACCGCCAACGCCATTACAGCCATTGCGATGAACCCCCTTGGCAACGTCTGCGCGGTCGGCACTGGCTCGGGTACTGTCGCGGTCTTTCTCATTGGCGTCGGACGGATCAAACCTCTCCCCCACTTCCAGCTCGAGCATCTCACGTCCGGTGTCACCTCCCTTTACTTCACCGGAACGCTCAAATTCGCGTCCGGCGCTATCACCCCCTTGCGAGCGACCACAGAATCTCCCACCGCACTCACCTGTCGGCTCTATACGGCCTATGAGAATGGCGCGATTGTGGAATGGGATGTGCTGTCCTTCAATTCCGGCCGTTATGTGACACCCTCTCGGGCCGCGTCCGTCATCAAGTCTATGCTCCTCCCGATCCAAGGCGATGGCCGGCTACTCGTCGCCTTCTCGTTGGACGATGGTGTCCTGGAGATCTGCAACGTTGAACAGGCCAACCCGGTACTTAAGGGCGAATGCGCAATCAACGCGGGCAACCCATCCGACCTCGTCTCGAAGGCGCACGCATGCTTGGTCGAGCTCGATGGGGCGAAGCGCGTCATCGTGGGCGCTGCGTCTCAAGCGGGGGTCATCTCCCTCTGGGAGGCGAGCACAGTCGAGTGTTTGTTCATCCTCGACGAGCCGTTCGGCGACATCAACCTCCTCAGGCTTTCCCCCGTTCAGGTCTCCGAGTGCACAACGTGCGGCGAGCTCCCCGTCGAGAACTTTTCCATCACGTTCTCGGTCGGGCATGTCGTCCAGTTTTACCGCGCATACTTGACGCTCCCAACACGTCGTTGCGCCTGCCCTCGCAATATCCCCCAGCAAGCTCCCCGCTCAAGTCTCCTCACTTCCTCCATCCGTCCTCGCAGTAGTAGCAACGCTTCCGCCGGCTCCACAGGGGCCAACACCCCCGTGCGCATACGCTCCCGCCGCCCCTCGCTCTCTTCCTCTTCCCCATCCACCTTCCCTGTCTCTGGCCACGGTGTGCACTCGCGCCGCGCGTCAGAGAAAGACACCATTCGCCGCGCCTCCGAGTCCTTTTTGCTCAGCAACCCGGACTACTACGAGTACGACGCGCCCATCGGGCCACAGGACGTGACGCCCGCGTCGAGCTTCCTCGCCGCACATGCTCAACCGTCAATCTGGCAGAGCCTCGTCGTCGTTCGCGTCGCGGAGACGACCGTTGAACGCGGGGCGTGGGACGTTGGACTTGACAAGATCGTCGGCATCCGCCGCCGCCCGCGACCAGCGCTCACCAAACGCACGAGCAGCGACCTCCACGCGCAGGCGCAGCTCGCCGCAGACCAGCCAGGTGGCCTCACCCCCGCTGCGCTCGACCGATGGGAGCTCTGGACGTTCGACCCACTCGAACGGAAGGTCGTGCCCGCTCCACTGCTAGCGCTCAGCCATGCGCCACCCTCGCCGAAGCGACGGCGGCAGGAGTCGGTCGCGGCCGGGAGCGGGAGCTGGGGACGCGCTGGCGCGCCCGCCGCGGCGAAGCGGAGGACGGCGGTGCCGCGGCTGCACTTCACGCGCGTGTCGCCGTTTGTGTGCACGCCGTCGTGTTGCCTTGGCGGGTTCGGGAATACGGTGGGGATGTTCCGCTTCACGATCCCGCCGCGCGTGGGCGGCTTGGCCGCGCCCAGCTCTCCTCCTAGGCCTTCCAAGGACGGGCGCAAGGATTGAGCGCCCTTCTCCAGGCCGTTTGTTTCAACAGCATCTTGCATCCTCCGAACTCTCAACAGCCTCCATTCGCCCCTCACCAGCATCCGTCCCTGTCCGCCTCAACAGCATTTGCGTTTGTCCACCTCTCAACAGCAACTGCGTTCGCACGACTCTACTGGCTATTGGTTCTCCCGCTTGACTTGGATGGTTCAAAACCCTGTACTGTACATACCTTACCACACACTCTGTATAATCACGCCCCCCTGCGCCGCCGCCGATCGTCGTTCTCGTCCTTGATGTTATGTACCTCGCTTTCTCGCAGTGCACCCATGTTCTCTGTATGATATAGAGCTTGTATGAGGGACGCGTAGCGATACATCTCCGTATATTCACTATCGGTATAGTTCCCGCGCCACCGTGCTCGACGCCAAGAGCAATCTGTCTCATATCACACCTCACGCCTGCCAACGCCCTGCTCCTCCGGTTCGTCACCCGTGCCGGTCACATCGAGGTAGTCAAAGTCTATATCTTGTTCCACAACGTCGATGGAGGTGGTCAACGATCCCATCGTCCGCTCGAAGACGAGCGACTCTTCCTGTGCGCCTCCAACTTCGGGTGAGTCGGAGGAAACACCTCTTCTGGAAACTTTGGCATTGACGGCCTGCAGGTGAATGAGGAAGCGGGACACAAGGATGGAAGTCAACCTATCAAGGCGATGTCAACTGTCGAGAAGAGGAGCCGGAAATATCACACTGACGGGGTGGTGAAGAGAGTGACGAATATGAACCCCCTGGCAGTGATCTGCATTGACCGACGTCGATGTGCTCAACACATGAACGTAGCGCAACGTCGAGAACGTACCGGTACACTCGAGAACACTATGTGGAGTAGGTTGAGGATGGTCAAAGTCCTGGGTACGAGCGTTATCCATCGTGAACCCATCGACGTCACTCGCGCTCACACAAAATAAAGTGTGCCTGTCAGGTTTTTGGGTCGCACCGGCTTTAAAAAAGTGCGAAGCATATATGGCGCACCGTCTTTGAGTAAAACACGCGAGAACGAGCCAGAGGGTGCACCGGTACCGCTGTCTTGACGACGACCCACTCCCAACGCACGCCAAGTGATGACGATCGCGATGAGGTCCGCGGTCACGAGCGAGAGGCGAGAGAGGATGATCACTGTGTGGATACAAAATGAAAGCCAGTACACACCAAGCGTGCTTTGGAGCAAAACGTACATTTACTAGGACCCGCCGTCGAGGCAATGTCGCATCCTCCGCCATCGACCCGTGCAGTCTCACGTACTTCAGCCATCTAGCATGACGTCGTCAGCTCAGTCCAACAGCGCACTACCATGTTGGTGGCACACACGATATTTAACCCCACCGGTATCATTGCGAGCAGGAAGGTGGTGATGGATATGAGCACCGATGCCCAGCGCTTGAGAGACTGGACTCTGCACATGGCCAGAGTGCGAAGTGCGCAGAACGCTGAAGCGGCCGCATGGGTATAGTGGAAGAGATGATTTAGTGGAAACTAACCTGCGAAGACCACAGTGGTTGACAGCATGAACGTCGATTGGCTTCGATCTGTGTCCAAGCAACTACACGAACAAATGCGGTTAGTATCTGCCGGGTGCGAATATATTTACGGCGTCGGCGTACATCTGTGACATGAAACGATACTTTAGAAGATAGGCCATAGTAAACACTTTACTTGACATAATCTGACCTTGACAGTGGGAGTAGGGACAAAGTTAAGAGTTATGTCGTACACAAGCGTGATTATCGAGAGATATCGGTTGGCGAAAAAGAGTGCGGCGGCGAGAGTGAGCTTGCTGTTCCAAAAGAGGGAGATCTCCTCCCTGATTGTAAGGATGTAGTCAAAGAAAAACACTACTGTATACAGTATATCATCAACCAGTTCGTTATCAGCGCTCACAGGGCGTAGCGCAAACTCACCATCACTCCCAGTATCACAATAGCTGTAGATGATGCTGTGGCCAGACGGAATGATCAACCGTGGAAACAGAAACCCCAGTGAATGGCATACCCATCTGGATAGACGCGAGGACGTCGGCTGGCAAACCTGAAGACGAAGAGTTCATGTAGACGTCGAGTTTAAGTTGGAAGGTTCGAAGACGTGGGTGTTGTCGAACGCCAGGCTTCTACCACGCGCCTCTTTTATGCCGATGAGCCGAGAAGCGGAAAGCAAGGTTCACCAAAGAAGCTCAGCTCTATTCCCACTCCGTTTTTGACTCCGTTCACATGACAAGTATGCTTTGATTCAAGTCCGGAGAAGTTTCCACCGTACTTGGCGAGTGATCAACCTTCAAATTGTCAAGGCTATGGTTGCCAAAGACGAAACCACACATGGACATTATTTCAGCTGTAGGAGACAGCGTCCTCAACTTTGCAACCAGAACGTGCCACTTTGAATTATGGTAGATCACCTGAGCTACAGAAGTTTCAGTACTTGGGTGGGGCTCGGAGCAACACGGACACGGGGCTGTGTGCGAAGTAGTGGCTGTTGACGTTCATCATCATGATTCTGATTCTTGCCTTGTCGTGATATTTCAGTCTCAATTCCCCGCACTCGCATCGCCGCCGCCGTCCCCACATGACGGACAGGAAGAGCGGTATGGCGCGTTCATCTCGTTTGTAGACAATGAATGAGCGAATGCGATCGGCTCTCCCGGCGAGGGCGAGCGCTTCTTTCATGCGTCCGGTCGAGAGATAGCTTGCGTGACCGACGAAGCGAATGTCGATGAGGCTACTTCCGGATCGTTCGCTGAAGGCGAGAGCCTGATCGTCGGTCCTACGTGAAGCAAGGACGTTAACATGCGTCCACAGTCCAGAGCTACTGAGTGCAGTGGCGCGCCAGCGACGGCAGACATGTGTGGCGTGGACGAGGTCGGTGTCGCTCTGGGGTGTGTGCTCGAAGATGAGGTGGGTGAAGACAGAGGAGAGAAGTTCCGTGACGAGGCGGTGAACAAGTTGCTTACTGTTGCGCCGCTGACGCGCTTCGGAGACGGTATCATGGAGGAGCGTAGCGACGCGCTCGAGATTGGGGGCTTGATATTTCACGAAGTCGCAGAGGGAATTGTAAGTGAGATCGAGGGTCCCAGGACTCCCAGGGCGATCCTGGAACCACTGATGCAACTTCTCTCCCCGGACTTCGAAAGTTAAAACCGGGGAAGACGGCCGATGTTGAGCCTCCGGCGTCATCTCAAGATCGGCATCTTCGCTTGTAGTAGGTGTAAGTGACATGTTACGTCTATCGGGGGATTAGCCCACGAAACAGAGTCCTGACGGTCGGCTCACATCGAAAAAGTCCGGTTGCGCTGTGGCGAGCTCGCGAAGGTGAGTACATGTAAAGTTGGAAGATACAGTACCATCACTCACTGACAGTCCCGTTTGCAACGAGTTCTCCAAAGATGCGCGGTCCAAAGAGAAGTGAGAGATAGATGGGAGCGGCAGGGAGAGGATGGCCGCTCGGGGGGACTATCACCAATTTCTACACCCATCTTCGGTCTCGCTGTCCGACTGGACCTGGTGCGCGTATTTGAAATCTATTAGCAGCGACCGGGGCATCCAATAGACACGTCATCATGCTGGCTCACTTGCAGCCGCCAAGGGGATCCAGAATATATTGTAGTCCCAGTTTGTCCATGCCCTTTGCCCGGGATCATCCACATGATACTGAGTCCATAAGACATTGTATCTCCGAGGATCTCTGGCTGTGCTGCTCCGAAAGTCAGGGACACTCAGCATCACTGTGCGAGACACGTTGGTAAGATGTGTGTCCATAGTTAAGGGTACCCAGAGAGGATGAGGTGGTGGTGGTAGTGAGTAAGAGGGGAACCCGGAAGGATCCGTGGCCGGATGACTAATCGAACATCGAGCGGCGAGTACGTGACTTGCCATATTTGGTTAAGTCCAGCCCCGGGGATAGAAGACGCTAACAGGCGCGCACCAAGTGCCCCAGAATGCAGTCTCAGCTCCGAGTCCGTTCTTACGAGTCGACACGGCCGAAGTGACCCCAAAACCTTACGCAGTGAGCGCGCCGAACGCATCACGCTGACAGTTGCCAAGCGCGTTCGGTGCCGATAAACGACTCACTACGCAGGTGTCGCTCCGTATTGTTCTCGCTTTCCTGGCAGTTCTAACGGCACTCCACTTCGTTCACAACGTGTTCATCTATTTCGACCTTTCCTTCACCGATCGCGACGCTCTGTGTGCGATCGGTGGTCCGTTTGTACTGAGAAGTGCTGCCTAGGAGAGACTAGCTGCAAGCCTAGTATGCATCACCCAAAATAACCTGCGTTCCCAGAGACCTCACCGTTTGAACCCACTCACCCTCAACACCACTCGCCTGCGGGAGCAGAAGCCGCGGCAATGCCCTGCACTGTTCCTTGCGCACGACGAAGAGGTCCAGCAGGTCAACGCGCAGCTCCTCCGTGAGCTCCACCCCGCTCGCCTCGACCTCCTCCAACAGCGGCACGCGCGCCGTGCCTGGCGGGACCGGCACCGGGTCGTCCGTCACGAGCGCGTCGATCGCGGACAAGAACTCCTCCCCGTCCGGCTTCACGAGCCGGAGCGTGCGCAGCGCGGGCAGCTGGCGCAGCAGAGCCGGCCACGGCAGGTCCGCGAGGTCGTCGAGCGGGACGGCGAGCCCGGTCACGACGAGCGTCTCGAGCGCGGAGAGGTCGAGCACCGCGGGCAGCGTCGCGAATGACCGTCCGGTCGTCTCCCACGCGTACAGCGCGAGCTTGAGCACCGGGTCGACCGCGTCCCCGATCGTGGCGTGCGTGCACGAGACCTGCGTCACCGGCTCCCGGACGTTCTCGTCCCGCGGCATGAAGATGTCGGCGCGGATGATCGTCGGACCCTCGAGCCCAGGGAGGCGAGTGAGGTCCATGGGGAGGATCGAGACGTCGTGAACTTCTTCCGATGAGAGTTGGTAGCGCGTCGTTGGGGGGAGGACAAGGTGCTCAAGGATCTTCGCGACCGATCCGGGTGAGATCATGTGGAGGTCCAGCTTGACCAGCTTGGGGAGGGAGACGTCCCAGATGAAGTCGCCGGTTTCGACGAAGGGTTCGTCGGGGTCCGCAAGCAGGAGGTGGAGCCGCTCCAGATCTGGGCACGCCTTGAGAATCTCGAGGAGTCGCTTCTGGCTGATAGGGTAGGCATCCGGCGTTCTGAGCTCGAGCTCGGTCAAGTTCCGGTAGACTCGCGATTTCCAGTTGAGATGGTACCCATGGAGGCGGAGGGAGCGGAGGGCAGGAGTGGGCGTCCACTCGAGGTCCTCGGCGGGAACACAGTCGAACGCCTCCATCCCACTCACGACGGAAGCAAATCGCTCCATCTCTGGGTCGAGGATACTATCGGTGCCGAGGATGTGCAGTGTGTGCAGGTGTGTGGCGTACCAAGACCCGGCTATCGTCCACATGAGGGTAGGGACAACGTTCTCATCACGGTGGCCCACGACGAACGAGCGGATGCGGTGGGCCCTGGACGCGCGGCGGAATCCCAAAGCCATGCGTAATACATTGAGAAGGCCCATGAACCCAAAGAACTTGACATCGATAAGCCTGTTTGCGGATCGCTCGATGAACGCGACTGCTTGGTGTTCATGCTTCCGCGTCGCGACTACGTTGACGCCCGTCCAGAGGCTGGAGTCGTCGAGCGCAATGAGTCGCCATCGACGACACACGTGGGTGGCAGTGACGAGATTTTGGTCGCCTTCTGGAGTGTTCTCAGACACGAGGTCGGTGAAGATGCGAGAGACGAGTTCGGGCGGGAGGCGGTGGACGAGCTGCTCGCTGTTGCGTCGCTGGCGGGCTACGCGAACAACGTGCTGTAGGACGGCCGCGCTGCGTTCCAGAACCGGGGCGTGCTTGTCGACGAAGTCGCAGAGGGCGTCGTGGGCCATCGTCTGGGGGTGGAAGCGTTTTTGATTTTCATCTTGGAACCAGGGGTGCAGAGCTTCGCCTCGGAGTTCAAAAGTAATGGTGAGGGAAGGCGGTGTAAGCCAGTGGGGTTCCGTGACGTTAGCTGAAGTTCCGGTGTTCGTTGAAGACTGAGTTGTCTCCTCCGAGGGCTGGACGTCGGTATCGGAGAACATCTACTGCTGTCATCCATGCCAGGGTGTAAACAGGGTAATCTGCGATAAGCATCGCCATGGTACGCACCTCAGAGGGCAACTCGAGAGGGAGAAGAGTGAGGGATGGTGGCGGACGGAATGTTAGACGTGGTCCCCAGTGACCAGTCCGATCTCAGACAAGACAACCGAATCAGACCGATCGCTGGTCGGCAATATCCTCAACAATTTATCCTTGCACCCTTTACAGTCGGCATTAGGTCCTGCAAGCCGTAAGTATCGCGTGCTCTGCGTCCAAAGAGATATCAGCAGGTGCCTCACAGTAACACGTTATACGGCATGTTTGAACTAAGAGGCGAGGGCTTGAGAAGTGAAGCAATGAGCTGCAAGTAGTACATGGAGTAGATTCTAGAAGCTGTGGACAAGAGGCTATTCAACATTTCAAATATCCGCCACCCGGTTTCTTCCGACAGGCCTGACCAATGCTCGTTCGTACGGGCTTGATGAGACTGCTACATCCTGCCTGTCCTCCTCCCCATTAGAAAAGACAAAGACAAGAATCGATTGCTCATGGCAATCGAAGTCACAGTGATCGCACCCTCTCAATGAGGCTCCCCACCAGCCTAAGCGACTATGTAACTTCTTGAGTCGTCCAGTTTTCTCCCATTCTTCCGACTATCCGAATATGCGCAGTGTCTGCTCACGATCATAAGTTCGAACGAGGAAGTATACATTACGTAGTACAGGCAGTGTTGTAAACCATTGTTGCAGTTATGTTTATCGACTACTTGCTCGGACCACTGAGGTGGAACGCAGTGGTCGATTGGCAGCTATACGCACCGTTCCAATGAGTTATCCTGTCAAATCCGATATTCACCACGCACCCAAGGTTGCCTCGGCCAGGATCCAAAAAGGTGCTGTTGGATATGAGCTAAAGCCGTACGACGGACGTGATCCGCGCACATACATATCCGCGATTATCGTCAATGTTCAATCTCTCCTTGAAGAACGAAAAGAACTTCTTGGAATAAACCTCGTTCTTCTCGGTAGATATGTTGTCCAAGCTGACCTGCGAGGAGACAATGCTCGTCGTTGTGGTCGACATTGCGTGGAACGGTACAAAGAGCATACGATAGTCATCAAGAAGGCCGGCTCAAAAGTGCCATTGAAAGTGAGGGGCTTGTCATGGTCAAGGTGGACGGAGATGTAAGCTTCGGGTTTGCCGAGGGTCTCGGCTGAGAACTAGGAGGAAAAGGGGATTCTGCATGATAAGAACGAGAGCATAGTGAGTGTGGAACTAAATGGGGATGACCTTGGAAAACTCCTCGCAGAACTTCTTAGGATCTTCGACTTTGACGTTCGTCCTGAGATCGAGTCCAGGCATGTTAGAGAGGAACGGCGGTGAAGAGACGATAGGGGTCGATGACGAAGGAGGCCGAACATAGGGGCAACCTTAATATGCGTTCGTGTATCTGCGCGCGACGCCGGCACCCATTCTGTGCCGGATATTCTCATCATCGTGGTGGACAGTGGATAGAAGGTCCTTCGGCGGCCCGCGCAGCACGATGATCTCATCAGCGTGCGCGTTCACGCGCGGACGTTGAGCGCGACTCTCACCCGCACCACTACGACGGTAAGACGCGGCTTCGTCGTGCATCTAGCTCTCTCTTGCTAACCCGCACGCGCTAGGCGGCTTCGTCGCCATGGGTCGCGACAAGAAGATCCCCGACACGCCATTTCCAGCGGCGCAGCCAGTCCTGGGGGCGAGCTACTCTCCTCGCAAGACGCGCTTCGTAAGGATTGCGCTGCTCACCGTCTCCGCCGTCCTCTTCACCCTCCTACCCGTATCGTGGACCCCTGGCATCGGCCTCATTAACATCGTCCCCTTCTCCCCACCATCTCTCTCAACATCCTCGGAGCCTGGAGCGCAATGGAAAGATGATATATGGCCCCTCCGGGAGCAGACCCCATGGGACATCTCCACCGACTTCCCCTTCCCCCGCCTCCTCGAATACGACGTCACCGAAGGCACCTGGCTGCGCCTGGACGTCAATACCAAGACCGGAGACGTCGTCTTCGACATGCTCGGCGACATCTATTGTCTCCCGGCAAGCGCGTATAGCAAGGCTGCGCTTTCGTCAGACGAGTTCACGCGCGCGGTGCCCATCCTCGCCGGAGTGCCCCACGACTCGGACCCGCACTTCTCTCCCGATGGCACGCGCATGGTATTCCGGAGCGACGCAGGATTGGGGATTGAGAACATCTGGGTCACTGCGTGGAAGGGGTGCAAGGCGATGGACGTTCGTCCGGAGCAAGCGACCGGCGAACTCCAAAACGCGCTTCGGGTCAAGAAATACGAGGAGGGGCTTTTGGCATCGGGAGTTGCGGAGACTGAGGAGAGGAAGAGGCACAGGCTGCTTCGCGAAGGCCGTCTACATGGTATGTCGTTTGCATCATCTCTGAGGCGCATATACCCACCGCTCCGCGTCCACCGCAGCACAACGCGTCACGAACGAGACGTACAGATGGGTTTCGGACGCGAGGTTCCACCCCGACGGTGACAAGGTTGTCGGTACCAAGTGGCATACCTCCTCGCGCAGTCTGCCTGCGGGCGAAGCATGGGAGTATCTCGTCCCCAGTGCTCATAAGAGCAACCCGGTGAAGAAGGGGGATGGTAAGTTCCTCGTCGGCCGCACGCTTCCGCTTGGATGGGATGTCGAAGACTACGAGCACCAGCAAGTCGGGCCAAATCAGTTTGTATGGCTTGGGGAGGATGCGCTTGTTTATTCGAAGAACGTCCGCGACGTCGATGGGACCTGGGAATACAGTAAAGGTGCGCACTCAGTTGCTCAGAATGTTTCTTCGTTTTTAACTTCCTTGCCAGATGTCCACCAGGGCATTGATGCCATTTACTCGAAGAATCTCACCACCGGCGTCACCACCCAGCTTGTGAGTGCTGTGCCAGGAGGTGCAACACGCCCAGAGATTTCTCCCAGTGGACGTACTCTTGCCTTCGTGCGACGTGTCCGTGACAAAGAAGCCCTTGTGCTCAAGTGAGTCCCACCTTACGTTCGCGCCTTTCGTGAGCTCAATGAAACGATCAGGGATCTCGTCACTGGGACCATCCGCAACATCTGGCACGGGCTCACGTACGACTTATCGGTCATATCTACACCCATGGGCACATATCCTTCGTTCGCATTCACACCCAAGGAAGACGCCATCATCATTTGGGCGGCGGGTCAAATCTACCATGTCCCTCTCTCCAAGAACAAAGACGGCGAGCACGTTGCTGCAGGAGAGCCTCGGGCGATTCCTTTTAAAGCACACATCGAGAAACGGCTCGCTGAAACGCGGACCTCCAAGACCGACATAAAGTCTGTCGAGACTGCGGACTCGCAACGTGTCTACGCATTCACCGAACTCCGCTCGGATGCCAACGGCGAGAAGGTCATCTTCCAAGCTTCAGGAGCCACCTACGTTCAGCGCATCGGAGAACACAGTGCACAACAGGTCCCAGTGCTCTCTCCGAATTCCCCTTACTTCTCTCCTTCCTTTGTACCTGGGGCCGACGACCTTGTCTTGCATGGGCGTTGGTCGGACGTCAATTTCACGACGTTTGAGCTCGCCAACCTCACGTCGGGCACCGCCTACGCACTCACCGGTTTACCTCTCGGTCGCTACTATTCCCCAATCCTATGCGGTTGTGCCGGATCGAAGCGCCGGATCGCGTTCATCAAGACCAGTGGTGACCACCTTACAGGCAGCGTCGTTGCCCTCGCCGGGGAAGGTCTTTACCTTGGCGAAGTCACACTCCCCTCTGATGGATCGAAGAGCGTTGCGATCGAGAACGTTCACTTCGTCCCATCCGAGATCGACACGGACGACACGTACCACCTTCAGCTCTCATTCGTCAACAAAAACAAGAAGCTCCTCGTACAATCCTCGCAGCGCTCGTTCACCATCGACCTTAAGGACGGTTTCAAGCATACCACCCTGGCTACCGGGCTTATGTCCACTGAGCTCGCTGTACCTCCGCCCTCGTCCAGCAAGATTACTGGGGTTGCGATCGTCGACTTCTTCCACATCTACTACGCGCCGTCTGTCAAAGCCGACGATGCTGTCTGGAGCAAGCCAGCAAGCGCGACCAAGGGTCTGATGCGTGTTAGCTTGGACGGCGGTCACTCGATCACATGGAGCGGGGATGGATCTAAATTGTTTTGGTTCCTTGGTATGTTCTGTTCTTTTGGGTGTGAGGCGATGTTCTGACCTCGTGTCATGCAGGTCCTTGGCTCCACCACGTCGATGTCACCAAATTGAGCGCGTGCTCTCACTTCGCGAAGAAGGACCAAATAAACCTCGGCATAGAATGCACCAAGCAATTCGCGGAGTACCAGGAAGTCGTTGTGGAATACCCGAGCGACATTAAGCGTCTGAAAGCGGAGGCCACCGCACACGCCGCTGCCAAGTACGGCGAAGCGGGCGTAGCAAACGCAGATTTCTTTGTGTTCTCGAACGCGACGCTCGTTACGATGGACACGGGCAAGCTCACGGCCGATATCTTGCACGACGCCGTGCTCGTCACCCATGGAGGCGTGATTGAGGCGATCGCAGGCGTGCACGACTTTGTCATTCCATATGGTGCCACCGTGGTCGATGTCCAGGGAGGTGAGTAATGTTAGTCCGTATCTCGGGCCATGAGAAGCTGACGACTCCGGCAGGTTACATCGTCCCCGGCTTCATTGACGTTCACGCTCACTGGGCAGGATATGGGACCACGTATCCAGCACGGTCTTGGGAGATGGAGACGTTCCTCGCGTACGGTGTTACGACCCTACACAAGTGAGTTGACCCTCCCATTCTTCTCGCCACCTCCACTCACCATCGCGTCAGCCCAAGCTCAAACAATGCACTTGGCTTCAACGAGCGCTTCCGTATGGAACGTGGCCAGATGGTTGGCCCCCGCATCTACCACACCGGAGATGTCATCTACGGCGCCGGGGCACCTGATATCCACCAAGACATCGTGAGCATAGAAGAGGCCAAGTCTGCTCTCGTTCGCATCAAGGTCGAAGGTGGTCCATCGAGTTACTCGTACAAAAACTACAACTTGCCCTCAAGGTGAAGCGTTTGTTTGTTGATGTGGTCGTCCCTTCTCACTATTGGATAGGGCGTCACGGCAGAGACTCTTGCTCGCTGCCCGCGAGCTGGAGATGCTTTGCGTCCCTGAAGGTGTAAGTGGATGCAGTGTATGTGCTGCACTCGTACTAATCTTAAGTCTGCAGGGCATGAACTGGGACTGGGACATCACGTACATCATCGACGGTAAGTATGTCTCTTCAGCAACGCGCATAGCGTGTCTAACTACAACCCTTGCAGGCATGACCACCGTCGAACACTCCATCCCCATTCCGGTGCTGCATGACGATATGTTGACGTTGTACGCTTTGAGCGGTACCGGCTCAACTCCTACTCACATCGTTAACTATGGAGGTGTCATGGGGGAGCAGTATGTTTGGGCCAACGAGGACATCCCCAACAACCCTCGGTAAGCGATATTACCTAGCATATATCCTGTTTTCGGAGCTCATGCCCTTACCAGGCTTCGACAGCTAGGCCGACACGACCTTCTAGAACGTGTCAGCGAGTCTACGGCTCGTCCCCTTGATTGTAAGTTGTAACGTCTGGTATCCATACGCCCCGCTCACCCGTCACCTTCGACAGCTTACCAGGTCTTCAACACCTCCGTTTCGATCGCCAAGATGGTCGCGAAGGGTCATCGCACCCACATCGGCGCACACGGCGAGCCTCCTCTCGGCGTCAACTATCACTCAGAGATGATGTTCGCCAAGGCTGGCGGTCTCACGAACTACGAGGTCAGCTTTTGGCACGTCCTCTCTTTTGGCGTCGTCTCATGCTCCACACTTTGCCCCTCAGGTTCTCCGCGCCGCCTCGCTCGACGCCGCAATTACCCTCGGCCTCAATGACGCGATCGGCTCCCTCACCCCCGGGAAGCTCGCCGACTTCGTCGTCTACCCAGCTGGCGTCGACGTACTCGACGGCGACATTAGCAGCACGCGTGACATTCGTTTCGTGGTCCGCGGCGGGCGTGTCTGGGAGGCAGCGACGATGACGGAGGTCTGGCCGGTAGCAGGTCGTAGGGAACCTATGCCGCCCTACAATGCGGATTGATGGGAGTGCCAGAGCTTTGGATGGATCGATGGATGCACCTGGCTTATATACTCTGATGAGCTTCGCTTTGCCATGTGTATCGGATGGCAATCGTGCATGATAGCTCGGTTTTCTCGTGACTTGCACACCATACCACAACAAGTCAGTGGTAAAGCTCCACAACATACATTGATTTCGAGTCATCCCATAAGGTAGTGCAGTATTTAAGCGTCTAAGTCCACGTGGTCCGGGCCGGGGCCGAAATTGCCGCGTTACGGTTTCAGGCGTCGGTCCACGTCGAGCCCAATCACCGACGACGACCTCCACAGCAGCGGACCTGGAACTATCGAAAGTGACACGAGAATCTGGCCCCAAATGTAAGCGCTTATATGTTATCTCTTCTCACTAACCGTTGAACCAAGCACTACATTAGCTCACCATGACAAACCTCCCCCGACTCAATTGGGACATACTCCTCAACATCATGAACTCGATCGACAAATCTCGAGAAGTCATCAGGTGCTTCATGGCTCTCAACCGTTATTTCTACCACCGGGGCGCCAAGGTTGCTCTTCGGCTTCCCGTCGCGCTTCATGACCACGAAGAGCTCGAGGGCTTCCTGTGCTTCATGGAGGCCGAGCAGCAGACCCGCTATTGTTATCTTCGTCACCTTGACTTTTCAGTCGACGACTTCGACGACTACGATGGGGTTGCCTTGAAGTCCATATACGACTTTGTCTCGCGCTGCACCAACCTCCAGACGCTCAGGCTCGACCGGGGCGAGGGCACTCTGATGTTCTCCGACGACCTCTGGGAGGCCTTTGCCTCGCTCTCCTCTTTACGCCACCTCAACATCAGCTACGCCAACTTATTCTCATACTATTTGCTCAGAGATCTCCGGTCTACATTGTCCACCGTCTCCTTGCAGTGCGAGGATCCTCGCGATGAGTTCCTCCTCGATGACGGCGACGATTCATCGCTGCTCGAAAGCTCCCACCCGATCGCCCTTTTCGCCAACCATCGCGACACCCTCGAATCAGTCATCTGCGAGAGCTGGTACGGGCTCGAGCACACCCCGACCTCTTTCCACGTCTACCCCAGAATGCTGCGCCTCGCCATCGACTACACCACCATCCGCGACGTAGCGTGCCTCGTCCGCGCGTACCCGAACTTGAAGTACCTCCGCTCCCGCGAGAGATGGGTCCACCCGAACTCCAGCAACCAGGGTCTCAGCGAAGAAGAGAGGCGCGCGGTCCGCGCCGGAAACCTCGAAAGTCAAGACGACTCGGGCGATGTGTGGTCGTGTCTGCAAGCCTTCACGGGCGGCCTCGCCGAGCTCTACTCCCTCGGTCTCCTCGGGCGCATCCGGGAGATCGCGTTCAAGAAGGCCATCAAAGGCGACGCGTTCAAGGTCGAGATGCTCGGGGAGATCCTTGTGTGCGCCGATCCGGAGGTGCTCCGGCTCGAGTGCGACGACGTGCTCCTCGGGAACGCCCGGTCCGGTCTCGTCGCCGTCTTGCGCGAACCAGGCGCGGAGAAGCTCCGCTCGCTGTACCTCAAGGTCCACCTCGTGTCCGAAGACCGCGACTACAAAGAAATCTTTGTGGGTCTCCCATCGCCCTCGAGCCGAACTGCGCACTTACCACGATGATCATAGAATGAGCTCGCGATTTCGCTGCAAAGCATTCCCCTGGCCGTCCTCGACCTCGACGTGCACGTCGGCGCGATTCCCTTCGGTTCGAGGATGTACGTCCGCGAGCGCTCGTCTTCCCCGGAAGACGAAGCATGGGCCGACGGATCCGGAGGAACCAAGCTACGAGCGCGTCTCCGCGAGCTTCGCCGCCGCTCGCCGCCACTGCCGCCGCTCACCGCCGCCGAGCTCTCCACGACGCGCATCGACCCCGACAAGTACCTGCGCAAGCTATGGGAGACGATCCCGACTTTGGACGACGCCGCGATGCGCGTCGAGAATCCACGACGGGGAACGAGGGTGAAACGAGACATGGGCTTCAGGAAGGCGACGATGATGAGGGGCACGATGCGCCGAGAGGGATCGCAGGATGGGTGGAAACCGACACGGGATTACTGCTAATCTTCGTGCTACTTCGGAGACGGGCCGCTCCAGTCTCTAGAGAGTTCCTGACCGAGCAGGTATAGATACACCATGCGTCAGTTTTATGTTGGAAAAGACAAGTCGGGAGGGTCAAAGTGGCGGCGACTGTAGGGGTCTTTTTTGCCAATCATTTAAGGTAGACGCGGCCAGGAACCAGCCACCATGACATAAGCAGGCGCCCCCCGTTTGTCCTGCCTTTTCCCCTCCCCCCCTCACCCATGTTTGAAGATTCTGGTCTCTGACAATGATAGTAGCTATCCTTAGCTCTCAATGCTAGGAAGAACTTTTGTGATATTCTCATTTTTGACCGAGTTATTGGCCAATAATTGAAGATGTTCTAAAACGTCGCAGAACACTGTTTCAATGTGTTTGAGCACGGTTTAAATCGGCGAGGAGAAATGTTTGCAACGGGCGTCTACAGTAGACGCTGAACACGTGATGTACCGGCCCGACTTGTACCGTCCGGAAAGGCAATGGGAACAGTGTTCTGCTGCATGTGCCAGCCCTCTGAAGCTCCCATTACAGCAGATAGTCATACTTCCATCATGGAAGACTCAGCCGGTTATACAAGGGACATTACACAGGGTGGGGGTTGACAACTTTCCGCCTGCCCCACCCGTGCCAGTTGACGCCGAGGAGCTTAACGCTCTTCGGGACTCGTTCTCACTGTGCCAAGCGAAGCGCAGAGGCTCCTGGCCACCGTTGGGAAGCGATCTGGGACATGCATAGGGCGCAGTTAGACCATCAAATGACAGAAGCAGCAAAAGATTGTGTGCAGATGTCTATGGAATACATGTTTTGACCACCTCTCAAGAGGCGATGACATCAGCAAAGGGCGTATCTTCTTGTCACGCATCGTGGCGTCTGACCGCGCTCGGCGCTTCCTGATAAGGACATACCGTCCTTTGTCTGCTAGACGGCTGATGGTAATACATGACAATCAATTGTATGCTTTACTATTGCTTGCATAGCATGGTATATAGAAGATAGACCAACGCCCGCAAGACGAGGGTTTGACATGCATGGTAACGTATGGTGGGATGGGAATACATTATATATATTGCACACTCCTGAGGCACGGTGTCGTACATTCCGTACACATACTCAACACGGAGCTCGAGCATGGCTCGCGAGCGCGCGGTCGAGCATGCGCACGGGCGGGCGCGGGGCGATAGTAGGCGAGCGCGCGGCGCGGGGTGGAGACCAACGTCGACGAAGGCGAAGGTCGGGTGGGACAGGAGGCGGTCCGCGTCCGAGAGGTTGTTCTCGCGGCCCTCGAAGACGAGCTGGCGGACGCGGGGACAGAGGTGGAGGAGGGCGAGGTGGCGGGCGGACGGAGCCGGACGCGCCGTTGTCGGACCCCCTTCCCCCTCTGTAGCCGTCGGTAACGGCGGTACGACCCCGTCATGTTGCCGTCGGTAACGGCCATACGAGCTCGTACGAGCTCCGGTCGTGTAGACCGTCGGTAACGGTCGTACGAGCTCCGGTAGTGTAGCTGTCAGTAACGGTCGTACGAGCGGTGGTGGAGAAGTAATATACAATGCCAAATGTATCATTCTGGCTGTCGTTTGCGTGCTTTGAGGTCCTCTAGTGTGCTACATACGCGCAAGAACATCCCGCAGCCCCTGGGAAGCCAATACCGGGCTGATATAGCAGGGGATGCTGGTTCCGGTAGTGGCACGTCCCACTGCCTACATTGCGCCCTACTGCACCGTACGTTTCGGTAATGCGTTCGCTACGTTCCCCTGGGTCATACGAGCTCGGAACAGTCGTTTTTATCACCGTGCGTGCTGTGGTTGGAGCGGGGCATTGAAAACACTGCCCAGACTCGTACGAGCCTGTAGCCGTCTGTCACGGTCGTACGAGGCACCTCCGGTGTGCACCCGGAATATTGCGGTAATGGATTCGGCAGATGCGCGTTACTGTACCGAACGCAGCGCACTCAATTTCGTTGCGATGCGTGCCATGGTTGGCCTGGGGTAACAAAAACGCTGCCCAGGCTCGTATGAGCCTGTAGCCGTCTGTCACGGTCGTACGAGGCACCTCCGGTGTGCACCTGTAATATTGCGGTAACGGATTCGGCATATGCGCGCGAGTGCACTGAACGTAACGCATCAAATTCCATTGCTGTGCATATCGTGGTTACAGAGGGAGGGTCAGAACAGTGCTCAGGCTCGTACGAGCCTGTACCCTGTCTCAGACGGTCGTACGAGTACCTCTGGGAGAGCGGACACCCGGAAATCTCGGCAATGCATGGCGTGCATTGCCGAAGGTTACCGGAACGCAGCAAACCTTATTTCGTCGCTTTGCGCACTGTAGTTAAGGTGGGAGAGTCGAAACAGTGTGCAGGCTCGTACGAGCCTGTACCCTGTGTGAGACGGTCGTACGAGTTGTTCCCTGGTGAACCTCGTTTTTTTTGGTAATGCTTTCGGTAGATGCGCACGGATACGCTGAGAATAGCGAACTCAATTTCATTGCTGTACCTGGTGTAGTTAAGGAGGTATTGTCGAAACAGTGTGCAGACTCGTACGAGTCTGTACCCCGTCTGGAACGGTCGTACGAGGTGCTCCTGGTGGGTATCAAAAATTTCCGGTAATGCATGCAATACATTGCCGGAGATCACTGGAACACAGCGCACTTTGTTTTATTGCTGTGCGTGGCATGGTCAAGGTGGCGGAATTGAAACACTACAAAAGCTCGTACGAGCTTGTACTCCGTCTGAGACGGTCGTACGAGTTGTCCCCCGGTGAACCTCGTTTTTTTCGGTAATGCGTTCGGTAGATGCGCACGGGTGTGCCGAGAATAGCGCACTTGATTTTAGTGCTGTATATGCTCTGGTTGTGGCAGCGGAGTTCAAACAGTGCAAACACTTGTACAAGGTGTCCTCCAGTAAACACCCACTTTTTCCGGCAGTGCATTCATTGCCGAGATTCCGGCAGTCCCTCCATTACCGAGATTCCGGCAGTCCCTCCATTACCGAGTGTTTGGTCATCTGTGTGTATTACCACTCTCACAACCGAGGTTTTGACCACCTGTGCATATTACCGCTCTCACTGCCGAGTTTTTGATTGCCTGTATTCATTACCGAGTTTTTTGCACCCATTGCCGAGTTTTTGATCACCGGTATCAATCAGCAGTCCTCATTACCGAGTTTTTGACTGCCTGAATCCATCACCGAGTTTTTGGTCACCTCCGGACTTCAATGCCGAGTTTTTGACCACCGGTATCCATTGCTTGTCCTCATTACCGAGTTTTTGGACACCTCCAGCCTTCAATGCCGAGTTTTTATTACTGAGGTCTGTAATCCCGGTGCTCACTGCCAGTGCTCTTGCTGACCTCTGGCCTTCAATGCCGAGGTTTGAATACCGAGATTGGTAATCCCGGTGCTCACTGTTGGTCCTCTGGCCTTCAATACCGAGTTTTTGTTACCGAGGTCGGCAATTGTGCTACCAGTGGTGCTCACTGTCTCAAACAGCGAGCTCACTGTCAGACACAGTGAGCTCAACATGTTACCCATCTCTGTATCTGTCCCTCATTTTTTTGGAATGCACCTCTGCATCACATCTGAATGTATTGCAGCACATTACAGCATATTTATATGAGTTGGTCTGCCTGTACTGAACACCTTCTACCTGAGAAGTCACCCTTCACAGCAGCATGTGTAGATGTTATTTCACCTCGCTGTTTTTTGGATCAGGGAGGAGCATGCAAGAGCTGTGGGTTTGCAAATTTGGAGGGCAGTAGCTGCAAAAGTGAGAGAACAGTGTGGTATGATATTTTAAAATGACATACCACACACAGAAATGGGATGGGAGTGTATCACATTCCGAACACCTGGATATATTTATAGACGATATTATGAATGCAATGCAGAAGAGAGCGCACAGAAATCAGGATTTCCGGTGAAGATACAAGATATGTGTGGAAAGTGGAAGTTCTGAGAAAACACGACATGCATAAGTTTATGTGCAGACATGATATCAACATGCTGTTTGCTGCATCACAATTGGGTACTATTGGGGTGCTCAGATCGGAATTTCCAAGCTTATCGGTGATGAGATGTATATGGGGCATCATATGTCATTATTTCATGACATACAGTATCCTGACACAGCATATGCTCCGATTAGCATGCGAAAACATGGAATATAACAGGGTAGATAATAGCTATCCAACGCAGAAGAGACCTTGAAAAACGGTTGAGAATCAGTGGAGATGTGCAAGGTGAGCCAGAAGTGTGGTTGGAGTGGAAAGCGAGGTTGGAGCACATTCAGCATAAACCACACTTCTGGCTCACCTTGCACATCTCCACTGATTCTCAACCGTTTTTCAAGGTCTCTTCTGCGTTGGATAGCTATATCTACCCTGTTATATTCCATGTTTTCGCATGCTAATCGGAGCATATGCTGTGTCAGGATACTGTATGTCATGAAATAATGACATATGATGCCCCATATACATCTCATCACCGATAAGCTTGGAAATTCCGATCTGAGCACCCCAATAGTACCCAATTGTGATGCAGCAAACAGCATGTTGATATCATGTCTGCACATAAACTTATGCATGTCGTGTTTTCTCAGAACTTCCACTTTCCACACATATCTTGTATCTTCACCGGAAATCCTGATTTCTGTGCGCTCTCTTCTGCATTGCATTCATAATATCGTCTATAAATATATCCAGGTGTTCGGAATGTGATACACTCCCATCCCATTTCTGTGTGTGGTATGTCATTTTAAAATATCATACCACACTGTTCTCTCACTTTTGCAGCTACTGCCCTCCAAATTTGCAAACCCACAGCTCTTGCATGCTCCTCCCTGATCCAAAAAACAGCGAGGTGAAATAACATCTACACATGCTGCTGTGAAGGGTGACTTCTCAGGTAGAAGGTGTTCAGTACAGGCAGACCAACTCATATAAATATGCTGTAATGTGCTGCAATACATTCAGATGTGATGCAGAGGTGCATTCCA